CGTTATCATCGAGTTATCGTTAACGTCAATAAAACCTTGAAAAATAATAAAAATACTTAAAGTGTTGGTTTTTTTTTTTGGGGGGGGGGACGTTTTAATCGCTTTTTGTAAATTTTTAAGGTATTTCAAATCCCGAGCCCGGGTTATTGTTGTCCATTATACTGCGCACGATGTTGTCGTACATAGAAGCTTTGGATATTAGTAAAACAATTCGAGTTTACGATTTTTGGCAACGACGACGGTCGATAAATCTTTTTTCACCGACAGCAGCAGCGGCGGCGGCGGCAGCTATCGATCCCCGGCGTATTTATTGTAAGAGATACTACTTTCACGCCGCCGTTTCATAATATTTGAACGATACATAAAATTATACTTGCGTTATTCTGCGCCCAGTGGTAATAAACCAGCACATTTATATACCTATATTTTTTTGTTTTTGTTTTATTGTAAAGCGCGTAAAGCGAGTAAAAGTCCCTTTTATGAAATTTGTAGAGAACAATATTTTGGAAAGAATTGCATAGGGTTTTTGTATTATTCAAAATACACGGCTCGATATAAAAGATACAAAAACCTTTTTTTTTTTGTTTTTCAAATAACTGTAACTTTTTTAATCGTTCATAACTCAAAAAACACCTATATTATTCCTTCCAAAATATTGTTCTCTATAAATTTTATAATAAGTACTTTTACTCTAAAATCAAAATTAAACTAGTTTTACTTATTCTGCGTAAGCATTGTTTTTGCATGTTACCCGGTAGTTGGACTGAGACGGAAGATGCAGTTATAACGCCCTCTAAACGTCATCATTTATTTTCCGACTCAGAATTAATAAAATACTCAAAACTTCCACGAGAACATAATTTGGCTATGTTCTGTTAAATACTGGTATAGCGTCCTCTCAGTGAGAATGCACTTTCGTTATTACACTGTTTTATTATTTCATTATTTAATTATACATGCATGCAGCCAAGCCCGGATTAAGACATTTAGAGACCCCCAAAGACAAACTTTTCAATTTTAAAAGTTACATTTTATTAACAATTTTCGTATGTTTTGTGTACGTGTATTATTATTTGTACCTATGTATTATTTTTAAAGTCATAAATTTTAAACAAATATTTGATTTCCTTTAAACAAAATGCTTCGACAGAAAGCTTTATATTTTAGATTCGGAGAGTAGGGAGAGATTTATTATTTGATATGTATTTTTTTTTTTTTAATGCCTGTAAACATTTTTTTTACCGAAAATATTGTTTGAATGTATAGCACCAATGAAACAATGTTCCTTTTTTAAAATAAAACTTTCTTTAGTTGGTGCATTAAACAGGTCATCTTTTTAATTTTCCAAAGAGTTTTCAAAATAATTGGGAAAAACCGGAAACAAAATAATTATAGCGAAAACTAATAAAAATTATTTACGGAACACCACAGCGTTACCGATTTCAATGTTTTTAATTTTTGCAAACTATATTTTCTATCAAAAATATTGCTCTAAAAGAAAAGCAAGAAATCGATTTTGTTCCTTTTAATATATATATCCACTGACAAAGAAAGTAATTTTTTGATATCTAAAGTGGTTTTCATAATTATTGGGAGAAGAAGAAGAAAAGAAGAAAAAATACGATTTTTTCAAATTTCGGTGCGACGATTTCATCATTTAAAATTTTTAAGATTGTATTTTTTTTACCAAAAATCTTTGTCTTAATTTCAAGAATAATATATTTTCTGAAAGAAAATGTTGTCTAGTTTGTGCGTAAAAAAGTCGTTGTTTGATTTTCTTTATAGTTTTCCTAATAATTACAAAAATATCGGAAAAAAACGTAAGAAATGAGGCAAAGTGTACAGAATTTGGTTTTTTTTTTTTTTTTATTATTAGATTTAAAATTATTTTAGAGACTTATAGTTTTCACAAAAGGTCACATATGACCTTTTGTAGACGCGGTAAAATTTTCAAAACATTACCAACTATTTTTAGACTATTTATAGGTATTTGATATTTTCGTGTTTTATATGTATTTTTATTTGGTAGATATCTGTTTTTAAAATTATATAACTTAAGAGAATGCTTGAAAATTGTTCACAAGACGCAATCTAAGTTGTACTTAGTGGTCTGAAAAACAAATATGAGTTTAATGCATTAGTTTCGTTTTCATAAACGTTTTAAAATCAAATTTTGCCAAAATTAAATAATAAAAATTACGGCTTTCAAAATTTGTCTTATGCTTCGCTCCGAATCGTTTCTCGTTATCAATGGTATAGATATAAATCACATCAATTTATCTATCCTACGTATATTCCTACCTTTCCAACTTCCCACCTACAAGTCCCGAGTCTTTTTTCTTGTCGATTCTTATACTGGTTCTTCAGTTGTGTATAATAAATTGAAATATATCTGTATAATATATGAAATAGGAACACAAAGAGTTTGTATCATTTTCACTATAAGATCATACTTAATAATTTGTTTCTCGTAAGTGTAATACGTGACTGAAGTCTTACACCAAACATAAGTAGGTACTAAAAAAAATGTATTAAACGACAGAAGAAAATACCTACATTATGTCTTAACATCCAATAACGCCAATTTGAATAACAAATACATCCTCAAAACAATATGGATCTTCGCTATACAAGTTTAGTAATTATACACCTGCAGGTTTTTAACGGTTCGTACATGAATTAATACAACTAGAGCACACCAATCATAGATCAATGACACTAAACACCATATAGGTATACGAGAAAATTTATAATTACTTAAATATTGATTAACACCCGCTCCCCTTCCTCTAGAATTAGAGCCAAGTGCCGCCAATGATTGCGTGCAACAGCGGTTGGACAGACGAAACGACCGTTTTTTTTTTTCGCCGACTAGTTAAGTATAATATAGCTAGCGAGTTCGATACACGCATGCAATATGATTTTCTTACCAACAAATTCAGGTGAACTACATTTTGCTCTGACAAATTCAGGTGAATTTAAAACAAAACGAGCTGAAATGTTTTTGTTAGGAAATAATTCAGAAAAAAATAATGTATTATTTTCAACCCAAACTAACTTGAATAATTTAAACCGAATATGACGCTTTTTTATATGTCTGTATAAGTTGCCCCGAACCATTTTACCAATTGTTCATTGTTCATGGAGCTAAACATGGAAATTGTACACTGCTACACATACTACAGTAATGATAAAGACGCGATTTCCGTGTTATTAGAAAAATTAATTGATTTGAATTTGACTTTTACACCGCATATATAATTCTTCGAACAAGCTATACACTCGGCAATTTCGGATATTTTACCCGAAGTAATTTTATAAAAGCCATAGTTTTCACTTGGGATAAACCGGGCGCGGAAAAATTCTATCGATCGAGTTTAAGTAAACATCATAAAAATAAATCAGAAATCGGTAAATTGTTTTAATTTTTCTTAGGGATTATCTTATTTAAAACCTGAGAAAGTTCAAACGTGTTTTTTTTTTTTTTTCTGAAAATGTCACGACTACAATAAAACCCAAACAATCAGCATTTAAATGATTTTCGTAAATATTCTGTGGAAAATCGCATTTCACCAAACCGGTAATTTCCGCAAACACCACGGACCGAGTTTTCCAACAGTTTAATGCGGGCCGCTCACGTTTCGTTCAAAACTCAATAATATGTTTTATTCCCCGGTCGCGTAAGACGCCACGCCTGTAGAAACTTAATCGAAATCGACGGTTAAATAGCCGAGTTGCAAGCTTGTGATATATGATACGGACGGACACGGCGGGATCGTATTACACACGCGCAAAGCTCTCGCTGTTACCGTTATCGCGGAACCCTGAAAACGGAAAATTTCGTACCGGTCTGTTTTGACTATAGTATAAATAACGTTATGGTCGTTAAACGATCCAGTAGTTTTATGCGCCCCTGTATGATATAATAACCTTGCGCGGGTTCGTGTTGAAAAAAAAAAAAAAAAAGTAAAAATTCCGAATCCCGCGGTACACGCGATATTATGTTAATTAAGATCCGTCGACGCGATAACGGACCCGATGTGAACGGCCGCGCGCGCCCCGGTTGCGTCTACGGCCGGCCGCGTACGGTATGAAAAAAAAAAAATAAAAAAAAAACCGTATAAGCCACTCGGTGTTGTCCGGTACGCGTGTCTGTGCAGGCACTCACAATGATGATATTATAATATTTGTTATCGCGTTCAGACGGCCATTGTGTTTTCGGATATTGTTATTATCATTATTATTATTATTATTATTATTGCGGCGAACGGACGAATTTCGAGGGTCGCTCGAAACAACGGAATATTAACGACCGGTGAGCCCGTGATTATTAATTAAAAACGGATTCCGGCGAACATCTGGTCATCGCCGTCGTCGTTCGCGTATTGTACGGCCCGCGGCGCTCGATCCACGGGGCTGTGGACGCGGGGCCGTAATCGCATTAGCCGGGGTTTTAATTTTTTTTGTTTTTATTCGCCGGTTCGCGGTGTAAACAATACAATAATGGAAAATTTAAAAAAAAAAAAAATTAATAATAATAACAATGATAATACTATCGTGGGCACGAAAACTCCCGTGCGACATAATAGGTTCGCGCGCGCGCGTCCGTTTTCGCGTTTGCGCCCTTTCGCGCAGACGACGGCCCGGGGTCCCCGGTCCGCGGCGTTGACCAGCTGCCCCCGGTGTCCCCGACGAATACGCTCGTCGTCGCCGGCGCGTACGTCGCAATTGCGTTGTCGCACAAGGCGTGCGTAGTGCGTACCGCAATACGCGGCGTTACAATACACGCGGTACGACACGGTGTAAAACGTGAGCACGACTAGAGGGGCGGGGAATAGTTCAGCGTCGCCGGAAACGTTTTTTTTACGTTTTACGCGATAACCCGGCAATGCCGTGGCCGACGGGCAATTATCAAAGCCGTTTCCGTTGACCAATACGTGATGTCAGTCCCCGTCCAATCGCACAACAAAACGTTAGACAATAATAATACGTATTAGCTGATGAATTGTATGTACCGTTGTTGTCATTGTTATTGGTACTTGCGGGTCGCCTCGGTGATCGGGACGACACAGTTTGTCCACCGATTTATTTTGGCCGGGACAGCTGAAACAGCATCGCCGTACTGTGAGATATTACGCGTGTCGCCCGATCAAAACGCCCCGTGTCGTTGTCCGGTTGCCGTCGAATTCGGAAAATGTCGTGTATTCACGGTATTTTGGCTACGAAATTTAAAATGGGACCGTCGCATTGTCGTGCACGTCGCACTTGGTAATTTACCGGAGGATGTTTCGAAGCCAATATTGTCGCGCCAAGTCGATAAAAAAAAATAAATACATAATGTACCGCGTGGCGTAACGGACTCCTCCCCCCCCCCGTATTTCTGAGACAAAACCGGCACAGGATGTGAAAAAAACTTTTATTTATACTTAGATTATAACCATTTTACAATGTGAACAATTTGTTTTATTGGCCTTTATGCTTATATAAGGGCGCTGAAGTTGAAGTATCGCTGAAGTTTTTATACCACTACTTCGTTATTCAATTGAACTACGAGCACTTATAAAATAAAAACTTTCCGTCCAATATTGGAATGATACACATTAAAATTTTCAGAAAAATAAACTCAATTGAGTGACTATCTTAGAAAATGTATTAAATATCATACAAATTTGAAATGTTTTAATTTTTGAGTTTGGATATACCGAAAAGCAAACACAGTGGGACATATACTCTATAACAGTATAACAATAATGAAATTCATCGTGTCTATTAGGTACTTGATTATTTTTTATTTCATATTTTATAGTGTCACTTGAAACTAAGATACCAAAAGACCCAGCAGCGTTTGTAAAATTGCCAATTATTTCAAAAGAATTCCTGCGAATACATTCAGCAGTAATATGGGCCCGCGTTAACCAACACCTCATTTAAGGGATAATATTAACGAATCGAGAATTCGCGATAACGAATAAAAATAGTTATTTTAAAATAACTTTCAACACAATCGGTTGGGGTACATTTGCTCTATATATTTGTTTTTTTGCCATTTCTTGGTTTAGTTATTTCGACATCCGATATTTAATTAGGTAAACTATTCAAGTATACAATTCTTACCATAGCTATTAGCATTGCGGCTAAAGGTTTCTACGTCCGTGAAGTTGGCCCCTCAAATTTATCCAAAGTTGTCGAAAATTATGCACACAATGTGCAAGAGTTTTAAAGCCTATTTGATTGGACTTGTTGAAATAAAGTTGAAGGGCCAGCTATAAAACTTTAAAAGCTCATTCTGACCAGGGAATCTACTTGCAAATTCTGATAGTGGACTTGCAAACTCTTGTAAGCTACACTCTTGACACCGGTTGGGAATTTCTAGAATAAAGTTGAGGGACTGCGCGAAATTGGCCCCTCAAAGCGAAAATCTCGGATTACCGAATAAAATAGACTTGAAAATTCTTGCAAACTACTTGCGAACTGTGGGCATAATTTTCGAAAACTTTGGATAAAGTTGTAGGACCAACTTTACGGACACATGGTTTCTTTGTACATTCTTCGAGGGTCGTCCTACAATATCCGAGATAGTTACGCTTGAAGTTACTATAAGATAGTTTCGTTTGTCTATCTTAACCTGGAGTATAATTTACCTATTACTGTACAGCAGTCCCATACTTTATGCTATATAATAATATGAATAATATGATATAATAACAGGAAGCGAGACGACGCCCGTAACAGACGGCTCTTTCCGAAAAAAAAAATGTGTTGAATGATTGAAGTCCTTTAAAACAAATATCAACCTTTCAAATATTTCTGATACGTAGATATAATGCATATTATTAAACGAAAATATTTATGGAACGAAAAAAAAAGATATTTAAAATTAAACAAGAATTAAAAAAAAAAAAGATATTAAAAAAAGAAAGATATTGGAGATGGGTGCAGCCACTGTTGTAGGTGGAAAGTCGGGAAAGTAGAATACACAAAGTTATTCAATTTATATCTGTACTGTTGTATGTCCGGACGAAAATAGCAATATCGATAGGTATGGCCCTGTTAGAGGACCTAAAGTCATATTATTTTATATTCTTCCCACACAATAATACCGTTGATCAATTTAATCAATGATAGTACTATACAATATTGTTTTACGCGTCCGTCGCCAACAATATTACGTTAAAACTCAATATCATAGGTACGTTTACTACAATATAGTATAATATGCTATATCATATACTAGATTTACTATAATATAGGATAATATAGGATTATATAGGATATACATATATATATATATTATATTTTTTGTTTTATATTCACTAATGTAGCAATAAAACCATTTTCATATGGAACGGGAATACGTTTTTTCGAGACTACTTAATAAACCATCGGAAACAACATAGTCGGGTCGCCTCTTTTCCACTGGCATTGTGGGAAGGACGAACGTTTGATTGTCGAGTGAAGACGTGTCATACTGAAGGAAGTATTTTTCATTGGAGTCGTGAAAAGGATCGTCATTTTTAGTAGTCGGGAAAGACGTACCGTTTTAGCTTAACTTTCTTTTTATAATCATTGTAATTTATGGCTAAGTAGTTTTAAACTATAATTTACCAGTATTGTCCACTAAAAGCAAGCGTTTTTCTGTAAACATTACTTACTATTATTCTGGACTCTGGGTTTGGAGTGTATATCAGTGAAGGTGACGAGGCATTTGCAGTTATTTTGAAAGTAACGAGGCATTATTGGACCTTTTCTCAAACAGTACTCGTTATCGTGGTCATTTGAATAATTCGTAGTACAATATTGTCTTAATATATCACCTATACGTTATTTTACGCACTTAATCAAACAGTGCCTACTCGTTATTGCGGTCAATTAGCTAAGGCATCGAATTAGTATCTAGGTATTTAGTGTTAGAGCGCCGCGGCGCACAAGGAGTAGGTAATATTCCCTTGGCCGCACGGTTAATAAAGCTAAGTACTGAAATTTTTGGGAATCGTTTTGTGATTCCCGCTTAGTACGTACAAGGAAGAACCAACAATACGCAACGATTAACCATTGCTAACGAAAAACGATTCTGAGCTAAGTTGTAACGATTGTACATGTTTCAAAGACCATACTATTTACGATTTGAAAATATTTGTACATTTTCTCGTTTTTCCCCATTTATTATGAAAATTCCTGGGAAAATCAAAAAATGACCTTTTTAAAGTACCTACTTCCCAGTCAGGTTTTCTTTCAGAAAAAGTGCCACTTTTGGGGATTTTAAGCGCGTTTAAATCCATTTCCCACTGTACTATTATGATCACAACACAATGCACAAACCATTAACCATAACTAGGTACTAATCACTAACCATGCAATCTTCTGACAATAAACATTAAACTGATTAAGCAAATTGAAAATCTTACCCTAATGGTTTTGTAATAATATGGTCTTTCTTTTTATATAATCTCATTTAATTTTATACATTTTCGAAATCTTGCAGACGCCTATTGCTTAGCCACAAAAACAGACATCTTATATCGTTTCCAAAAGCTATGAGCATTAACATTAATTTCCTGTTATGATTTATATTGCAGCAGCGATAATATTTATTTTATATTTTTAGGGGGGAGTGTATGAAATTCAAACAAATTTCTGTTCAGGCCTTTAAAATAACAAATAATTAAATATGTAAAGAGCGTAGGTAAATATATTCAAAATTATAAAAGAAATTTAAAATTGCAATACTTAAAAAAAAAAATTGTCTATGTTATAACTCCATAATTTTGGTTGCACTATTGTTATGTTTAATATTGAACAAAAAAACCAAACTCAAATGGATTTGATGACAAACTTCTAAAACATTATATTTCAATCAGGACATGATTGCTAGCCGTGAATGTGGCCTCCTCGTATTGGTGTCTGGGAGTTCCTCAAGGCCAAGATGTATAAAATATTGTAATTTAATTTCCGATTAGTTTTTTGTACAGAGTTTAAAATATACATAGTGTTTTTTAGACTTTGATTGTTTATTGCAAACTGCTGTAAAATAATAGATTTATTTATATTATTAATAATTGTGAAATTGAGTAAATATAAACACAAATTACTGAAAACTGAAAATCACTTTTATGAATATAACATATTTAATAATTATATACCTATATATATATGTCGCTGCGAAATCCATTATTTTTTAGAAATATTGGTTCATAAAATCAACTTTCAACCCAATATTGTATTGATTTTCATGGCCATTGTATTTTTCATTTATGGAGCCCCTAAAAAACACAATATCCTTGGGACCTCAGGTGTACCAGGCCGATACTAATTTGAATAATCACATATCACAATGCTCATGGCTGCAGGTCTATTATGTATCTAGACTTTTTGTCTTTTCAATATCATTATATTAATACCCAAATAATATGTTGTCTACATCTTACAAACATACGACATAACAAAGTTGTGTTCAATTGAGATAAAGCATAATTAGGTAAAACCGTTACTAGTTTTTCAACAAAATGGAATTATGATTGTAAGTACTTTTTAAAATGTTCAAAACAAATAGACACGTGTAACATTAAAAATGCCATGCAAAATAAAATGAACCAAAGAAAAAAATATCCAACGCTAAAAGAATTGGCTGGACTTAAAAAAAAGTATTACTTGTACGATCCAATAATTTTCACTGTACAACTTATGATAAATCTAGTGTTAAAATTTCAATGATTTTTTTTACACAATTTTTTTCACGTAAAATCAAATACAAACTAAAATACATTAAGTAAATTGAACTTAAACATTTAAAATTGCTATAGATAGGTACGCTTCCTCCAGCACCCAGAAATAAAAATATGGTTTTAGGGGGTTAAAATGGCATAATAAATTCTGAATATTTGAATAAATTAACTTATCAACTTATTCCTAAGTAAATCATTCAATGACCGTGTTAATTTTATATATAGCAAAATGAATTGAAATATACTGGCTATTCTTTAATCTGTGTTTAGATTAAAGTTCATATTTTAAAATCGAAATTTAACTCATTCAGTAAATTAGGATTAAAGGTAAATAATGAAAAAGTATTAAAATAAAAGGAATCCTTATCCGATAAATACTTAAATGTACTTATCCAAAGTTGTTGCACATGTAATCGGTAAAACATATAATCAACAATTGAATGCAAATTTATTGGTTTATAATTTACATTTAAAAAAAAAAACCTGAAATAATTGTACAAAATTTGTTTTTATAAATCCACAATATTTAAGGAAATATTAAACTGTGTTAAAGAAACCATTTTGTTTAATTACAAAACCACAAATGTGATACTTTGCAAGAAATCTTATAAATTAAATAATTTATTATGTAGATGATGCGCTGTCATTTTGTACTTCCATTGAATCATCCAGTTTTTCTTCCATTTCAGTATCTACACAAGACATTAAGTAATCAATAAATTTCAACATAAAAACCTATGAAATAAATTTGAATTCGTTTATACTATAGCTAAAATAACTGAAATGTCATGATCAATTATAATTTTATTTAAGTTTAAATACCTGTAAAATGTTAACTTTTTATATATTACAACACAAATGTCATTGATTAGATAGGTTAGCAGAATTAAAATATGTATAAGATGCATTAGTTACAAAAAGCAATACCAACCTCCCATTGCATAATGGTCAAACATGTATTCTTTTTGATATTCTTTCATAAGCTGAGTAGACCGTTCTTCATCTAAAAATAATTTGTATACTTTTTTCACATCATCTACAGTCACTTCAGTAGCTTTACGTTTTCTGCACACCAAATGTGCAGTAGTTATTAATTGAATACCATAACGAAGTGATGTTGATTTGCTAATCTTGGCTAAAATACCAAGTGCATCTTTGGAAATCTCACAGTCTTCTTCTTCAGCCCTGATAGTTTTTAAAAATTACTATTAGTAGTTGAAATATTTAGGTCAAATACAAACACGGGTATACCTTATTCTTAAAATTTGTTCAAGTTCGGTTTCGGAATAAGGATGGGTCATTATGATTACCATGCGATCCAACAAATCGAGTGGTACACCATGAGGCGATTTATAATTAGTGCCTCTGATGTGTGTTACTCCGCGGTTGGTGGCTGTGATTACAATTGGTGCAATTTCATTTTCCAATGCTCTGTTCAAGAATGAAAAACATTCTATGTCCAACATATGTACCTGACAATTGCCAAAATATATTTTAATGTAGAAATAAGGATAATATAAAGATATAGATAATAAAAAATGAAATATTACGAATAAATACACAATCAATAAAAAATAATTCATTACATAATTCAATTTAAAGCAAAAAAAGATGATAGATAACTAATCTATCCACAAAGAATGGTAAATTATGTTTAGTGCGGAATATTTATGTTTTATGTTAATATGTCAATTTATCAGTTTCATTTTTAATTTTCAGAATAGAAAATTGTTTTCTGTAAAAATATAGAAAATCATGTGTTTATCACCATAAAGTATCATCATACAGGTACATAAAGTTTATTTACCTGTACTGTGCTACAGATAGAAGTGATACATTTCTTATTAACTCTTTTTTTTTTCAATTCTCTTCAGAGAGATATCTTCTCCTTTTTTATGACTTATTTTTAAAGACAAAATCTATCTGAGGCTATTTAAAGTATTTTTTTTATAAGATAAAAGTGTTAAAATAAGAATTAAGTGCTCAAATTATTTAAAAAGTAAACCAATACTACAAAGAAGAGCTTTGATATCTATGAAATACTACGTGTGTACATGTATGTCTATCAAGAAAATAATAATAAAATATTAAAAAAAACTACTCAAATGAAAGAAAACTAATAAGATGACGTGAGTACATGACATAATACCCATCTTCATTGACAATACAAGTATTAAAGTGTAAATATATCTACCAGACCATTCACAATACATCAAAACAATGAACAAGAAAAATAGTTTTCACACATTTTTAGAAATTTTAAGCTCTAAGACAATAGAATAAATGCCAAATACTGTTAAGTATGATAAAATATTTTGTCATGCTAAACCACGGTTATAAAAAAAAAACCCATGTTTTAGTATTAACTTGTAGAAATTGGAGGAAAACTATTACTTTTTAACAAAGAAATATTTCATTCAGTATAGCAGTCGGAAATTACAATAATATGAACTAGGGCTGGCTCTCAGTTTGGTAAACAACTTTTCTATCATTATCTTCCTCCAATATATAAAATATAGCATCTTTTATAAAAGGTGATCTTATCTAATTTGTGCATGTAAGAAGTCATTTTTTTGAAAATAATAAGGAAAAACCTGAAAGAAAATTAAAGGTAAAACAGTAAATATTTAAACTATTTCCATAAAAATATGTACTCCTTTTCTTAAACACACGTGAAATAGAGACCCATAATATGAACAGATCTTATTCTTATTCAGATTAATATATTGTTTCCCCTGTCCTCTGTCCTTCATCTATGAAAATTAGCATATACTCTTTATCTAATAACTATTATTTGGTTTACAAATATTAAAATTAAAATTACTTCATCTATGAATAGTACACCAGCTAATAATTCAGCTTTTCCTTCTTCGCGCCATTCGCTAACTTTGCAGTTAATTTGATCTCTAACTTCTGGTTTTATTTCACCTGTATCACCTATAAAAAAATAACAAAAATTTTAAAAGAAAATAAGTATAATTGATCACTAGTTGTATACTAAAACAAAGTGTAAGGCACTCTTTAAAAGTTTTAACCGGATAAATTAAATTCTGTGTACTATACAATTTTACTAGATATATGTTAGAACCCGAATTATTTAAATTATTATGTATTATAGTACTCTTTTACAATTAGTTATACTTAGTAATAATATATACTAATTATAGTTTAATATTTAATATTTGACATTTAAAATTTTTTTTTTTTTTTAAATTTCAAATAACACCATATCACAAAAAAAACTTCAAAATCATAATAATAATAGTTTACCTAGCTATGTATATTATTTTGAATTCAAAAACTTTTTTTTAATTATTACCAAAAAGCTAGTAAACAAAGACCTAAAGTATAATTAAATATTAAATTTTTAATTTATAATTTCTAGATTATTTTCACAAAAATATAATATAATGATTATAGATTTTAAAAAAGTGTAATTAAGAACAGTCTCTAGTTATATATCCAACACATAATTTAAATAAAATTTAAAATTCAACAAGAATCAAGTACAATATAAAATGATGTAACAAATTATTAAAACTGAACATTTTCTATAGTACCTGAAAATAATGCTAGAAAACCATGAGTTCGAGAATTAATTACATCAATTTCATGTAAAGTAACAGTATGTACAACTTCTTTGCGTTTTTGAAGTTCACCTTCAGGACATTGTACAAACCTAAAACGAATACAGCTATTGTTAATAAAAAAATATACGTACATGATATATTTAATATTTTACCTAGTCTGAGGACCAGATGCATCATAATCTCTCGACCTGGTAAACGACCTTCCAATTTTGTTGACTTTGCCACTTGCAACATCAATAGTCACAACATCACCAGCTAAAACCTTTGAACAAAAATACAAATAAATTAAATACAATTTTTTAAAAAAAAACAACCAAACTATTATTTAACAATATTATGTTTGATTACTTTTTCTTTTAATAAAGCTTCAATCATTTTATTTCCAAGATCATAAACAGTCTCCATATCTGTAGTTCTCATAGTCAACTTTCCTACTTTAGACCCTGTTCCTGTAACTGGACGTTCTATTTGGAATTCTATTACTTCACCTTCAATAATTTCACTTTCCTCTCTGAAACAATTTAGGTGTTAATTTATGGTAACATTAAAAATGTAATATAACGTACTTAATGCGAACACCTATTGATTTACGAATGGCTTGAGTCAATGCTTCTGTTTTACTCATTTCTAAACTATAAATCTCTGAACCTGACATTGCTGTGAATGGTGTATCAGAACCCAAAGCCTGTGCCAAAGCCATTGCAATGGCTGTTTTTCCTACAAAAACAAATTAATTTGTTCATAAGTACTAATGTGCACAAGTGTTTAGTAAACTGCTAATTACCTGTTCCTGGTTCTCCAGCAAGCAAAACAGATCTGCCAGCAATCTTTTCTTCTTTAATCATGTCCAAAACGACTCCCATGGCCTTGCGAGCCTTCAGCTGACCAACTAACCCTTGTGAAACCTAAAATATTGAATCTTTAATTAGAATAAGATAACAATATTATTAATATTTTTTAGTTTAAATACAAACATTTCTCGGTTCCCTGTTGTCGTCCAATCCAAGTCCACGTATGTGAGAATGGGCGCCAATCCGTTCTACTCGAGAAATTTCTCGCACTTCTTGCACCTTAGCTACTGCTGCGGCCTAAAAATGACACATTAAATCAAATGTTTATCAAGATACAGACTATATGAACATAATAATAAACAAATTAATAATATCTGTATAAAGTTATTGAACTTACGGACATTATAAACGAATTATGAATAAAAGGACAACAGAAAATGAATTTCACAAGAAAATCATGTACAGTTTGTAACAATAGTAACTAGTTACTAGGACATAGATATAATACAAATTACAAACAATCAATGATCAAACAAATTCGGTACAGGGCTCCAAAATATTGTACATGCAATATTTACAAATATAAAAACATAACCAATAATAATAATATGTGCAGGGTAGACAGTACGTAAATATCAGAAATGATAGTTGATTGTAAAATGATAAAATAACTTTTATCATTATCGACGATCAGTTACACCAACGTAACTGAATAAAATATCTCAAACATTTACAATTTTACCATGGCTCAGTGAGTGAATTTCACAGGTTTAAAACATAATATATCAAAACTGTTTCAGTTACCATTATTTCGTTTAAAATTTTATTGCATTTTAGATTCAGAATGGAACGAGGAATGTATTGGTTTTACGATGATGTTAATTTTTTTTTTTATGTGAATACTTTTTCTACCTGAAAGCATACGCCGATTACCAAGTATAGCACATTTTCTGAAAGGAAATGTTCTCTGGGTGGTACTTTAGAGAGGTCACTTAATGAAATTCTCATCAATATTTGAGATAATAAGGAAAACCTCGGCCTTTAGGTTAAAAAAGATTGAACGATTAAAAATAAAGCTATCATTTTCATTTATTTTTTGTTATTATTAAGTTTTTATTATTTTTTAAACAATCATTTTTGTCATGGAAACGCACATTGTTGTAATCATTTCACCATTATATGACGTATAGGTACCATACATTGTGGTTGTTGACAAAGCAACATTCTCAACTGAACTCCGCTTAGAGTCGTTTTTTCGTTAGCTTACAGATGTGCATTAAATTCCCGTCTGTATCCTACCTTCCCACCCACAACAGTGGTCGCACCAACGTGCGAAGTATGTCAGTATATTTTTTTTTTAATAATATTTGTTTGAGAACAACTTTAAACTGTAGTACATTCGGATTGTTATTTAATGTGTTAACTGTTGAAGCAATCGCAGAGACACGGAATAGAACAATACGAATATCCGGGGGCGTATTTACGGGATGGGCTAAGGGGGCTGCAGCCCCCCTCCCCCGTCCCCCGAAATTTCGGGAAATATTTTTCAAGTCCACTCATGGCCAATCGGATGTAAATCGTGAAATTTCAGTAAATCGTCGTATTAGGAATTTCAGTAACAAGATATTCGTGTGACGTGCTACGCAATGCGTCCGGCTGTACTGATCGGTAGAAACTTTCGGCCCGGTAAATAGGCACCGTTGATTTATGACGGTACGTAATTTTGTCGCCTGGTACCGCTGCATTTTTCGTAATTTCAATTCACCGAAAAGTCGCGACGGCAACGTCCGGTAACCGACGACGGTCGGTTTTCGTCGGTTTCACTTCGTCGTGTGTTACCCCCGTGGGTTTTTACTTGACGTTATTTTTTTCCCTCCCCCCCGATCACACCGTTTCCGTCGTATGGTTTTCATCGGCTCTATTAATACGGGTACTTTCCGTTGTCCAATAAACACGTGGGGCCAAATGCCGTTACAGCAGCGGCGGGGTTTGAGATTTGGTACGCCGAATGAAAAAGTACCGACGTAAACGTCAATTACGCCGAGCGTCCGCGATAGGCAATTTGAACGTACCCGAACGCGTACGGGTCGCCAAAAAAACACCGCGGGTGTGTCACGCCAACGGGTACTGGTTCGTTATCGGACAGCCGTCACGTACGCGCAACGACAACATTTTTCGTCGCGTGAATGCGAAACGATTCGACGGGAAATACGTAGCCGTTACGGCGGTCACGAACAATCAATAACACGGAAAACAGCGCGTTTGTTTTGTGGACGTTCATTGGTCTGATGATTCGACGGATACATTGATCGGATGTCGCGAACATTTCCATAAGTTTTCGCGGGAGACTTTTTTTCTTTTTTTTCTCGACGGCCGGGCGGCGATAGCAAACCCGAACGGCGGGCCTGTAACAGACCGGGAAATCGAGAAATACTCGAAACGCGTCCGAGAAATACCGCGACCTCAGAATCCGGGCTATAGTGGGACTCGCACTTGAAGCGATTCTCCGAGACGTCCACATAAACAACAGCGAAACGTTATTAGACGGATCTGCCAGCCGCGGAAAAGAAACAACGAAAGTGATTTGAATTTAACACACTCTATAGTTACGTGATCGTCAAAAATATCGTATTTATTATGCATTTCGTGAAAACTTTTCGAGACTAAAACGAAAATTAAAATCGTGTAGTAAATTTCGTATTCTCGCGTTTTTGATAGGTTGAATTGGGGAGTTTACCTAGGAGAATATACCCCAGCCCCTCTCCCCCCCGAAAATAAAAAATTCTAAATACGAACAGATGGGAAATTTTCAAAAAAATTTGAAAACGCGTTATCTACTGCACTGGTAAAGACGGGTGATAGTAAGGCTCTTTAAACAATGTTCGAACATGTTTATAGTGCCTTATCTATAGTCTATCCATGTCTTTATTATCTGTGATATTGGCCTACAGCTGCCTATTACTGATAACCGATGGAATAGCTTTTGTATTTGTGAGCCAGTGAAATATATAATGTAGTCATTAGAACTTTGTTCGGAATTTATGTTTCGTGGGTTATTATTTTCGATTACAACTAGTTAATTTTGTTTTAGAAAAAATCAAAAATTCGCTTAGAAATCAATATGGGTATGTTATTTGGAAAACCCAAAGTCAGCCGAATTACCGAACATGATCGAGCAATCCTGGTAATAACTAGTACAATAATATTGCGTCTTTATTTTATTTGTATGTCATAAGTGTCTAACACTGTATAATGTTTTAGAAGTAAATTTATATTTTTCGCTATTTTTTTTTAAAATTATCCATTTTTGAAATATTGTTTTAAAATAATTTTACAGCAAATGAAACAACAAAGGGACACTTTAAAACGATATCAACAACGAGTTGAAAATTTACTAGAAAAAGAAAGAGAACTGGCCAAAAAACTGCTGTCCGAGAACAAAAGAGAGTATGTCAGGAATATTATTAATTATTAAATCTAAATGTACCTACCTTAAGTACTCAACTGTATTGGATAGGTTTAAAATAAGTAATTTTTATTTTTAACGTCCTACCCCATTTAACCGATGATAAATATTTTTATTCTGCTTTATAAAGATTTATCATATATATATATATATATTTGGTTAATGATTTCTTGTTTATTATAAATCATATTTTAATGTGTTGTTGTTAATTAGAAATCTATCTAATTATCATTTAGCTCTATTCAAGTTAAATAAAGTCATAAATTATATTGGATTTTTATTGGGATAACTGAATTCAACTAGTCCAGTCAATGCTATTTCTCAAAGTATAAAAAGTTAATTAGCAAAATATAAAAACAACTTTTTAGCTTTTTTTATATAATATATATAAGTTTGAACTATACTTATATATTCAATTATACTTGAAATTTATACATTTCAATGGGCTAACTTATAATCAACTATTATTTTATATGTTAGTAAAGAAATTTATATGATTTAGTAATTTCTAATTAATATTGAATAGGTATTAAGATTTTTTTTTCAATAAATATAACAATGAATTAATGAATATGTTTTTAATTCTACTGAATATTGTGTAATCATTTTAGAAAAGCAAAATTATTGCTGAGAAAAAAGAAATTCCAAACAGAACAGTTAGATCGTACCGAAGCAGCTTTAGACACTGTTGAAAAATTAATACAAGATTTAGAATATACCCTAATTGAGACCAAAGTATATTTACTAATCATATTATTACGTACTATTATTTTTTTTTTTTTAACAAAATTGAATTTAAAATGTATTTATATAGGTTATTGAAGGTCTTAAGGCAGGGAATATAGCCCTCAAAAAAGCTAATGAATTGTTAAATGTTGAACAAATCGAACAGCTTTTGGACGAAACTAAAGAAGGAATCGATAAGCAAAGAGTAAATTATTATAGTTTAAAGTGCTTTGTTACAATTTCAAAAAAATATTTAAAATATTTTTTCAAACAGGAAATAAGTGATTTACTCAGTGGAGCTTTGTCATCTGAAGATGAGGAATTAGTCGAAGCTGAATTAAATGAACTTATTTCTGTGGAACATCAAAAAGTGATTGACATGCTACCAACTATACCATCTGAAGATTTACCGTCTACTGTACCAGGTAATATTTAATATCATAAATAAATAAATATTTAATCATACTTTATGTATTAAAATTTATGTTTGTTTGATGTAGAAAATAAAGAAGAAAAGTTGCCTGAAAAGAAGATTGCAATAGAAGCATAATGAAATTAATAATCTCGCTCTGTTAAAATATCCACTCAATAAAATAAGGGTTATATTTTTTTTGTTGTTTTATCTATTTAAACTTTTATTTTCCATCCGTTATTGTATATAATATATTAATAAATATATGTTTAACAGAAATACTTGTTACCTACTTAAAATGTATTTATTAAATTAAAATAAAGTTTTTTTTAAAAAAATATGAGTTCATTCTTAATTTTGAACTTAAAACTGTTTAATAAAGAAAAGCTAATATTTTTTTCACTTCAATTTAGACAGTTATACAAAACTACAGCAAAAACCTTGTTAAGACTTTCTGTAAGAGATCATAAAACCACATATTGTGCGGGATGGCGTAGTAGACAGTATCCCGCCTAATATGTTCATGAAGTATTTTAAATGGGATACTAGCCAGAATAAATTTTAAAAAAAAACTTAATAGTCTTAAGTGTTATTTATTATATAACAAATATGTCATATTAATAAAAAAAAATACATCAAATACACATATTTTGAAAAAATCTGAATATGAGTATAAACCATATAATGATTATAATAAAATATCAAAATTTTATTCATTATCAATCATAATTATATCAACATATAGGTTATTATCCCTATTAATACAATAGGTAATTAAGCAGATTGACAAAAATTTTTAAAAACATTTTTCAGGATTCGTTCAATGTTAAAAGGTATAAGTGGCCAGAAAGTAATATATTATGCTTGATAGAGTATTAAGTGAGAGCTTATTAAACATGTTTTTGTTTTTAATGTTTATAGATTATAAGTATCCAGGACCAAATAAATCCACGTATTAAGCGGGAGTGTCTTAATGAGTTTTTATTATAGTTAAGATTATATTTTTGAGATTATCGAAAATATAAATAATATAAATTGTATTCATAGCAGAATGAGAAAGTTATTAGATTTTTTCTTTGAAAACACTATAGTAGGTACATGCACAAGAAAACTTATCTATATACAATTTAACACAAATGGTACTTAAAAACTACATCAGTGATTTTCAACCAGTGCGTTGTAGTCATAGACAAGTATACCATAGGTGTAATTTAGTTTCAGAGGCGCCGCATTTATAGTAAATATTTTAGTTTAAATTTAATACAAATAAATAAAATATCAGCCTATATGTACTAGTTATAACTTAATCAAGGCGTGATGATAAAAGTAGTGATTTTTATAATTTACAGTATACTGTAATTCTGATATATTAGTACTTAATATTAATAAGTATTCATTTTAAAATACAGAGTGAATCGGCAATTTTCTCAGATTTTAAGTGAATTTGATTTTTATTATTATTTTTTAATTATTGTGGAATTGTTTAAAACCATTTAATTTTTACCCCTATTCCATATACGTTAACTAAGTACATACTAGTAGGGAAAAGTTATCAATTTATCATTCAAAAAAAGATATTCAATTTATGACCCTTCTCTACAACTCTACTATAAATTATAAACAGTTGTCACTTAAAAACTATAAATTTGATATTAGTATTATGCACATCAAATTTTCTATAAAAAAATATTCTCTATTCGAATCTGTGTTCTAAAAGAAAGGTTCTTATAAGAAAAACAAAATTATGTACTTATGTAAGGTATATGGAATAGTGTTAAAAATTAAAAATAAAGCTTAAATAATTCCACAATAAATTTAAAAAAAAAAAAAAAACAAATTCACTTAGTCTTTTAAAATATTTGCTGAACAATCCTATTGACGTTCATTCAAGACAGATTAACTGAAAATTTGTTGCAAAATTATGTTATGTATAAAATCATTTTTTAATAAATAAAACCTCAACTCTAATCAAATTTGGGACATAGTATTTTATTAGTCTCATCAAAATACAATATTATTTATACTTAAAAAAAACACAGTTTCTATTAAGATGAGTTGAATACAATAAAATAATATATATAATACACTAAGATTTTTTTTTCAAAGTATAAAATAATTCTAACTTAAACAAATAATTATAATGTACACATTAAGCATACACATCTTCTCGATCAGCTCCAACACCATCACCGTCTTCTAGAGATGAAAAATTGAGGAAATGGGCAGGTCTATGAATCTCATGGTAAAACTCTTTTGGATTGGCCAATTGCAGTTCATACTTCATATTAGCATCGTGTCTTACACCTAAAATTTGAATATCAAAAATTAATTGTTTAATATATTTAAGGTTAATAATTAATATAATAAAATATATTAAAACTAAATTTATATAGATTTGATTAGGTCTAATATTTGTACGCAACGATTAACCATTGCTATTTTATGATTCTAAGCGGAGTTTGGTTAATGGTGTTTTTAAATATTTAGATGTGAAATGTAAGTTTCAGATAAAAGATGTGACAGAACTGTTCGAAAATCAAACTGAACTAAATACCCAATAATTTGGTTCAAAAATCATTTGGTGCTGATTCTATTCATTACATTACATTTCATTCATTACATTGTATTGGTCACAAACCAATACAATGTTTTGTGGTGGGACAAAGTAACCTAGTTAAGAAAAAAAAAAATCTATTTTTTTGCATTAGTTGGTCTGATAATTATAAATCAGGGAACCGAGCAATTTGAGAACCTAGCTTTTTATTACTTTTTTCAATGTGCGAATTAAATAAAATATTTTAAAAGTTCGGTATAGAGTTGAATAAAAATGTGTAGGTTCAGTACAACCTTAAAGAACAGGATTCATAACATCTATTTTATATCGAATGGGTATAAATATCCTATCAAGTAATAAGGTAATAAAGTAATTATTGTAATATTTACCCATGAAATTGTAATTCCATGATCCTTGAGCAGGAACCATGAAGAAACCAAGGAATCGGTCTGATAAAAGCATTTGTACTTTTTCATAATGACTTGGGAGGTAACCTTTTGGATTGTTACCTTTGTCAGTATTTTGTCTTCCCCATTCATAACCACTACAAAATAATTTTAAAATATATATAAAAATAACCATTAATAAAAATGTATTAATCATTATACCTGGGAGTTAATTTATAAGCTGTCAATGAGCATGAGCCTGGAGTAAAACTGCAAGTAATTACAACGGTTTTTTCTCCATCCCATGATGAATTATCAGACATAATTCTGGCATGGGTACTTATATCCTAAAAATATTAATAATTAGATATATAAGTTTAAAAAATAAAATAATTCAATTTTTTTAAATTTAAATTCATGCAACTGTACTTGTGGTGATAGTTGTGGCAATTCATTGGGTTGAGTATGAATCCAACCAAGTGGCTCCATATCAGTAAGATAGTGATGGTTATTGGGCAATTGTGACGGTACATGAATTGTTTGATGAGTTCCCCATTGTGGAGGCATTACCAAACAACGGATTTCTTTTACTTGAGGATTATCGGGAGGACTCACGCCATACAAATAAGCACAAATCTAAAACAATAAAATGTATTTAGATAATCATAACAATAACATTAAAATTTATCATAACACTCTAATGAGGGATCAACGTTTTATAATAGAACCCGAAACATGAACTTTTATCAACTTTATTTTATTAATTGCAGCAAAGCTTAATATCTAATAATTTAATGAATTAATGATTTTTTTAATAATTTACTTTTGAAATATTTAAAAAAACTTGTGTAACAATAAAACAAGTTATAGTAACAAAATAGTAAACTTTAATTTATACTCAAAACAAATAGCTCCGAGAACCAAATGATTAAAAATGTTCTACATGTGGAAACAATAAATTATAGTATAATTTTTTCTTAAAATATTTCAACATACCTGAGCACGAAGATCAGAAATAGTAACAAACTTTTTGAGAACATTTTTAGGCAATATGTATGTGTAACCAGTTTCTTTAATGTCATCAGATGATACATAAATATGATTTGTACGTAAATGTAGATTAGTTGCTGATATTGCACGGACTCTCCATTCAGTTTTCGAGCTAAAATAATTAAAATAAATTTTTTTACAATCATCAACCATGTACAGAAATTAAAAATTTTTACCTGAAAGTTTGTGTTTCATAATTTGAAGTAGTAGAAGTAATAATATCATCTCCATGTTTATTTACTGTTCTAGTGGTAGTTGCTGTTAATTGTGACTGTTCTTTAGTTTGTTTCTCTATTTCAGCAATTTGTTGTCTTTGGGCTGACGGTGCACTAATTTCCATTCCCAAAATTATGTCACGAATTTCTGACTGTGTTAAAGACGCAACATTTACACTGTAATAGAATTAAAATAATTGTTATATTTAATAAATTTGAATATGATCTTAAATATTTTATGAATTCATACTTGTTTTTCTTTCCGTAATCAGCTAATATTAAATCCTTTAGCTGTACTTCAACATTTATCCATTCATCATCACTAAGAGTTGGCCAAATGTGATGTGGTTCAGTAATGGTTGTTTTGTCTGGTTTTAAAATTACTTTAGTACGTTCTGTGTTGACATGTAAAGCTCTTAAAATCAATATTAACCGAGAAAATGCCTATGAAAAAAAATTAAAATTAAATACAAATTTATTAAGTATAATGATATTTTAATTTTTCCAATTTTACCGTATAAGAAGAAATTGTTTTGAGCCAATCATCATACAAGTTGAAAAGAACCATCTGAGGCTCTGTTGCTTTTAATATGAGATCACCAAACTTCTCCACTTTCAAACATGCTTGGAATGGAAGTTGTAATTCCGATCCTTTGATTACAATATTTGGGAAATCCAGAAGATGCACCTACAATAAATATTAATTGTGTTTATTAAATATTATTTTCATAGAATTCATATATAAAACAGTTTGAAAATTAACCTCAAGAGGATCCAACATTCCTTTACGTGTTACAATAATTTGTTTAGGCTGTTCTTCAACTGGCAATGAACGAATCAAAGCTGCCACTTCTTCGGCCGTTTTCCATTTGGCTAACTAAAAATGAATAATATGTTATACATTGTGGTAATTAAATATTGTACTTTGATGTAAATATATATACTTGTCCTAAACGTTTTTGGCCAGCCCATACTGATGTATGAATAATTTTTAAAAACAATTGTCCAGTACGAGGATTAAATATAAAGATAGCTCCATTAATGGGCTTAGTTGTTAAATTTCCTTCAAAAGTTTTATGGATTGTGACTCTGTATACATTAGTGTCGTCCACAAACCTAAAACAAGAAATTGGCTAATTTAATGCATTAATATATTAGGTAATAACAAATGATTTAAATACAAAATTAATAATATAAACAACTGTTTAAACTATAAAATATTATTTACTTTTCTTATAAATATACATACAAATATTACTATTATAATTTTTACCAGATAATTTGATTAGAAAACAGTTCACCATAGTTCTGGCTTGACAAGTATGGTTCAGTAGGCTCAGAAGAATATAATTGCAAAGCTTTTCGAATACGTTCTCTCAATACATATAAAGCAGGATTTGCTTTCATAATTTTGGCCATTGCTTGTTGAATTAAAGGTTTACAGCCAGGAAACCAATTTCCATAAGCACTAAATAAATAATTATTCATTGATAATTAAATTGCTTTAAATAATAACAGCAAGTTCATAATTAAAAAAAAAATTGATGCATTACCTGTGCAAATTGTAAGCTAAATCAATTGCAATAAGTACACCGGTAGGTGATGGATAAATAGACATGTTATCAGTAGTATAGTCCAAAAATTTAGCTCTAGCATAACGTTCAACATCATGTGAATCATAATCTCCCCACCTAAGTTGGACATCCAACCAATATTTTTGTGTAGTAGTATTATCCATTGTGTCTCTAAAATAATTAAAAATAACAAAAAATTATAAGTAAAGAACAAAAATTCATTATATTGTACTGGTTTTGTAAAAGCACATACTTTGAATCAGCCAAAAGAGAGGGCCTGGATACATTCCATTTATAAGATGCAAAAAGTAGTATATCTGCACAAGAAGAGTTCATTTTGTAAGATTTACGTGGATGAATAGTTTCTTTTTGAACAGTTTCAATTTCCAATGCATCTAGTTCTTGATCAAAAACCTATAATAGAAATTGTATAAAAAAAAAGAGCAATATACTTTTCACGGGAGAGCAGCCACTGTTGTAGGTGAGAGGTTGGAAAGGTAAGATATAGAGGGGAATTTAATGTATATCTGTAAGCAATGATAAACCATTGTTAACAAAAAAAATTATTCTGAGCAGAATTCAGTTGATAGTGATGTTTTGTCTACAGTATACTCATGTCATATGGTAAAGTAATTTAATTGGCTTTATATGTTGATGGTATAGCACACAAATGTTGTGATAAATTTTGGTAAAATGAGTTATATGCAAAATTCTGTTGCCAATATCAATGTGAACATTGTAATTCCTATAAAATTAAGAAAACAGTACTTAACAACATCTGTGCGCTATGCCATAGATATTTTCTTTTAATAATATTTATTTAATATTGTACCGATTTTCCCATTTGTTGATTAAACTCTTGGGAAAATCAAAAAATTACCTACAGTACCTCCCCAGTAAGATTTCTTTTCAGAAAAGGTGCTAAACTTAAGAATAGGAGTAAGATTTCTGGTCGAAAATTGCCCACAGAAAAAAAAATAAACATCTTTGTAAAACCAAAATTTTTCGCTTCACTTAGAATCTAAAATGTGTATAAAAAATTAATACTAACTTGACAAAGATCCATAACAATAGATTCATGAACTTTTTGCCATAAATGAGCCCTGAATATCTGAATAAGGGAAATTTTCAGCGTAGGAATTTTACCGTGCATAAATATTCCAGTCAAATCTAGTTGTACTTGGAAACCAACATAAACATTAGCACGATTGATAGTGGGTGACCACCATAATGTAAAACGACGATTAGGTATTTGATTTAAACCAGAACGTTGAGCATTCGTCAACTTTTTGTACTTCATAGATTCTTCAAAACCAGATGCCTTTTCCCTGATAATTAATAAAGTTTAAGTGATATAAGCCAATATAAACCTTATAAAATAATATGTTTACCAAAATAGACCTTCCCAAGTTGGAAAATAAGTTCCTTTAAATAATGTATGTTCTAATATACCCTCAACACCACCCAATGCTTGAATCATATCTGTCCGGTAGTTGTTTAAATTCCATAATTTACCATCATGTCGTTGATGAGTCCACCAGAAAGGATTTTGTTTTAAAACCTAAAAAATATCATCAATATTACAGTTTATTAATGTTTTGAAAATTGAATAAAAATATTCAAACCAGTTTTGTTTAAAACAAAACTTTTTTTGTATAAAAAAAATTTAAAAATTACTTGATATTGTTTGAATTCTGTTCTAATTCTCCAGCCTTTATCATACGCTAAAGTATGTCTATCTTTTTGGAACAAAGTATTAATTCTAGGTATACCACGATCCCAACTATCTTCCAAGTCTTCCAAAGTTAAACGTCTGAAAATAAGATCAATACAACAATATATTCCAAAATAAATTTCACATATTTTAGATATTACCTATTTTGGGCATTTGCTTCTTGTCTTTTCAAAGCATATTCAGCCCATACTCGTTGAGAATCAATAAATTCTGATTCCCAGGGTTGTATATAACGGTATAAATTGGGAATCAACTGATCTTCGTCATGACTCATACCTGAACGGAAATGTGTAATCCCAACATCTGTTTGTTTTGACCACCTTAAATCAGACTATAAAAAAAAAAAAAAACGAAATTAAACATTTTTTAAATTTTATTAAATTTTTTTTCTTTTTACTTGAGGAATAAGAACGTGGCCCATCGACAACATTCCCAAACCACCAAGTTCTTTAGGAGTATAAAAAACAACAGGAGGAAATCTTGAAGGCATTTTTGAATTAAGACCAATTTTAATACGGGTTTGAATTTTGTTTTCACATTTCACTAATAAATCCAATAATTCTTGGGTATTTACAACAGCTTCTCGGAAATAAGTCATGAGACCAATTAATGCTGTATTCCATTTATTGACAATCTAAAATTTAAAATATCCATTTTTAATTATACATGCAACTTTAAGTAGGAATTAAATGAAACTGAACCTTAGTAAATGTTGTAGATCCACTGGCCATTAATATTTGTCTGACACGATTATGGAATCTCTGTAAAGATTCATCATCAACTCTCAAAAAGGATTGAGCTGTTCTTTCTTTAGTGATTTCATTTTGTAAATTCCATATTCCATCTCTATTTGTAAGTTCATCATGGATTGTGCGGCACTAAAACAAAATTCATTTTATTTACATATATAATATAAATTAAACCTTTCAGCAAATACATCTCTAGATTTTACATGAGCAGGCGCGTGTTGTATTTTATGCAACACATATTTTTCAAATATATTTTATTATATAAAAAGATAAATAAAGAATTTTTAATTCAAATATGGTTTGGAAACATTTTACTCTTATTTATACATTATGTTATGCTTTTATACATACTTTTTTTCATAATTTTTAATTGTACTTAATATAAAATATAATGAATAAAAACAAAATTATTTATATAAAATATAGACTAAACAATTTTTTATACCCAAAAAATGAATAGAAAAATATTATTTGAATAACAAAAAAAAATTATTTCACAATCAGGTGCACTATGTATTCTGTGTGATAGGACAGAGTTCACTGAATTATACATTGATAATAACAATTATTAATATTAATATATATCATATAAGTCATTGTAGAATAGGATAAACCCCATAATAAACCAAGCCACATAAAGATTATAACTGTCATACAAAATGAGCACATGCGCCTACTAAAAGGTTAAAAAAAATATTTAATATATGAAATATCTCACTTTTGGTAGAATGCGACATTCAAAACCACTCATATTGAACAATAAATTAGGATTATCTTTTGAGTAAACGCTCACAAAACTATTTTCCCATTGAATAGTAGTTGTTGAACGAGGCAGTCTGTTCTTAATGTCCCAAAATACTGCACGCCCTCTAAAAATTAAAACAATATTAATTACCACATTAGGAAATTGTGACTTTAATAACTTACAAGTTCACATCATGTTTCATTAAACGCATTCTAGCGTCTCGAGGCCAACATTTTTTGTTATTATAACCAACAATATTCTCATTATTAGGATCAGGATGTTCTGTTAAATAACGCTGAATAAGATCTTTTGCTTCTTCAGCAGTGAATCTATTAATACAAAATGTACAGTTTAATAAACCAATAATTGTGTCATGGAATGAAAATAATATTTATTGGTAATGTTACTACAGATAATGTATTTTTAAAAATAAAAATTTACTAGTAGATAACATTTTTTGTACATATAATACAAATATATTTTATCAATACCTGTTTATTATTATATTGTTAACTGAATAATTACCTTAAAAAGATGTGTACTCTATCTATATAACGACAATAAAGACGGACCGGGTGAGCTATTTCTGTAGGAACATCTTGGAATGTTAAGAAGTCATTGGGCATCTGAGGAGGTCCTGCCATTTCAGATGCTCTTTGTAATCCCAAAACCAACAAATCCAAAACTAATCCATAATATTGAACAATGAATGATGAAAACTGTAAACCTCTAACTATACCATAACTATTTGTATGATTCATATCCTGTAATTGTGTAAATAATATTAAAATTTATACCATACAGAATGTATTTTTGTTTTTTTATTTGAATAGCAAACCTTATAATTTATTATAACATTGCTTTTAGCAGTCATATAATCAGCAATATTATGATCAACAATCAATCTAAGCAATCTATTCAATAATGTTAAATCTATTTTTTCATATATTTTTTCAAATTTGGATTCTAGCAATACATTACACTCTCCTTCATTTACATCCCAAACGTCTTGTAAATTATTAACACCTAAAAAAGAATATGCATATATATGTATAATAAAAAATATTTTTAAGTTGTTTCACAAAAAAAATTTAAAATTTAAATAGTTATTTTTAAGATATGATTGTCATATATCTGTCATATACCTTGACACCATTTATATACAAGTAACGGAGGAGGCTCAGTATCTGATGGTTTTATCCACGGTGGAAATAAGCGTCTTTTATCAGCCTCGTACCACAAATATTGATCTAAATAGGCATCTGTTATTTTTTCTAATGGCTCAACATCATATACTGGCACTAAATGTGAATATAAATCCATAAACTCTATTCCAACCTAAAAATGAAAACACACTATTAAATTTATTATTAAAAACAATTAACTAAGAAATTTGTATGAAAATCATATTAAATAAGTTTTACTACATTATATTTATTGAATAGTAATACTTAATATATAATAAGTGTAAAAAAATAGTTTTTAATTTTTAATGATTATTATTTGAAATATTGATTAAAAATGTAATGACTGATGTGGAGCAAGACATGGTAAAATGAAAAGCTATAATATTTCAACAATAGCTTAATTAACATAATTATTATCTTGTTTAATACATATAAATAACAAGATAAAGTCTTACTTAAATTATTATAAATTTTTTAATTTGATTTTCATAAATTATAATATGTGTTCAGATGGGTAAATCTCCAGATAATATATACAATAACAGATCACAGACCACGTTAAATATAAATATTATCTGTCTGTATTCATTATTACAGATATCAGACCCCTGTGCTAATCATCATAACTATAAATACTCAGTTAGGCGCATATTCTTATCAATTTTTAAAACAGACACATCACAGATGAAATCCATTTAAAAACCAATATTTGGGCATCATTCTGCATCCAATATCAGAGCCCCTACGCTATTCATCATAGCTAAACAAATAACGTGTTTACAAATAAATATAGAATGTTCAAATAATTTAATTCAAACAAGATGTATGATCAAAAACAATATAATTTCCCAAAAAAAAGAATTAACACAAAGATATTTTTCATTTCAAATTGCTTAACCTTTTATTTAATTATTTTTAGGTAAATATTGAAACATTTATTTTAATTCCTAAAAGAACTAAAAAATTAAAATAAACGAAAATAAAACTCATAAATATATTGTTCATAATGATTGAATACAAACACCAAATTAGATTATCTTAATAAGCTAGCTACAAAGATTAAGAAAATTTGAGTTTACACATATGAGTAAAAACAACAAACAACTTGAGGTTTCCAAAACTTATAATTGTGATTTTTCTATAATCAACATAATTTATCATAGTTTAATAAAAATATAGTTCATATATATCACAATAAAACCTATTAGAATGAATTATAAATTGTTCATTTAGGAATTGATAAAGGGCTAAATATAACTTACTTCTTTAAATGTCCTCTGAGTTAATAAATGACGTTTAATTCTTGAAAGTGCTTCATGAGGATTATCATAAGCCTGCTCAATTAATCCCAATTCTTCTCTTTGACTTTGATTCAACCGAGACTTAACGCTAATAAAGTTATAATTAGTATGACGTAGAATACTTCTACCTCTTTAATATAATTGTAAAAGAATATTAATTGGACTAATAATTACCTATAAGCTTCTTTTAAACGTTCAAGAGCTAAAATAAGTAATTTTGTATCGTGTTTATATGAAAGCGGAGGAAATGGAATTGGAGCAAACCGTCGTGATTCTAGCCAATGCACAGTTGTTGTATAAATTGCTACAGCTTCTTCAGGAGAAATATAAGGTCCATCCTGTAATAGAAAATGAAATATTACAATGATAAAAAAAAAAAAAAAAATCATACTTTAAGATAATTGTGTTGTCGCTCTTGTTCTGCTTTTAAGTATAATCGAGTCAAACGACCCAAATTTTTTTTACAAACAGTTTTATCAACTGTAGCCCCTCTACGAATACGTTCTCTATTATAATGAGCTGTATTTGTCCACCAGTCAGCTTTCATTTTTACATATCGTAAAATCATATTCTCAATTGGTGTTGGTAATCCAGGAACCTAATAACAAATAAAAAATTATAAATATTTTATTTGATTAAATCTATTAAATAATTATTTACCTTCCATGGAATATTAGCTTTCCAACATCTCCAAGCTTCAGATAAATGTTGCAAAATTGTTCTAGCTTTATTTTGTTTAATACCTTCTGGCATCATATCTACTATATCATGCATGACCTAAAACAATTATTATTTAGAATAAAATTATTATTAAAAAAAAATTATGATAAAATATTTACAGAAGCACGAAGTTCTAAATCAAAATGACTTTCAACGCGTTGTTTAGTAACAGTTTTTGCAACTCCTTTTGAATGTCTTCCTTCAAATTGTCGGGACAGTAAATTACCTAACCATCTTTCTAATAACGGAGTTATACCACGCATAAAAAATAACCATACACGCCAACCAGGTGCCCAAAATCCACATCCTGGACCTTTACCTACTGGACCCTAAAATAAAATGTAATTTAATAATTTTATTCACTTAAGGTACTAAAATTACTCACAGTATTAAACCGATAATAAATAAGATGTTTTAGATCTTTGCACATTCGTATTTGTCTCATGAGTTTGTACTTATAACGGTACATTCCAGTTAGTTGCCCCACATGTGCAAATACGTATTGCAATCCATCTGCTAATTGAAATGCATCAATATTGTTTAGTCTGTATTGTACATGTGAATCAATAATCAATTTTGTCAATCGAAGTATTTCTCGACACAAATGAAAAGCTAATAAAATAATTTTGTTATTAATTTATATGATAGTTAGCGTAATTAAATACTATCAGTTAATAATTTGAGTAATAAATACCATTTCCAAATCTAGATTTTTTTCTCTCTTTTGTTGTTAGTGTTTTAACTGGTTTCAAATTGAAATTGTAATCCAGATGTAAATAATTAAGATTTTTACGGTGAATTAAAAGGTTTAACATGTTATATCCTTGTCTGCATACTTGCAAACCAGCTTCAACCCAATCTAATGTTGTTGTTTGGAAAAATTTGGTGAACTTAAATGATCGGAATAAATATCTAATAATCACATATATTAATAAAAAAAAATGAACCAAACAAAATTAAATAGTATACTAATATAAACCTTTTTTTTTGTGGTTTAGGTGGTCGATGTTTCAAAGCATTTAATACATAATACTTCAATAGTTTTTGATAGCTGACACGCACTTTAACAGGTTGCCCAGGTGGACAATGTTCTCTATACCAACTCTTAACTAAAGGAACATCGATAGCTCTTCTACATCGGCCTAAAAATAATAAAATTAAAACATGCTGGGTATCTACAGTAATAAAATGTCTAACTCAATTTTAAACAAATATACTAACCAGAACGCATATTAAATGGTCTAGGCGCCCACAATAAAGCAATACCATTTGCTGTGTTATCAGTGTAAACAGGTGTTTCTTGTAAAAATGGTTGTACTTCTGGTGGTAATTCAAATTCTTCATCATCATCAAATACAGGTTCATTAATCTATAATTATGAATGATAATAATGGTTGAATTGAATTAATATTTCTTTTTTTTTTAAAAAATAAGAATTAAAATATGTTATAATTATTTTTTTTTTTTTACAATTCATTAAATTTTAATTTAGCAATGAAAATTTAGAATAAAAAATATATTGGACATTGAAAATTTATATTAAACAAATTTAATTTAAAAAAAAAAATGTAAAGTTCCCGTAGCTTCCAATGAATTCAATTCAAAAGTTTAACAATTTCAATATAATAAATTAGTTTAATTTTAATAATTAATAAAAAATAGAAGAATAGTTCTTTATAATTTAAAAAATAAATACCTTGACTGAATGTCTATGAGATATGGGATTAATTAAGGGATCAAAATAAAATGCTGGTAGATCTGGATCTTCCGTTTTAATATACACAACATTTGGCGCATGATACCTAAACATTAATAATACAAATATTATAAATACAAATATTATAAATACAAACAAAATGATCATACAATACAAATAAAATACTTGTTATATAATATAAATATTTCTCTAACTTGTTAAAAAGCATTACTTTTACATTTGAATTATTTAATAGTAATAATAATACTTTAACATATATATATATATATAACAAGCGTATTTTAAATTTTTATTTTTAATAACTATTATTTGAAATATTAATTCAAAAACAAATAGAGTAAAAATGAAAAACTATAAGATTTTAACAGTAGCTTAATCAAAATAATTACTATCTTGTTCTATAAATATAAGTAACAAGATAAAATCTTACTTAATTATTATACATTTATATATTTGATTTTCATGTCTTAAAAAAAATTATAATATTTGTCTACATAATTTGTTCAGATTGCTAATTCTCCAGATAATATATACAATAACAGATCACAGACCACGTTAAATATAAATATTATCTGTCTGTATTCATTATTACAGGTCAGGCCCCTGTGCAAATCATCATAACAAACTAAATACTCAGTTAAGCGCATATTCCAATTGATTTTAAAACGGACACATCACAGATGAAATCCATTTAAAAACCAACAGTTGGGCATCATTCTGCATCCAATTTCAGAGCCCCTACGCAGCTCATCATAGCTTAACAAATATTTTTACATAGGAATCTGAATTTATATTTAAATAATTTAAAATAAACAAAAATTTCAATTGTAGGATAAAAAAATATATTTCACATATACATTAATTTTTCAAATTGCTGAACTATTTTTGTATTATTTGTTTAAGTAAATATTTAATTAAAAGAATTAAGAACTAAAATAAATACATTAAATTAATCATAAATATTGTTCATAACTATCAGCGCCAAATTAAGATTAACTTTATCTTACTAGCTACAACGATTATGTAAACTTGATTTTACACACATTAGTAAAAACAACAAATAATTTTATGATGTTTTCAAAACTTATGTGTTTGATTTAGTTATTTTTAAATAATAACTGTAATACTTTAAAAAAAATGTACTTAAACTTAAACTCACCAAGATAAATGAACATAATGAGGTAAGTTATTGTACAAGTATGGAAATGCAATTCTGTATTCAGTTCTTACTGGTTGTCGTATAATAATTTTATTAATGTCATTAAATTCATTCCAATCTTCATCACGAACAAAACTAAATAATAAAATAAATGTTTAAGTATTAAAATATTTTAAGTAGCTATAATTTATGTTAAAACTTACGCTGGATTTGAATCCTTGATAAGTGGTTCAAATTTAGGTCCTCCTGGAATAGCCATGTTTAATGCTTTAGCAGTAAAAAATGACTTTGGGTCAAATAAGTAAAAATAATTATCATCAACGAGATCAGTTAAAAGTTGATTTGCTAATCTATATAATGTAGCCATTTGTGGTAAAGTTAAATTCCATTTACGATATGTAGATCCATTTACATGTCTACAAATAAATAAAATTAATGATAATTGATATTTTATATAAAACTTGAATTTATTTTTTAAGGGCTATTATTACAATAATCAGTTATAACTCTGATTACGTAATGGACCATTAACTATTATTTAGATAACCAGGGCTAACATAGTAATAGTCTGTTTCCATAAAATAAGTATTATAGTCATAGATAATAAAAACATGGATAGAACATAAGATCTTACCAGGTATGTTCAAGAGATTGTAATTGAGGCCATTTGTTTATAAAGTTTTTTTCCAAAAGCAGCGCTGCTAAGTAGCGCTGCCTAGTGGCTTCGTGTAAAGGAACTCTAACAGTTAACAGAGTGGTTTATTGCTCAGTTACATTTTGTAACCAGCCAAAATTGGTTGGTAAGCTTAACTGGCAGTTAGCAAACGGGAGTTTGTAATACTGATTTTTCCTTCTTACAGACTGTCTTATTAATAAACTCTTAGTAATATGTAACTGATGATTTAATACTGCCCCTTATTGTATTAATATTAAATAATGAATACCTTGTGTTAACAAGTGGTTTATGATCATAAAACCATTTAGCTACAGCAGCATCTTCTTCTGTATCTAAATCTATTTGAATAGCTTCCAATGGTTCAACATCTAAAACATTGTCAGCATAATCTAATGGCGGTTCTTCATCGTCAAATGGAGGAAAACGCATTCGTTTAAAATGACGCCTATCACGTTTTTCTCTTCTCATCATTATCCACATAGTTCTTAAATAAAAACAAATAATAAATCATTTAAATTGTTAATTAAAGACATTTAAATTGTTTAATAATTGAAAAAGAATCTTACCCCCACTGAGCAATATAAACTGGTTCAATAACCCACGGTATTTCATTTACAAATGTAATTGCACCAGTTATATGATATAAAACCTTGACATCACGAATTTGTTCCCATGGCATGGGCATATTTTCCAATAACTTTAAAACAGCATGTGGCATATACTTCAGAGCTCTAAAATTATAATATTAATTAGTCACATATTATAGAAAATTAATTCTCAATTGAATATTAAATTGCATAATTTAATATTTATTTAATTAGATTAATTACTGAAATTAACTAAATAATTTGAATAATGAAAATAACAACTTTTTCTCTTCTCAGAATGTTTTAATATTTTAATACAAAATTAGTTATACTTATTGGTCTTTGTTAAAGATAGTACATTTTAAGTAAATATTAAAAAAAAATATAATACATTTTCTTTTCATAACTGATTGTATGAATTACATGTTTGGTTTTTTAAACTGAATTAAGCACTTTTATAAATAAAACTTATAAAAAATCTTAAATAATCTAGTTGAATATCAGATGTTTTTAAAATTTTTTTTTTATAAATAAAAGTATTATTTTGATTACATAACATACCCTAAATAAACTCTTTTATCATGACGATATTTACGACTACTCATATCACCATGATCTCTGATTATTTTACGGATGTGTTCTGGAGGCATATCTTCTTTTTGCGCATCAACAAAACCAAATTTACGTTTAGGTGCAAACCTTTTAGATTGAATTTGTTGCCATTTTTGAGCTACATAAAAGAAGTTAACAAGAATTAATTACAATTTATTTATAAGCGATTTGCTGCAATTTACATTTTTCTTGCAATTTTTCTTCGCTCAATGGTTCAGGTATTCTATGAGGCGGGACTGACGACATTTGATGCATTGCCATTTGTTGGGCAACATGCATATGAGCATGTACGGCAGCTGCTTGTGCATGGGCTGCTTGGGCCTGTGCTTGAGCTTGCACAACAGCAATTTGTTGTTGTTGTTGCTGAACAATCATTTGGGCCCATGGGTTTCCACCCAGCATAAAAGGTGGAATGGACATGACCTATTAAAAATAATATAAAAATGTTTTATAATGTAACAAATAAAACTGCTAAAGATAATGTACTTGATATAAATTAACAATATTAAACCATATATTATAAAAAACTTACTTCTGATTTTATATTTTTACAAATAAGATAAACAATCACATTTTACTTATCATCGTCATAATTAAATTAGATTATTAAAAATTTAATAAACAAAATAAGAAACTATAAAACCTGAAACTAAACCTAACAATTTGATTTTAATAGAAGAAACTCAAAGATGAGAGTTTGTACAAACAATACAGAACGTCGGTAAACGCATAATGTAATCATGCCGAAACATGTATAATCTCCTTTATCAAAGAGGTCACAAAAAGATAACTTATAAGCACTTTGGTAACTATTAATTAAATATAAATTTGGAGGGAATTTTCACTAAGCATTCTGTTATATTATGGTACAATTTAATTGTTTTTACTTTTCACTCTTTCTTATTATTACTACTTTGAGCTCTTTTCCATCATAATTATACCTCGAGTATGATTAGCAGTAGCGGCTCGTCCTCAGTGTTGAATCCAGTTAATTTTTCTGGGGGGGGGGGCATAACTAAAATTATAGTAATAATCTTTTTTTTTATCTAAGATTTTAATTGTACCAAATATGTAACATGTTAAAATAATATATTTCCACACAACATTCAGATTCCAAAAAATGCGTTGCACCATCTAACGTATAGTTTAAGCCCTAATCTATGTTTTATATTGATACGCACATGCAAACGTTATCAATTCCCGTTTTGTAACGTGTTTGAAGCTTGATAACGTTATTTTATGGTTTTTGTCTCGTGTGGTTTTTATTTCCTTGATTACAAAATGTGCTTTGAGTGAAAAATACTATTTTAAATTATCAGAGATGAAACTTGAAATTATTATAAGGTTTATATGAACATTCATAACACCCAAATAATTAATAATGCAGTAGTTTTACTCAAGTTTATTTTAGTAGTTTAGTCATAAAAATACAATTTTCTAATACAAGCCCAAACACAAGATTTTTAAAATTATTTTTCCCAAATTCAGTGCATCAAAATTAGTAAGGGATAATTTTTATGTAAACAAAAATTAGACATTGAAAATTTAATTATTAATTTATCCATATTTAAGAGGGGGGGACTAACAAAATTCAAGAGAGGACTATCGACCCCCTCCTTTCATATACCTGGTTTCTACACTGCTTGTATTAAACATAGATAATACCTTGTTAGGGTTTCAAGGGGGACAAGTAGTTCTATACAGTTTCATAAAATGAGGCGTTTTACCTATACAGTGATGAATGATAAATCGCCTCAGTTTACCACGACTCTGGCGTTACTTATTACAATGGAGATGTCACAAAAAAAAAAATGTTTAATTAAACCCACAAATCTTATTGTAATGAACACGGTCAGCGGTATTCTGACTTTTTACCTCTTCACAAATCAAATTTAAAAATCAATGCATTGAAAAGTATTTAGAACGATCGGTATTCGTGGGAATCAAATGTGGTTACTATACCTGGTTGCTGGTATAGTGAGTTACCATTATAATTAAAGATATATTGCCCACTGGAATATGAAATTGTGACTACAATGTTACTCAATTATATTACATACAATATTATAATTACAATAGGTATTATATAGTACCTATATTATAGTTCAGCGTACACGGATCATAAAACAATTTTATAGCGCTCGTAAGCCGCAGTGGAATATTTATGTACTATATTTGGTATATCACTATCGCAATAATTCAGAAATATGTTTGTGATTGTGAAATTTTAAATCATTAGTGATTACGATAAATTTTAATACTGGTGATGTACGTGTATGGTAACCAAACGTACCTACTTTTTTTCGTAGGACAGTACTTCTTTTTGATGCATTGCCCTATGTCCTTAACAATAGTATTAAGTACATAATATTGTACTCTTTAAGATAGATCTTAAACCGTGCTAACAACGGTAGCGACAGCTAGAGCGCTACTATTTGACGAAAAATAAACGTTGTTAACATCATAACCACCAGAAACCTATTAATAAAGTTTTGTATTTATTTATTTTAATGTTAACTTTTAAAAATTAATTTAAATATTTATACTCTAGTCATACATGTATACTTTAAGTTTACTTAAAATAACTTAAATTTCAAAGTATTTTCATCATAAAAATACAAACCAAATGAGTTGACATAATGATTTCAATTAATTCGTTTTTTTTCAGTTGATAATAGAAAAAATAGTATACAGATGGAAATGATATATGGGCAAAATGGGTAGAATAGTATACACATTGGTCAATTCTTTAAAGGGTTTTTTTTATAATGGAGGACCTAAAGTGCTGCGTTCCTCCGGCCGGCCGGTCTCCGGCGGCCTGCGCAGTTAGAACTGACAGGCCTCCCGGAACGTGTGTGGCTACATTAATATTGTACTATAACATTATTTTTACGGACAAAGAGCGCACTAAGTTAGTTAAGCAGCTGTTCCTGAGACTAATTTCAATTGCCATGTGATAACACTTATAACATAGCCCGTCGGGTAACCAGTATATCTTTAATCGTGGTACGATTTTCTACATCTTGAATTGTGGTTACCACTCTGATTGAAATACCATAGATCTGATAATGATGTTTATAGTTTTATAGGTCTATAACTCTATGGACCGAAATCACGCCTTATCATGTATCTCAGATTGATAACGTATTAAGACGTCCTTATCAGTATACTAACAGTGCTAAACATGATCACCTGTTTTCAATTTTATACTCTAAGATGCTTCCCATAACATTTTTTTAAATTCATCATTTGGTATACTAAAAGACGGTTTAAAATATCATGAGGTTCACACACACAACAATATTTTGGCATTTTATTAAATTTACCTGTATAAAATAACTATAGTATATAGAATAATATAGTATGTATGACAATACTCAGAATATCTAACATCAGTTAGATATTCTAACTATAAAATATGATTAATTATATGATAAAATTAATAATACATCTTTGTTTTATAACCACGGATAAATTATATAATTTATTGTAATATTATATTAACATGCTAAGTATTAGATTTTGAAAATCTAGTATACAGGGTGCGCTAGTATGACGCCAGTATTACTTACCTACTTGAATCAGTTGTTCAATTTCACTTTTCAATCGTAACCAATAATTGACAGCGCGTAAAAACCCGGAATGTAAAATAGTAAACTTGAACGGTACAAATCTGGAATACAAAATTTTGAAATCCGTAAAAATCTAGACGGTACAAAACTAAACCGTAAAAATATAAAAACGTTTTTCAACATTTAAAATATTTTTCATTATTAAAAAACTCTAAAAAGACGGAAAATACGATTTTTCATTTTTCTTCAAATTACGATGTAGCGGTTTTATTATACTTTTTCTGTCATCTTGTACTCTTGTACATAGAGGACATTGGAATTTTATTAAGTTTTTTATAAATTCGATAACTAAATGGTTTCCACTCCTGTAACCCTGTTATAAAGACAAGTTTATAATTCATATTATGTCAGTTTCGTCATCTTTGAAAGATGACCAGTTAGTGATCATGTTATTTTCCAGTTTTTCCCATGTTTTTTTCTATTTATTGGAAAAACTCCTAGGAAAACCAAACATGGCCTCCTTAAAAGTACCATCCCAAAAGAATTCCCTTTCAGAAAAGGTGTTGAACTTGATACTTCGGAGCAAGATTTCTGGTAAAATGTTTGTACATAGTATATATAAAAAAAAAAAAAACAAGCATCTTTGTAAAATCAATACATTCTTTGCTACATGAATAGTTTGTGGACGGACGAGCACTATCGTTTAGATACGGTTAAATCCGAATTAGTTATAAGAAAGAACTTAACACATAATTGTTCGGAGTTCTTTGAAGAAATTTGAACTGAAAATAATTTATTAAACGCTGTGAAAAATACCGCCAAATATACTTTTGAACCTATTTAATACCTACTTTATTTTATTATTTTCACATTATGTAATATTAAATAAAAATTATGACGTTTTTTTTTTTTTGTTATCTTTGGACCGGTATTTTCCAAACTAAAAGTTGGCAACCCAAGTGTAATGCAGTTTTTGTATTTTTTATTAAAATGTTAAAATCAAATTTTGAAGAAAATCATGAATATTACGACCTTTTAGAACATATATAATAACTTCTTTTACTTTATTTTACTTTAAATAGTTTTTCTTGGGTCCATACATATATTCGTTATACCTTATACCTAAGTACCTATCTGAAATATTTGAAACATTAATATTTATTTTAAAGGACTTCAGTCATTTTACACCATTTTATGTAATGTAACAGGTATTTTTTCGGTTTATTGTGCATTTTATTTGTAATAAACAAAATACCGGAATATTTTAAAATTTGTATTATTTACGACTGCGTGGTTTATTTAGACAATTCGGAGAAAATATTTTTACTTGTGTTAATAATTTAGTATAGGTACTGTTTTGCAAAATAACCAAGATAATGTCACATTGTATTTTCACATACAGTGGAACCTTGCTTAACCGTGTCTCGATTATCTGAAGATGTTTAAAATAAGTATGAACCGTACATAATATAATTAGTTATAATCGAACATTTTATATTATACGATATCGACAAACATGTTGATAACATATTTGACGATAACAATATGACCATGTATATATAATATTTATTTTATCGCAGGTATGTAGTTGAATATATTTTAATATATATGCATGTATGTATAATATATATGTATATGAATATATTCATGAGGATAAATAATACTGTACATTGTTTTACAAATTATATTTATCGAATCACCTTCAGTTTACTGAATAACACATTTCGAAAATTCATTATAATAAAAAGTCTCGATTAACCGTGGTTTTCGTTTATCCGCGTGACCCTCTCTACACCATTACCCCGGATAATCAAGGTTCCACTGTATGCATTTTGTAAATTATTATGATGATGACATAATTTTAAATACTAAGTGGAGCGGAGAAGCTTATGGTTTTACAAAGATGTTTATTATATATTTTTTTTTTTTTATATGTGCGCAACTTTACTACCAGAAATCTTGCTTTAATTTATAATGATAGCAATTTTTCTAAAAGGAAATCTGTCTGGAGGGGTAGTTTAGGGAGGTCATTTTTCAATTTTTCCAAGAGTTTTTCCAGCATATTTAAAAAACCGTGAAAAATGTAGAAAAAATGGAAAATCGGTAAAATATTAAACAAATATTATTATAGAAAATATATAAAGGCTATTTTTTTATATTACTATAGTATGACGTATATTATATTGTTGACAAAGCATCATTATCAACTGAATCCCGCTAAGAATTGTTTTGTCGTAAGCAATGGTTTTTTTGTTGCTTACAGGTATATACATTAAATTACCTACAACAGGTGCTGTACCCGTCCCCATTATCCTACGACGTCTTTTTTTATAATAATTTTTATCAACTATCAATCATATATTATCCATTCAAATATATATTAAATTAAATTACTTAATTGCCTGATAAAATAAAATTAGTATTTTAATTATTAGTTTAAAAATAAGAATTTGTTTTTTTTTTTTAGAATTTTTACCACTCTTTACTTTATTTTTTAACTTGGTACTTTTTCTAGTGTTTTATTGATGTGCCTATTATAAATATTTACAATACCAACAATTTTTTTGGAAATATCCTTATAAAATGGCCAAATGGCTATCTTGGATTTTGTTATGGTTGTTTTTTTTTTAACATTTAGATTTAAAGATATATAATTTAGAATAATCATAGCACAAGGCTCTAGTAATGGTTACAAGAAAAAACTGCTTAAAATTATTAAACGGAACAAAAATTATTTCATTTCAAGTGTCACCAGTGTCCGATCTTTGTATTACAGGCCGTACTGTATGGCCAGTAGGCGATAGTAACCGCGCACAGTTTCAATTCAAAAGAATTGCAATTTGTATCGATTTGCAAAAATGTTTTTGAAAAAAAAAAAACACACACTGTAAACCCGGCGTAAAACCGCTACGTACCATTTGTAACAATAATGATTATTTAGCGTTTACCTTTTCGTAGTAATTGTGCTGTTATTCCCTTCTACCCCTCTCCTACAACGTGTTTACATAATTGTATTGCGTTTTAAAGTGGGGACGAACTGGTTCGTGTTATGACCTTGACTCGAATTAAAAATAATATTCTGTTTGGATTGTGCATTACAGTACATAATATCCAAGCATCATTTTAGACATCATCAGTTACGATTTTAGGTTCTTGCAAAACTGCCGTTGCGCATAGTTTTTTCTCTCGAAAACAATTACAATTAATACATTGATACGTTTGTTATTTTCACTGAACAGATTTCATTTAATCTATTTGTGTATTTATTTTTTCGTTTTAGTCATATTCATATATTTTAAACAAGTAAATGATAATGTATCCACCAACCCGAAAGTTCGTAATATTAAAATAATAACTGCGTTATACTTGTGAAATATTTATATTAAATTAAATATAATTATGGTAAGTGCAATGCTGTTTTTTTTTTTTAAATCAATAAATTACATTTTTGACCTTAGTGTACTGTTAGATATTTATATACGTTGCGTGGAATTATGTAGGTAATACAAGTTATATTAACGAACGGTCGGGAATCGGGCCACATTTTAAAGTAAACAATATTTTTATACATTTTTTTACCCGGGTATTGGGACACAAATGTATAACACAAAAATATATGATTTTAAATATATTAAAATGCATAATATAAAATATAATACCTATAAAATTAGTCAAATAATTATTATTATTTTTAAAAATAATGTGATACAGATTGCTTTGCGCAGTATTCAAAAGTGCCGTCAACATTAATTGATTATAACGAACATATAAGAAATTTAAATTTGTAATCGTGAAAAAAAAAATAATATGGTTTAAAATAGTGATGTTAAATAGAGGTTTGCCTTTTGTCAAATCTAAAATATTGTGGTCCAATTCTTGGACGCCCATATTAACATAATTAAATAGATAGGTATAGGTATATTATAATGACAATATAAAATTGTATAGTTAGCTTCCTTATAATAGGATTTTCGATGTTTAAATGAATGGACTTCTTTTGTTCCGTTCAATTATAAAAAATCTAGTAAACAATACGTAAATAAAATTGGGTTATATTTTTAAAATTTCATTTCTAGTTTTAACATATCATGTAACCTATTCTTGTTTTGATTGTTTATATTTTTGCACGGGGGCGTCTGTGATATTATCCCCAAGGGATAAAGGTAATTCAAAAACGTATGCAGTTTTTTTTATTCTATAAAGTAAACTCTTATTAGGTATATCGTATATAGGAATTAAAAGATCGAGAGGACAATTGTCCCTCCTTGGGACCCCGACCCGGCCAACCACTGAAGTACTTACTAGGGGTTGTATCCGAGTTCCGTCCCAATTAAAAATGTTTTTATCAACACATGAATACATAAATACATATTTAATACAATTTAAATACATAAATCATAAATACATAAACTTTAAACGTAATATATACTTTCATAAATACAAATTTGTTATTGGATTAAATTTATATAATGTAAAAAAATAATAGTCTACATAGACATTTTCCATGTCAATGTTAAAATACAGAAAAAATTCAAATAAAATTAAAGCATTAATGTTTACAAATTCGTATTATTTAATGCGATAACTGAAAGCAATATTATCTTTATTTTTAAATAATATAAATGTGATACCGTAGTCTTAAATTATGTACTTTATTAATATAGTGTAGAAAATGCAAAACGGGGCGGAACTCGTGTGACTAAATAAATTACACGGGACGGAACTCGTACATCCATTTTAAAAACTCGGGATGGAACTAGTGTATCCTTAAATTCAAATTTTACATTTGGGACGGAACTCGGATGCAGCTTTGCTAGGTACTTTTCATTCTTCCGCTCCTTAAACGCTTTTATAGGCATTTTTAAATCACACCAATCCGATTATTTTTGGATCTACCGATGGATTTTTTTTTTTGTGATTTTCTCTTCTGTTGGTATCTACTGTTCTTACAATTCAATCTCCTCGTCTTTTCATTATTTATATATATATACATATAATAATATGCTATACCTATACTATAAAATAATTTCACTAATACAAACAATTTATTTATTTGAATTGAACATTTCATGTTTTACTATACTACTTTCTAACATGTACGTTTCATTATATGATGTAAGATTGTGATTCAGCGTAAAAATTGTTCACTGATTTATTTATGTCTATCACTATTAATAAGAGGCTGTTAAAGCCGCATGTATAGTTTCCGTCTTATTATAAACGCACGATAAGTAAATTTGCATTCTGCAGGACAATTATTCTGTCTTTGTGGTGTAAGTTTTAATATTTAAATGAATTAATCTATTATGAAACTTAAGAGCAAGAATATCTTCTGTACTTGTTCGTCGGTTTTATTGATAGATTAATTTTTAAGAGAAATACAAGTAGGTGCCTTATGTGTAAGCATTATGTCAAATATCGCAATTAAAAAAGTATTAAAATATTTAAATAATTTATACTTATAAACTCATAAAATCGATATTAATTATTTGACTATAATAAATTAAACAATAAAAACATATTACTATTATGCAGTTATGCGACTATATTTTATATACTACCTTGAGATTATTTTTTACATTTCGAATATAAATGATTTACCATTTAACCTATTTATTATTATTATTATTGTATTTAAAATAAATTATATAATTCTAATTTAGTGTCTTTTTAAAAAAAGTTGAAATCAAAGACTAAATTTCGTAATTTATTGAATTGTTATACCCGTATATCTTTAACGTATTTTTATATTTGATAATAATTTTTATTATATGTAATATATTCTTAAAAACAAAATACATATTATAGAAAAATGTATTATATTTTATAATAGGTACCTATTTATACCTATCCATTAAAGTTTTTATGTACTTAAATTAAAATAAGAAATCATTTTCATATTTCTAATTAAATAATTTTGTGTTCTAATTTATTTAATTATTAACAATTCGTTTGGAAGCTTTAGTATTAACTATATTTATTTTTAAATGTCTAAAAATATATCATACTTTAATATAAAATATTCTGTTTCTAAATATTGAGTATTGGCATTTAGCACGGTTATTCATCTTAAAGTTTATACACGGATCCGTGTGCCTCACAAAAATTCAAGAACCGCTATTTCAAAATGCATATTTTTTGCATATTTTCATTTTTTATAGTGATAGTATTTTGTTATTATTATTGTCAATAATATTTACATTGCTCAAATATTATCGTCAACATTGTAATTTTAATTATTCAACAATCCATTGATGATATTCTTTCATGAATAGGTCACCAGAAAAAAGTGTTCAGATACCTACCTGACCTATCTACCTATTGAACATACGTTTGCAAACCGGTTTGTACGATAATGAAATTCATATAATTTCGTCATATTATCATAAAATGCGTGTCACGGCATGTAATACTGTATTCTAATGAATTTATGAGTTGGATGAGTGAGAAATTATCATTCAATATTTTATATAGATAATAATATAATATTATAAGTTATAACACTTATAACTGTTTCTATACTTTGTACGTTATATTTGTTTTATATTTTTATTATATCTATGGGTTCTTTAATATATGTTTTCTAAATTCCAACTTAATTTCGAGCAGAATTTTTGTTAGTTGATCCATTGCAGAGGTTGTTTTTATACTAGGGAAAAATCTGGCATCATGTAAAGATCATATAAACTTCAACTTTAAGGTGGATGGATGGGATCCGAAAAGTCCTCGAATCAGATTTTTAAATTTGCATTTCTATAATATGGATGTGATGTGTTCAGTAAGTAAGGCGTTTAGGGGAGCCATAGGGGCTCCCCAGCCATCAAAATACCTATAAATAATAATTTCTTTCAGAAATCTGTTTAGAAGTTTATAGTGTTAATAAATTATAATTACGGTCTCTGCTGATAGTTGTGCTATCACATTAAGCAGTCAGGTATCACATTGACTGACTGACGTCTGGTCATGTTAGATAAAACTTAAAAGTATAACTTTTGGACCAAAAGGATATTGTCCGACCTCCTAGAAGACGAACTAAATCCGCCACTGGTGCTCAGTGCAGTCTTTGTGGATTTTTTTTTTTGTTTTTAAAATAGTCTAAATATACAAGGTATCTACTCGCCTTATATGCGCTAGTTACCTACTAAAAACTGTCACGTGACGACACGTGTTACATATATAAATATGCTACATATTATAGATAATACGATAATTAATGCCTAATCATTAATATTACAACAATTAATTAATAAAACAGGATTTACTGAAATTTTAATTGCTGATAAAATACTTAATAATTATTACAATTGATTTTTTTTTAAATCTAATATAATATATAATGTGATCTAATTAAATGTATACACTCCTTATTTCGAAAAGTATCAACTTTTTACAGAATTTGTTTTATAAAATCATTAGAACCAGTGGTGTTTTCATTAATTTTTTTGAGAGTATACTGTACCAGCTAATTTTATATATCTTTCTCATGAACTATAGTGTTCACAGAAAAATAGATATCAATTATCCAAAAAATTAAATTAAAATTATTAAAACAAAATACTCGACAGTTTTAAAAATTAAGTGCTATTGACTATATGAATCGTGAAATGTTCAGTTAATTATAATAATTACTAAAATAAACACAATTTTTATTACTATTTCGGTTTTGGTAACATAAGTGGTATGAACGGCTCATGATAATAATATATCATGTAGGTTTTTTTGTTCTTTAAACCATTTAAGAATATAAGCAGTAAATCCGTAATTTTTCAACAAAATTTTGAGAGTATACAACGTATATGTAGGAACACCACTGATTAGAACCTTTATGAAACAGGCAGTTTTTTTGTTCACCCTTATTTTTGGGGGTAAAAAGTTGCCTACTTTTGATTTACAAATAGTAACCTATATTAAGAATCCCATGTTCAGATGGAGCATTACTTGTTGTTTAAATGTATTTCAATATTGAAGTTTTTGATTTCCGTCGACTTGTTAACAAAATATTCCACTTTTTAGTTCGGGTAGGGGGATAGTAGTGGAGCGTCATATGTATGGTGGTATGGCACACAGCGTTTTAATAATGCACCACTACTCTCCCTCGACCTAAACTTAAAAGTGGAATATCTTGTTAACAGGTTGACGGAAATTAAAAATGTAAATATTGAAAAGCATTTTAACTAATAAGCATTCTATAAAATGTATTTTTAATATAGGTTGCTACTAGAAAATCAAAAATAGGTAATGATTTTAACCCCCAACAAAAAAAGATTTTTTTTTTTTCAGGCACGTATAGCCAGTAGGAGAAGTGTTTTGGATCCTCCATGAAATTTAAACTTTCTTCAAAAAAATCAAATTTTTGGTACAATTATTGGTAGTGGGTAATAAATTTTATGTTCGGACACCACAAACAAATCCTGGCCACATGTCTATATTATTCTGACGTGTACTTTTTGAGGCAAGTTTACGAATATATCAATATCATGCTATCATCACTTTTGAAGCTTCATTGTATACCGAATAAGAAGTGTAGTTTCAATCCTTCATTTAATTTGAGACTCATTGATTTTTTCATCTCCTTTTATACTATTATCATCATTCACTATATATGTTTGTAATATTGTTTACAATCACCGTCTTGGTCTTTGGCAATTGTGGTAATATGGTTACCAGAGATAAACACAGAGGAAATAGATAGATTGCCGACCTTATATTCTAAGAACGTGCAACAGAATAACAATAAAATTGACATTCATATATTTTGTTTAAGCATAGATTAAATACAGATTAAATAGTATGTTTAATTTATGGTTTAAGCAACTAGATATCAAAGTTATGTAAATAAAAAAAAAAAGACCTAATACTGGGTATGGGTGCAGCTTATGTTGTAGGTAGGTAGTTAGGATGGTGGGATACAAAATGTTATTTATTTATACTTGCAAGCAATGATAAACCATAACCATTGCTAACGAAAAACAGTTCGAAGCGAAGTTCGGTAATACATGTTTTGAAAGATTGTAATATTTACGATTTTCGTCAAATATTGCATTTTACTCAATTTTGTTTTTTGACCACTAAGTATGAATTATAATTAACCTCCTGTCAAATTTTTAAGCGTTTCTGTTTAGTCTCACAATTTCCTCCACAGAGTACCTACCAAATAAAAATAACGTTAAAAACTCGGAAAATTGAAATTTTTATGTATAGTTCAAAAATGGCTTAAATATTTTGAATATTTACCACTTCTAGAAAAAACAAATATTAGTTTTCTGTTCAAATTTCAAGTTTATATAGATATTTTTAACTGAATCAAAACAAAATTTAAAATAAAACATATCGTAAATTTCTCCATTTTTTATACGTTTTTATTTGTTTTTTTAATTATTATAAAAAATCACTTAAAAAAATCAAAATTATACTTATTTATTCTCCAAATAAAACCACAAAAAAAAACCTTATACATTACAGTGATACCAATAGATCCTTCGTTACACTCAAAATCTAAAAAATAAATATTTATACCTAATATATTTTCGTAAATACCAAAGCTGGGAAAGTTATCCTATTTGTTCAACTAGTTTTAGTTAAATTAATAGTTAAAAGTTATTGCATAATTTGTATTATGTATTACGTAGTTTACTATTAAGTTAAATATACATTATACATTTGTATAAGTCTAACTAAAAAAGACTGGTATTTGGTAATTGCACCACAATTATTACAATAATATGGTAATATATTATATTAAGTAGTAAAATTAATTTACAAACGAACGTCCATTATTACTGGTTACTGCAAGCATCTGGATATTATCAATTATTATATTTAGGTGTAATATGGGTACATTTATTAAAGCTAAATCCAGTTTATTTGTTTAGTTTTCATTTTTATAACTTCTTTGTATTCAAGTCAAATATTATAATATTGCAGCATAGTAAACTTTGTTTTAAAGTTATAACTAACAAATTATAAAATGCATGTACGAAAAAACAAAATTAAAATAATAACTCTGAATGACGTATGCAGTATGTGTACCCATTTTTAAGGTTATGCAATACATCTATTTTTCAGTAATACAGAATATGTTTAAATGTGTACCTTTATTTATTTACCGTTAAGTATACCTTCGACTGTGACTAAATAATATCTATTAAAATGTTTTAAATAGGCTTATCCGAAATCAGTGTGGTTTATAATTTGCAATGAATTCTGCGAACGATTTTCCTACTATGGTCTACGAAGTATGTTGTTGTTCACTATTATAATATATAACATTATACAATTCTTTTAAAATTATTTATTTGTTTTGTTAAAATTTACAAACAATATTTAATATATCATGTTTCAGCTGTATTGGTATTATACCTTACATCCATATTACAATATAACGATGACCAATCTACTATTATTTATCACATGATTGTTTTCTTGGCTTATTTTTCACCACTATTCGGCGCTATCATATCAGATTCTTACTGGGGGAAATTCAAGTACGTATATATTATTAGTATTTATGAATTTATTTAATTATCTTTAATACTTAATTGTTAATCTAATGTATAATAATATCTTAAAACTGTTTCGATTGGTCATATAAAGTTTACAGGTATACTATATTCTTTAGTCACACCAAAAATATACATTTTATGTGAATTGAGAATGTCGTGCATTTACACCAATGATGTGTACATAAAACAACTTTTTTTAAAAAATTTGACATTGCATATTTTAAATTATGATGATAAAAATCGAACTGACATTTTATTGAAAATAAGTTGTTTAAACTTTCAATAACTAATCATATTTATGTATTAAACTTATGTATTTACTTACTTATATGACCTGAAGAATACGGATTTTAAACTTTATATAGATTATAACATGGTATTACTTATGTAAAAATTAATATTCGATTGAATTTTTAAGTTTCTACAACACCTATTTTTACCATATAAATACCTATTTTTTTCAGAACAATATTATATTTATCAATAGTATATGCCATTGGAAATTTAGTTGTAACTGGGGCCTCCTTGGCAGATTCATTCAGCTTGAACAATCAGAGGTAAATAATATTAAAATTAATTATTAAGAGACAATTATTTGATGATTTTTATTAGATTCAAGCTAATAATAGTATTTTCCTATAATAACATGGTGAAATCAATCTAAATTTAATCATACCATCTGTAAAAAAACCCTCGAATTCCCGAGTTTGAACTCATTATTAATTGATCCTGAGGAAGTCAAAAAAAGAAGTGTAAAAAAGTATTGGGAAAAATTCATATTATCAGAGTTGGTAATAATCATGTATACAACTATAAAACGACTAAAATATTTGAATACAATTTTTTTCTATGAAATATATTGTTATTTAGTATTCACTATATTGATTTAAACTAACTGTTTGATGTATTTTTTATTGCTTAGCAACCATATAGCTAATTTATATAAGTTTGAAAATAAAAATAAAGAAAATTCATTTTTAAAAAACATTTAAGGGTAACAACAGTTAACTGCAGTAATAGTGACGGAGATTGAAACAAGAAATCTAGAGGGAAATTGTTTTTATTACACATTTATATGGTTCGGGCAACGTCAGGCGAAACTGCTAGTTAATTAATAAAAATCACATTTATCTTGGTGAATTTATTTAAATTAAAGATTAAAATAAAAAAAATGTCTTATTAAAATCAATAATTAATTATTTAGAAAATTAATTGGTTTATACCATATTATTGAAAGAAAAATATTGAATTACTATGGGCCCTAACCGAACGGTTTCAACAATATTCAACAATCTATTATTAATTTTTAGATACTTAGCATTATTGGGATTAGTATTGATTTCAATTGGCACGGGTGGTATAAAGCCATGCGTTTCATCATTTGGCGGTGATCAATTTGAACTTCCTGCTCAAGAAGTTTATTTACAAAAGTTCTTTTCCATATTTTACTTTTCTATAAACGCAGGCTCTCTTATTTCAACATCAATAACACCGGAGCTTAGAAAAGACGTTCAATGTTTCGGCCGAGATACATGTTTTCCATTAGCTTTTGGTATACCAGCTGTACTTATGGTGATTTCAATATGTAAGTAATATTCAAATTAAGTACTTATGTACTAATATTGAACTATATTTGATGTATCTTAAATGTCTTATAATGTGTTATTTTTTAAACTAGTTATATTCATAAGTGGAAAACCTCTATATAAAATTAAAAAACCAGAGTCTAACGTTATTGTAACAACTTCTTCGTGTATTTACGTAAGTTCTGATATTTGAATTTTTAATACCTTATTACAATTAAAGTCTAAAACACTAAATAACTTAAAACTGATATATTTATTTCGAAGTTTAATACCATATACTTATATACAGGCAGGTCCAGCGGAAGGGGGGACAAACTGGGCACCCATCTAAGAACTCGCGCTTTATGGGGCCTCGAATTTTTGTATTAAATATTTTCATATTAGTTTTATTGTGATGTATGAGATTTTTTTTTATTATTGTACCCATCTGAACTACCTACCTAGCAAAATAATTATATTTTAATATTTATGTTCTGTCGGATGTGCATTAATTCATGAATTTATAAATTGTTTATAACTAAACATATCGGTTTTCACTATTGATTTTTAAAAGCTATTTTCAGGGCCCTCAGGAATATTTTGCCTAAGGTTTCGAAAAACCTAACACCTGCCCTTTATACAAGACTGCGAATTTAATACAACGAAATACCTTAAAAAATGTCTTACAAATGCACTTGAAATGGTTTTTAATTTAATTTTTATATTTATATTGATACTACTGATGTAATATGCCACAAGTCCAAAAATAACTAATTTAGTAATATTTCCTTATTTTATCGAATCCTTAACTTAACCTAACCCGTTTACAGCTCATGTAAAATATTATTTTACAAAATATAAATTTGATGTATACAAAGCCTGTGTAAAACCAAAAATATGTGTGTGTGAAGATGTTAACTGACGGAATTTGATTAAAACCGCCAAAAAATGACCTAAAATTAAAATCGTCAAAAAATAAAAAATAAAAGTTTAGTAAATTAATTTGTTGTTACGTAATTCAAATTACGTACTTGGAAAGCTACGTTTCGCAATCAGCTACAAAAATGTCTTTTCTTACAAATTCACAGCCCTCATATATATAAAATAAGTTTATAACAATAATATCAACACATAAGTATAATTTGTAGTTATTAAATAATATAACATTTTATTACGCCGTATCACGTATTTTAATTGATGCTTTTTTTTAGAACGCCTTAAAGAAAAAATTGTCATTGTTTTCATCGAATATAACAAAAAGTCATTGGTTGGATTATGCGGACGATAAATTTTCAGAAAAAGAAATTTCAGATATACGTTCTGCTCTCGAAGTCATATATTTATTTATTCCATTTCCGTTTTTCTGGGCTTTATTCGACCAACAGGTAAGAACACTAATCTCTACACACCTAATAATATCTAATAAAATAATAAAGTAAAACAAAATTATTAAAATGGTTAATACTCGTAAATAATTAGTACTATATCGAATAATATCATTATTAGTTATAAATACTAATCAGAGAAATAGCGTTATACACATAATATAGAAATCAATAGAATCGTATAAAAGAATCACCTATACAGAGTGTCCTACAGTGTTATCCTTTAATTTTGTATCCATTAATATGTGAAAATTTTTTTTTATTTTATCACTATAAAAAAATATAATAAAATATATAATTTGTAAAAGATATACTAAACATTTAAATGTAATATACTTACAGTGATAAAACAAAAAGTTATTTTTTTTCAATAATTTACGGATGGAACTAAAAATTTAAGTTTTCTCTACATATGTGTCCCCCTCGCAGAAAACCCGTTTGGAAAAAAAAAATGAATATTGACAGAATTATTAGCATACGGATAACACTTTAGGACGCCCTGTGTATGTAATTTAGTTTTGTTATAATTATTACTATATTAGGTAAATAACTATTTATATGAAATACTTAGAAGTATTTATATTGGTTTCATAATTATTATATGAACATTGAACATATTATACCTTCACCATTTATACCAGAAAATAACTTGTTTTTAATAATAATAATAATACCATATTATGTTTATATAGTTCATAAAATTATTACTATAAAACTATAAAGTATTTCTAATAGTTCATATTATATGAGATATTAATATTTTTTTATACTATATTATATTTGGTTTAATTTTATCTACTTTTGTAAATCTATAATATATTCATTAACGAAATATTTTTTAATAAAATGTTCAGGGTTCTCGTTGGACATTACAAGCCACATTGATGAACGGTAGAATCGATTTTCTTAACTGGACAATGAAACCCGATCAAATGCAAGTGGTGAATCCACTACTTGTTTTGTTATTTATTCCAATTTTTGAAGTTTTAGTTTATCCGTTACTAGCTAAAATCGGTATTCGAAAACCATTACAAAAAATCGCATTGGGCGGTTTTCTGGCCGCTTTAGCTTTTGTTCTATCAGCTATAGTCCAAAACATGATAATGGTAAGTATTCATTATATCGTGTATGTAATGTAAATTATTCACGAGTATAATATAATATTATGATCTTAATAATTTATAATTAATAAATATGTTAATAAACAATATTATATTTTTTGGAAATTTTCTCGTTTTGTTGACCTATGTTTATTTTCCAATAATTTTTTAATTTTAATTTTAAATGTTTGTTTATGATTCTTCTTGTAGAAAATTAAAACTAATTTACTTTTTAAATTCCTCACTGTTGTATATTATTAGGTATTTAGGTACCTGCACCAGGTACCTAAATTATATAGGTAGGTAGGTGATACCTACCTATATAATACTATGCAAATAAATTTAAAGTTTTTAGATATTAGGTACTTACATATTTATTAATTTAGGGTAAGGCGATTCATATAGACGCTGGTAACGGTCAACTAAGATTGTTTAATGGATTTAATTGTAACGTGACAGTAAAAAGTTCAGCGAATTTATTCGACCACAATTTAGCTTCATTGGAAACATTAGAGATAAGAGAAATAAAAGTTTCTAATGAAACGTCGTTTCCTATTAGTCTGTTTATTGATTCTTCGTGTTCTTCAAAATTATCGGAAACAAATTTAATGAGTAATGTATCAATCGTAGAAGGAAAAGTTAGTTTACACAAATAAATAAATAATGTTTTAATGTAGTTTTTCGGCATTTATTGCCTTGAATTTATAAAACCGAACCTAATATGTAGTTTTGAATTACAGGAAACTTCATATTTTATAACTCATATGAATAATAAACTCAATTTAAAAAGAATTGGTTATGTGGATGACTTAACTAAACACAGCAATCCAGTTTTAAGGTGAATTCTTAGATATATATATATTTATATATTGAACTGAATAATATTTTGTATATGTTTATTATTATTGCTAATAGGATAATAAATAGTGACGATTTATCTAATAAAGTCTTTACAATGAAAAATGAAGAAAGCGGCAAAACGGCGATTGAATTAAATTTACAAACCTTGACAACTATAATTTCAGTACCTCTCGGGAAGTAAGTTACCTATGTATTATTAAAAATATATTATTTCATAAATACCTAGGTTATAATTACAACCGAAAAATAAAAGGTACGTAATTTGCTAATGGGTGAGCCACTAAAAGGTCTTCATAATTACAATTTGAAAATAATAAATTTCGTAATTTTCTCGTTTTTCCTACGTTTTTTCTGGGTTTTTCCTATTTTTCATGGGAAAATTAAAAATGATACCATTAAAATTCCACTCCAGACAAATTTTCTTTAAGAAAAAATGCTACACTTGAAAATCGGGGCAAAATTTCTGGTAGAAAAGTTGTTCACAGAAAAAATAAATATATATATATCAATGTAAAACCAATACATTCATCGTTTCGCTCAGAAACTAAAGTTTGAATATGAATTGTTTTTATCATTTATTAGGTATTTAAAATATTAGATTGATATATCTATACTAGTAACTAGGTATATCTCAATTATTTTTAATGAAATTAAATGTATTCAATTAATGGTAATCAAAACAATCATTATGTATTTACTTGGATATATATTAGATTCAGACATACAGAATATATAGACATTGATTAAGTATATTTAACCAATTATTTTATAATATTATAGTCATATAGATTATAGAGTTTAAAAATATAGTATATTATGATGTATAATAATATGATATAATTAGTATACCTACACAGATATCCGAGAACTAGATAACATCAATTACTAGGTATTAATATGTGATAATACCGGACATTCAATGATAATCTTGAACGGCCCCCTGAAAATATATACCATATATATTTACTATTTACTCTTATCTCCTTGTGCTTTATATTCTAGAACCTTATCATCGTTCGTGTAGATTAATGTTTCTCAACGTGGGTGATAACGCTGTGGAGGGGTACTGACACTATGAGACGGTAGGGAGCGGTGACTGTGTTTTTGCATAAGATACATAAATATTGCATAATATTATGCTTCATTGGAACGAAATTAAGTTATTCTTTTGTTTATTAATTTTATTTTTATTTTTTCAATAAAAAACACTTTTAATGTGAGGTATACAATTTTATTTTTTGATTAGTCATTTGTATTGTTTTTAAATTTTACAATTTAGTTGTTCTCCTCTTCTTTCCCATAGGTACCCTTAATGTTGGGATTTTAACATAAGGGATTTTGAAAAATCGTTTTCTTTTCTAGGGAGTGGTCATTTTAAAAATAATGATAAACATTGTTCACTGGTGTAAATAACAACATATTAGGTAACACAAAACTCGAGTTCCAAATTTACTTCATAAACTACCTATCAAGTTGAACAAATTAGTTACTTTAAATAATAAAGTAATTTTATTTAACTAGTTTTATAAATTCTTTAATAAAAAAAAAAAAGAAGAAAGGATTTATATTAAAAGGACGTTATACCCACATCTACTGTCTCAGTCCAAGTAGTCCAACTATCGGGTATTATGCAAAAACAATGCATACGGAGAATAAGTAAAACTAGCTTAATTTTGGTATTAGAGTAAAAGTACCTATTATGAAATTTATAGAGAACATTATTTTGGAGGGATATCTTAGGGTTTTTGTAGTATTCAAAATATATAGCTTGATATAAAAGATACAAAAACCTTTTTTTTTTCTTTTTTTTTTAAAATAACTATAACTTTTTTAATAGTTCATAATTACAAAAACACCTATGACCTTCCCTCCAAAATATTGTTTTCTATAAATTTCATAATAAATATTTTTATTTTAAAATCAAAATTAAGCGAGTTTTATTTATTTATTTATTTATTGCGGGACTAGCATAGATTACAATCTATTATGTTTTTATTAATTTATATAAAATTAAAAACTGTGAATGTTCATACTATATGTGCATATTGGGGGTAAATTAAAGGGCTAGAACAATTTATAGTACACAAATCCGTGGGAAGCACCTCCCATACCTCCTAAAAGACTAAAACTAAAATAAACTACATTACAATAATTTTAAATTTTTATACAAATATAATAAATCAAAATTTCAATTAATTATACTTTTCAAGCACATATTCAGGATCAATTTTCGGGGGGTTTTGAAATATTTATAATACATGAACTTGTAGTTAGTCTTTGTTATGTTATAATAATATACCTATACTTAAAACCCCCTTGTATACGGGCTTGATACTTGTATACAGACAAATTAATAACTAATTAAGTTGAAACTGTATAAATGTTAATATAATCGGTATTCTATTTATTTATGTTATGCAACTAAACTGTATAGTCTATACAAGAATAAATCGTTTACATAATTTATTATGTATTCAAAATATTAAAAAAAAATTATAATCTATAACTACTAATTAATGTGATACAATATTTAATATTCTATTTGATACTACATATTTTTGTAACATAATTTCGTGAATTCGTAAATTATATATAATAGAAAAAAATGAATATTTTATTCAAAGCAATAAACTACAATATATAATGAACAAATGATTGGTGAAGTAGTGAAATAAATTATTTTGGGAAATTGTGGTTGCTAAACACCCCTTAGCACCTTCCTTTGTGTGTCTATGGCTCAGACAGTGAGTTATTCCACCCTTCATTATTAATTTTTACATAAAATGCTTTTTTAAAAAACATTATGGTATTAAGTATAAGTATTATATACAAGTAATATAATAATAATAGAATCATTTTTTAAATATTTATTAGATAAATTATTCTCTTTTACCTTCATCTCAACTATTTGGGGTTAGTCTAAACCTATCCAAAACTTTCACTTGACCCGATCCCCCATATCGTACTCGAACACATTAGCCATCCTCATATCATTTTCAATCCCATCCAACCATCTATATTTCGGTGTTCTTCTTTCCTCCAATGTCTATTTTCATTTATTAGAAAATAAATTAAATTATTCAATTTGAAAATATTAAATTGTAAATTATATATTTTTCAGATATCGTGTTTTCATAGATGAAACATTTCTAACAGAGTTATATTTATTACCATTTAGTGTAAATACACTTACTCTACAAGTTAATTCTGAAAAAATAGTAAGTTTATTTATCGTCAAATATTTTTAACAGTGCTTAAATTTGAGTGTTGGTACATGAAATACTTCTTTAAGATATATATTTCTTTTGATATAAGTCTTCTTCTTCTCCTCCACTTGCATCTCAATTATTTTATGTCGGCCACCCTAGATCTTAACTTCCACCCGACACAATCTTTAAAAATATTTTCTCATACATTGACCGTCTTATATCATTTTCGATCTCATCCAATCACCTCTGTTTCTATCTTTCTCTCTTTCCTCAAACATTTATTTTCATTATCATTCTTACTGTTTTTAATAATGACATAGGTATTTTAATTTATTTGTTTCCAATTTATGCACTCATTTCTGGTTAACTAGCTGTCCCGCCCTACGTAGGCCGTGTCAAACAAATATGTAATACACATTTTTTAATTCCTGTCACTATCACCGTAGTTAAACATTGTTACACTCAAATTTTAGACTGAGTGGAACAAAGAATGTATTGGTTTTACAATGGTGTTTATTTTTATTAATTTTTTTTGTGAATAACTTTTCTACCAGAAATTTTGCTCAGACTTTCAAGTGTAGCAATTTTTCTGAAAGGAAATCTGACTGATTTTCTTTCAGAAAAATTGCTATCGCTGTAAATTGGAGAAAAATAGCTAGCAGAAAAAATGTTTTGAAAAAAAAAAAAATAAAATAAACATCATTGTAAAACCAATACATTTATCGCTCCACTCAGAATCTAAAATATCGAGGATCACCTATCGGAAAATAACTGTCTTATCTCGCAAGTTGAACGTGATAATACAAATGTATACAATTTCATAAAAAATGGTTTAGCGGTCTCAGAGATTACCGCGAACGGACATCGTGATACGGGATTTTTTATATATAAAGCCCTACGCATACGGAGATACTCAAAAAAAATTGAAACCACCTAGATATTAAGAAACTGGGCAATTAGGCAATTGCGTATGTATGTCTGCATATCATCGTTCAGACGACGCTACTAAAATTGTCGCGAATGATAAACTGACGCGACTAGACATGTCTCTTCGCTATTTTGGTTGATCGAGTTGCCTAATTATACTGTCTGTATAATGAAGAGTAGGACAAATAATTTCTTTTAATCCAAGGTAAAGGTTGTTTTATATTTAATTATCTTTTAAGATGATGTGACACATTATATAACATATTTAATAACTTATATAATAACATAATATATATAATAACTTATATATTAACATAACATATTTAATAACCTATGTGATGTCTCGTGCTTATCACAATCTTATGATAATCTTATCATTACAAAGGTCTTTTTTTTTTTATTCTGTATAATGCAAGAAATCGAGAGTCAGTTTCCCGTATTTTCTTAGTAGCGACGAATAGTTTGCAGTTAATATTTTTTTTTCAGTATAAGGATTGAACATTTTCTTCATTTTTTTCATGTGGCGTTTATAATAATGATAAAGAATAATATTTTCATCGCTACTAGAATCACTACTAGTCATTACGAAATACTAACAATAATAGTATAATACAAATATTAATATACTAATAATAATAATAATATTCATAATTTATCAATTAATCTGATTATTAGTATATACGTATTGTATGAAAAACTGAAAAATACTTAACTATGCTAGTAACTAGTAACTTAAGTTGTCTAGTTTATCATTTACCTAGTATCTAGGCGATTTCAATTTCTTTTGAGTATTCCCGTGTGCGTAGGAACCTAAATATATATATTCATATATTTATATAAATTGGTTGTTGCCATAGAAAAATGTGAGTTTTAAAATAAAATTTCGACAAAAAAACAGGAAAAAGTATGAAATATATAACTAAAATATTACGATTTTTTTTCTTGTGCACAACTTTTCTACAAGAAATTTTACTTCAATTTATAATGATAGCACTTTTCTGAAAGGAAATCTGACTGGGAAGGTACTTTAAAATACTTAAGATATTAAAAACCGACCATTTTAATGTCTCAACTTGACAACATTTTGTTTCAAAATGGTTCTATACTCTTAACTCTATATATCGGAGCAAAAGTTATTTTCAAAAATTTGTTAACAAACAGAAAAAAAAGAAATAAAACTACACATCATTGTAAAACCAATAGGTACTTCACTACCGTCGAGTCGTTTTCAAGTGATCTTTCATATATGCGGCGATTGATTTTTATTTAAACAGATATTTGGTATTATTTTATTTGATTTATAATTAATTAATTTAAATGTACACATTATAGAGTTCACATTTAGCAGTCTTAGAAAAAGGTAATTATATACATATAGCATGGCAATTACCTCAAATTACTGTGATGACAGTTGCAGAAATTATGTTTTCGATTACAACATTAGAATTTGCATTTACACAAGTAAATTATCTATATATTTTAATATTTTAGTAATACAATATAAACTTATATAAATAATGTTATTTGAATTATTTGAAGGCACCTTCTAGTATGAAATCCTTATTGGCGGCAGTTAATTTGTTGACAGTAGCATTAGGAAATTTAATAGTGGTAATTGTGTCTGAAGTACGATATTTTGACAATCAAGTAAGTATTTAAAAATAACTAATGTATATTTATCTACTTACTAATACATGCTTAAAACCAAATGTTTTATTTATTTTTTTAGGCCTATGAATATTTGCTTTTTGCTGGACTTATGGCATTGGATATGATAGTATTTATTCTAATGTGTTCAAAATATAATTACAAAAATTACAGTGAACCAAATGAACAGACCAAGTTAAAAACCTAAAAAAAGTATTTTTAAGTATTATGTTGATATTATAATATATTTAGTTAATTGATTTATTTTGTTTGTACAATTGTACAATATATTTACTAATTAGTAATATTTTTTAAAAACTACATATATTTAAAAATGTATAAATATAATAATATAATAAGGTACCTATCTAATTAATTTTATTTATTTATTTATACTTACACAATATAGTTTAAAAGAGTATTATGCATACAGCATACACACAATGTAGATAACTATATTATGAATTAATTAATATCTTTAAGTTTGTAATCTTTCGATTGGGTTATTTGTTTTTTTTGTTTACATTATTTTTCTTTCAGTCGACAAAGCTCAAATATCGTTTTGACTTAAACTTTTTATGTACGCCTTTCATTTGCTGATATGTTTTTGTCTTCATAACTTTAAGATTCTTGAAAAAAAATCGTACAATTTCACAATAATATTAGAAATAATCATGTTTAAACTAAATAAGAATACAGATTAGATGTTTATTATGCATACATTGTGTATCTTTTATTCTCAACTCACCTTAATTTCATTAGGTAAGTTTTTTACTGTATTATCATTATTAACTTTCTTATGGATAATACAATCTTTTTTTAAACATTTTTTTGTTAGATTATTAATTTTTTGTTCAAATTTTCTCAACTCTACGCATTTGTTCTGACAATTTAAAAAATCATTGGTACTTTAAAATATTTTATTAAAATAAAAATTAATTAATTAAATGCACTTAGTATGGTCTAGTGGAGTAATTTTAAATGGTTTTAACAAAGTATGAACAAAAATGAACAGATTTAAGCCAAAAGCTAATCATCAAATTGTGTATGGGACAAATGAAAAAGAATATTTTTCACTTTTTTTCGGGTAACCTTTTGTAAATGATAACAGAAAAGATATAACCTCTAAAATGCTGCAATCAATATGTTTCATAGAAAAAAATATATTAAATAATACTATTGTCAAGTTCAATAATTATAATTTATTTGTTTTATCGGTATATCAGCCTCATTTATAATTACACCACCCGACCCTAATATTTTCTCTTGATTAAATTTCTTTATCAAGCTTCACGTTAAATTATTAAAATAAATTAACGTTAAAAATAGCTTACAATAATTGAGTTTATTTTTTTAAATATTTTTTCTAATACTTTTGAACCTTTGCTAACATATTTTAATCTATTTTCAAAATCTTATTTTAATTCGAGATTTTTTTCATAGCGACATGCCCAGTGTCAAATTCAGTTATATGTCAAAGAGGGCGTTTGCTCCCTCTGGAATTGAACTATAATTTTAGTCATGCCCCTCTCTTAAAAAAACTGTCTAGATTCAATCACGCCCAGTTTTATACTACAATTTCATAAAGTTATATTCCAAAAAAACTGATAAATTTTTCACCGAGTGTATGCCACTATTAAAGATAGTATGCCGGCTGTGTCTACGGAAACAGGTACAACTTACAGTTGTACCTGTTTACTTTACCACTCAGTATCCTGTAAAATTTTTCAATTCTGTTTTCAGGCCATTAAACTAGACTAAAAGATCTTAAATTTCCGTGACTTACTTTTTTTTTTTTAACTTTTTATATTTTGTGCATGTGCAACAAAACTTCACTTTTTTTAATCGGCAACCATGATTTTAAATATCATTTTTGGATTTATCGATTTTTTTTCAAGCAATTTTCATATATCAACTTGTATTCTAAACCCAAAATTGGCACAACTAGAGCTAAGTGTACTTTTATGAAAAATGTATTAAATTTGATTTTTTTTTTTAAACTGAACGTACTTTTTCTTTCTAAACACCATGATACGATCAAAATTATTACTAAAGTAATAAACTATTTAAAACAAAATAAACTAATAATTCATAAATACTAGGTAGTGTATATTGATATATTTATTTTTGTTAAATTTGATAAACTAGTGTTCCACAAAACTTCTAATGTCGAGTATTATATATATATTAACATATTTCATTGTTGTATCATCAGACCACTTTTTCGGAAATTTTTATTACATACATAATAAAATATAATATTATAGTACTATAAAAATTTCAAGTGCACTGAATGATTAGTAAATTGAATATTGATACTGCAGTTATTTATTTTTGGATGAAATTTCGTACGATAATTTTGATACATGTCCGTGGCACCACGGATTCGATAACTTGACTCGTACGAGATAAGCAGCACGAAAGTGAATGCGTATACACAATCAAATAATAAATTCATATAAAATATGAAAAGTGGGAACCGGGCATAAATTATAATTATAGATTTGCGTTATTTGTATAGAATTAGTGCCATGAGAAAAACAAGTTATGATGAAACTTGTATCGAATTTTCAATCATTTATAAAACAATTTTATTCATATTAAACCAAATAAAACTATAAATAAAAAAAAAACCAAATAAAAGATCATAAATGGCTAAATAATCGTTAGATTTTGAAAATCATCCATGTCTAGAAAGTTTTATATAAATATTCAGTGAAAAATCATTCCGTAATTTTTTCAGTTTTTCCCAAAACTACAAGCAAAATCAAAAAATAGCATCACAAATGCACCAACAAGACAAAATTTACTACCAAAACTCACCCAAAAAAAACATGATTGGAACAATATTTCTGATAAAAAGCAGTTAACACAGAAAACAAAAAAAAAGAATTAAACAATCTATTATTTGGAAGGTTAAAATTAAAAAAAATAAACTGAAAAATATTTAGCACTAATGCTTTCATATTAAGTGATGCATTTTGAGTCTTATATTCATTTAATACTTGACTCATAGCTCGCAATTTTTTTTGTAACTCTTTATTTGTTAGTGAATGTGTATTATTTACAACTGGTTTATTTTCAATTTCTAATGAGCTACCAGCATACCTTAAAGAGTTTACAGAATGAATCATATTATAGTCTGTTGGACTAATACAGACTAATACTATCATCAAAGTATTAGTATTTCCTCCAAAAAAATCTGTTTAAGTGAAGTTCAATTTTAGTTTTATTTTTTTTTTTAGTACTAAATTATCACATTTCAAAAATTATCAATTACGTATACATATATATAATATGTATATTAGGGTGGCTCTTAAAAAAAAAATAATCAAACAATTTTAAGCCGCACCCCCGGGCATTTGAAGTTGAGTAGTTTTATCATTTTTTACGAAAAAATCTAAACATTGAGATATAATTATTTATTTTTTCAACTAAAATACATTAAACAGCAAATATTCAGTATCAAATATTATGAAGATTTTAAAAGTGTCACTGTTGACACTATTACATTATTTATTAATGACATAGTTACAATTTTATGTATAAAAAAGACTGACATACTTCGCAGTCATAGTGGATGCAGTTATTGTTGTAGGTGAGAACGTGGGAAGGTTGAAGTAAGGAAATTTAATGTATATCTGTAAGCTACGATAAACCATTGCTAACGAAAAAACGATTCTGAGCGGAGTTCAGTTAATAGTGTTGCTTTGTCAACAATATACATGTCATATTATGGTAATATAATAAAATAGGCACTATACTTATTCTTTAATAATCATTGTTTAATTTTGTATAGGTTTTCTCGTTTTTCCCACTCTATAGCACTTTCCCAGTTAGATTTCCTTTTAGAAAAAGTACTATAAATGTAAGTCAAAGCAAAATTGCTGGTAGAAAAGATATCCAAAAAAAAAAAAAATAAATAATAAATATCATTGTAAAATTAAAACATTACTCGCTCCGCTCAGAATCTAAAAGAAAGAGCTGATACTGACGAAGGCGCCACTGTTGTATGTGAGAAATCAGTAAGGTAGGATAATGTATTTAATTAACACCTGTATGCAACGATGAATCATTGCTAATGATCAAAATTTCAGAGCGAAGTTCGGTTGTACATGTTTTAAAAGGCCATTAAATATTACATTTAACGATTTTCGTCAAAATTTGAGTTTAAAGCTTATATAAAAAAAAAAAAAAATACTAAATTAGGTACTTATTTTTTTATTTTTTTTTTTTTCAAACAAAGTATGACTTATACTGATCCTTCTGTCAAATTTTTAAGCATTTCTGTTTAGTCTAACAATTTTATCTACCGATTACGTATATATACGTATATAAATAGGTCAAAAATATATGTTTTAACCCCGCATATAAGAAAACAATCGGTGAGGNAAATTTGATTAAATATTATATTAGTTTATAAACAAAAATGAAATATACAATCCACATTAAAACTTTCAAATTAGCCGATATGTTAAATATAGTAGTCTAAAGCATACAGATTTTATTGCATGTAAAGCGTTCAAGGTTACCAGATTTATTGGAAGACACTGTAAAAATTTACAATCTCTTAAATGGCTTCTGTTGTTGATTAATGCCTTAATTTAATCATTAGTTGAATAGGGTTATAATTTATGGTCACCTTACACAAAAAATTAATTTCTCCATTTATAAACATTAATTAATTTCATTGATTCATCCATCAGAAATTCTGTTAACACAAACATTAACGACACTATAATTATTTAACACATTATCTACAGACGATGAGGATATACGGGACAATGATAAAACGTATAATCAAGAGTTCCCGGTTATACAAGAAGCGAAAGCTTTAGGAACAAAAAACATGGAGATTAATCGAAAACGCCAAGGTTTAATGAAAACACCAAAATTGGTTAATCAGGTATTTTAATTCATTCTCTTACAAAATATCAACGTATATTTTGTGTCTTTTAAATGGTACTTTTTAAAATACAATTACCAAGTGTTAAAAATTAAATTTGATAAATTATCGACAAAATCTTCATAGTTCAAAAAATTCACATTCTTTTTGTAGTCATTCACAGTCTCAGTTCAAGACAATAAATTCAAAAATGGTGAATTGATAGCCATTGAAAATGCAAGACGGATATGTAGAAGCTTCATTGACTTGGGAGTTGCCATTGAAATATCTGCAACAAAAAGCCAAACGGATCTGACATTTATAGTCAGTGGTAAATTAAATGATGTGTTAGATGCTAAAAATAGAATAATGAATCAAATTCAGGCGAAGGTAAATTATGAATTCATATTAAAACTAATGTATTATTTGTTGATATTATTATAAAACTCGTTTATGTTTGTCTCGATTCACTTTTGTATACATATTTAATGAGTTCTCTGTCTATTAAACTTTAAAACTAATTATCCTTCCGAGATGTTATAAATTATTAATTCTTTAAATCGATCCGATTCGTAATGTGCTGGACATTATTTATTTTAATCAATAAAAGGATTATAATAAAATCCAGTTAACCACCCTTTATATGTCCTACACAACTTATTGCACCATGACCTTTGTATTATGAAATATTATAAACTTGCATCTCTAACCTATAAAAACCTCACATATTATTCGTCAACCATTCTTATACACTCATGAACAACCTGGCTTCCGGATAAATTTCCGACTATTTACTCCATCGAATTTATGTAAGGACTATTTTTCTTTTTAAAAATCCTTTTTTCGTCTACCGAATTCCAGTATATACGTATATAAGGTTGATTTGAACTAACTATTTGTAAATAGTAAATAAACCTAGAGAAATGTAATATTACAGTAATAGTATGGATATATATCAATATTAATTTATTGTTGTTTGAAAATTTTGAACAGGATAAATTTGTAGTCTTCAAAAGACAACAAAAGCGAACTATAGACGTCAGTTGGTTTTAGAATTTATTATTTAACTTTTTAAATTTTGTTTTAAATGTATTGTTTTGTATTTTTTTATCGTAAGCTTGACTTACCGGTCAAATATCGCAGGTCGTTAATAGGCCTCAACGGAAACACTGTCTGTGATTTTCGGGTTCCAACCTAGTCTGGAACAAGTCGTTCAGGCAATCAAAGAGCTCATGAAAGAGTTTGATATAAAAAAATTACCAGGTCGTGAAAAAACCGCCATGGGTAATTGCCAATGCACGCAAGAAAAACCTTTTGACACGTCTGGTGAGAATTTTTTTCAATGTTTCCAATGTTCTTCTTTAATATTTTAAATTTGTTTATCAAATTATAATTTCCAATATTGTTACAAACGTTACAGATATCAATGAAACTGGCAAACGCCACTCTTTGATCATAACACTGAAATCGGTTAAGCAGGTAATGTTGTTTTATTATTTTTTCGATCGATAAAAGTACTTTGTACTACTTACATTTGCATTGGTTTTATTTATTCAAAGTGAATATGTAATTTTATTCTGTTTTTCCTGTTATTTATCTGATTTTAATAATATTGTTTTTTATTTGTCGTATATATACACGGATAACTAACGTCCACAAAAAGAAAACCGTCAATGAAATATCTGATAAAAAGAAAACCCACCTAGGTGATGTTCGATGTCTTCAAGATAACCCAAGTGACACTTCNTGTTTTTATGTTGTTATTATTTTCCTTTTTGCGATTTTAAATTTTAATAAAACAAATAAAAGATCATAGGTAGTGTTTAGTGGCCACTCAATTAAATTTTTTCAGTTAATTAAATTGCATTATAATTTAATATAAAGAAAAGATTATGTTTAGCAAAGTCATTTAGAATAAAGACAACAAAAAAAAAAAAAAAATTATAAATTCAGTATGCAACACACTGATCTGACACTTGAAATAACTTTTGTTCTGTTTTATATTTTTTATTTAGAATTTTTTTTAATAATCACAATGAATATGGTCAGTCGATCTATCCTATTCATTTAATACGCTCTAACTCAATTATATAATTATATAATAGTGTATAAACAAAAATGATTTACTTAATCCACATTTTCGGTTTAAAAGAATTGTTGAATAATAAAATTAATAATAAGTATTCTAGGAAAAGCCATCAGCCCAGAATACTGTACATTTATTCATGGTAATGATAATGATCAATGCCTAAGAGTCGAGGGGTGGTGGTAGGTCATTAAAAAAAAATTAATTGCCCGATAAAATATTTCACAACGCCACGCCACTGTCCGTTGCTCATGTTTTTCGTCACACATCGTTTTCGGCAAGAGAAAAAAACATGTTCGTTTTTAAACGCTACAGAAAAAATACTAATGCACCAACAAAAACCCAATTTTGTACTGGCATAATAGACACTTGCAGCTAACTAGCGCTGTATTTGGTTTTCCCCTAACCTTTTTGGAACGCTCTCTGCGCGCGCAGTCTCGTTATTTAATAGCCAAACCTCGTATACTTGCGGTTCCGTGCACGGCTATAGATTTGCCCACGATTAAAGATATATTAATAATAATAGATAATCATGGTCGGCAATAACGTAGTTCTCCTCCGCCCTCTAATAATTTCACTATCTAATTTCGATTATAATTTTTTCTTGATGTTGAAATTGCTAATACCATCTTTTGGGAACTCGTGGCTATCATGGTTATTACAAATTTTACATAGCAGTGTGCTATCAATGTTTATTTAATCAATCCTAATATACTTATATTTACATTGACTCTGATAAACGATAGTCTGATTGGCATTATGTCGTTAGTTACTGCTATTTATTGACTGAATCGAGTTGACAGTTTGGCTTAACATTTAAAGCGAACGCGTATGCGAAAAATTTTTCTTGCTTAATAATAATTTATTGTATACATTAACTATATAATATATAACTATACCAATTATATTAGTTATTGATAATTATAAATAACAATATTTAGTTGTCTAATTGTTTTATATTTTTCTCCTTCCCTTACAATCATAGTACATTTGATAACATGAAATATTGTTACAAACGTTAAGTACAAGTAAATTAATTAATTTAAGAATTATTAATTTATACGGTATTAAAAAAATAACATGTTAAAGTTTCATAATTGTATAATATAACTTTTACATGCTAAAGTGTACACATACCTATTATTCTACTTCATAAATCATGGTAAGTATAAATTATCATTATAATTAATTTTTAATAAGTATGTTTTTTGGTAATACCAACTATAAATACTAGTTTTAACGTAAATAAATATACTTAATTTATATAACAATTAAATTACTCCATCAAAGTGTCCTCCGACCTACACTTTGTATTATAAATTTCGGCTATTGATTTATTTAAACTAATTGTTAATTTTATTAAAATATAATTATTTATAATACCTACACATACAATTTATCTACAAGATTTTAAAATTTCTTATGCCGTTGAGTAAGGAAATAAGTAGTATTTAACGCAGACCTTACTGGTAGGTGGGGAGGAGGCAGAATATATATTAAATATTATACGTAGATAACATAATTGAATATTATTTCGGTTATTACTTATGAGTAGAGTTCGTATTCAAGGACAATATTATCAATAAAAAACCATTTCAAATGTTAATAAAGGCAAAAAAAACCCCCATTTAATATATATAAAAAGCAATTACAAAAATTTACTAAAAAATTAAATAGATTTCAGTTGAATTAACTAGTTTGTATAAAAAAAAAAAAATGCACTACCATGTACTTAAATAAAATGTCTTCAGTAAAACGTTGACAGTTTGAACTCAAACAATTTTTGTATACAGAAAATAATCGTTCTATGTTCACTGAAGATATTGTGACATTTTTCATACACAAATAATTATCTAAATTATGATTAATAATTATTAAATTGTCGTTGTCATTACCATCAAAAAAGACATTTATAAGTAAAAAAGGTCAAACAGTTGATATTGGGGACGGATGCGGTCACTTTTTTAGGTGAGTAGTGAGGAAGGTGAAACCTACATAAAGTTATTTAATTTATATCTGTAACGATAAACCATTGATAACGAAAAACGATTCGAAGCAAAGTTCAGTTATACATGTTTTGAAAAGTCGTAATATTTACGATTTTTATCAAAATTTTATATTAAAATTTCTTTATAAAAAAAAATATTACTCAAAGCTCAAGTTTTTTCTTTGACCACAAAGTTCGACATTTATGGAACCTACTGTCAAATTTTCAAACATTTCTATTTAATCTTACAATTTTATTTACAGAGTACCTACTGAATAAAAATTATGTATAAAACTTGCAAAATTAAAATGTCTATAATTAACTCAAAAATGGATCAAATATTTTGAAAAATTGACGACGTCTAGAAAAAACAAATATAAAGTAAATAATAAAAAAAAAAGGACGGACATACTTCGCACGTGGGTGTAGCCACTGTTGGAGGTAGGAAGTTGGGAAGATAGACTACATTAGGAATTTAATGTAAATCTATAAGCAACGATATACAATTTTAAGCCGTGTTCAGTTGATAATGTTGCTTGTCAACAATATAAATATACAATTTGTGGTATTACGTCATATTATGGTAAAATTACTAAAACAATGTGCATTTCCAAGACAAAAATGATTGTTTATAAAAGATTAAAAAACTTAATGAAAACAAAAAATAATTAAAAATGGTTGCCAATAACTACCTTATTTTTAATCTTTCGATATTTTTAACCTAAAGACTAAGGTTTTTCTCATTATCTCGAATATTAATAAAAATTTCAAAAAAATGACCTCTTTAAAGTACCACCCAGAGAAAATTTACTTTCATTAAAGATAATGTACTTGATAATCGGAGTATGCTTTCTAGCAGAAAAAGTGTTCGCATAAAAAAAATAAACATTGGAAATCCAATACATTCCTCGTTCCACTCAGAATCTAAAAGTAAATATAAGTTTTCTGTCAAAATTTTAAATCTTTATGAATATATTAAAATAAATTACATTAAAAAAAACAAAACTAAAGACAATAAAAGATTTAAAGAATAACAATTTTCATTCATTTTCATTTTCATTTGTCTGTTTTAATTTTACGTTTTTTTTCAGTGTTTTCCTAATTATTAATAAAACTATAGACTTAATAATAACTTTCTTATAAACTAGATTAAAAATGCAACAATAAAGGTCTCTTGTCGTTTATCCATTGGAGCAATATTTTTGATAGAAAACATAAGCCATACAAATTTAAAATCATATTTTAAATTTGCTGTGCCATAAATTTGAAAAAATCGTATATTTCGTTTTTTTCTTGTTTTTTTTTTTTCTAATTATTATGAAAAATACTTTAGATATCAAAAATGACATACATTGTCACTTGCGAAATATTATAAGGAACAAAATCAATATTTTGTCATTTTTGGATTGGAGTAATATTTCCAGTAGAAAACACCGTGTTAATATAATAAAAACAATGAAAAAGGTGCGGCGCGCAGTAAATATTTGCGTTTTATCTATACTTTTCTTTCCGGTTTTTCCCATTTATTTCAAAAACCTTAAAGAAAATTAAAAAATTACATCCTCAATGCTTAAATGGGAGAAAATTACCTTTCAGAAAAGGTGCTATAATCTATATTTCGGTGCAAGTTTTTTGGTAGAAAAGTTGTTCACAGGCAGAAAAACAATACATTTAATTTAATATAATAATTGCGATTTTACAGTTTTTGGATATATTGAGAAAATACTTATTTGAATGAAAACTTAGACAAATATAGCCTTGCCAAATGTAAACTTTGTTTAGACGATAATATTGTATTATTGTTATTTGTTATGTAGGTATAATGATACTTGTTATAATTATGTGTATGAGTACTCAGCCAATTAAAGATAAATAATAATAACTAATAATTATAAACCTAAAACAGGACACTTGAATGTTTATAATAATAATCACCTATATGTATAATATTATTAATATTATCATTGAATTCATTAAAATATTTTGACATTTAGTGGATATCTGTAAGTAGTATTTTTTTTATATACACTATACAGGTATCTTTACAGTTGTTAAATTGTATACACAAAAATTTCACGTGAACAATGTTCTTAAACGAAACGATTTAACAATACGAAGAAAAAACTATAGATTAGAAAAATACACTACTTAAAAAACCATATCTCTGTAAAATATAAAAAATGTTAAAATAAATTGCAGTTAACTGTCTTTATAAAACACAAAAATAATTCAAGAGTTGATTAATATTATTTGCAGTGAATTGAAGTATTTGACTATAGTATTTGACCACTATAGGAATATTTGTATACAAAAAGAGTTATATTCTACAAATATTACTTATCTATGTTTACATTTTTGAGCTAATTAATAAATGACGTTAATTTTTGAAATCCATCATATAAAAGTTACGTACAAAAACGAATTCGCTCAAGGCTTACCTTATTACTAATAAGATAATAAGTTATTATCTATGCGATTTCCATAAAACAAATACAAATAATTTTCTTCTTTCCGGAGATATCACTAGGTATTATTTTTTTACGCTTTAAAATAATAATATAATCAGTGGTTTTCTCATAGGGTATAGTACACATAGACCTCTAGTGATATCGTTGTATATTCCCAAAATTTTGCTGAAAAATCACGGGTACCTATCGTATCGGGTATACTGCGTACACTATCAATAATTAAACAAAATCGACAAAGCCGCGGAATATTTGTCCACTTTTCCCATATTATTATGAAAACCTTTGGAAAATCAAAAAATGACTTTCCCAATGCACAAACTAGATTCAAAATGCAACAAAAAAATTATCTTGTCATTATTCGATTGAAGCAAGTTCCCTGTTCAAAAAGCTGCTCATAGACATAAAAAAAAAAATAATAATAATTATGGCTTTTTTGATTGACTTCATTATAATAAATAGGTAGGCAAGTATTATGTACATAAAAAGAGCTGATACTGATGATGAATGTGTCGTTGTTTTATGTGAGAAGTTGGGAAGATAGAATACATAAACCTACAATTATTTCATTTTTATCTACACGTAAGAATTAATCATTGCTGATGAAATTCGATTATGAGCGAAGTTTTATTAAAAATGTTTCAAAATGTCGTAACTTATATGATTTTCATTCAAATTTGAATTTAAAACGCTCATTATTTTTTTTTCCTTTGCTTAATAATTAGAGCTCGGATTTCTGTGTGAAAATGAATGTATGCACAACCACGAGAGTAAGATATGTCAACAGATATGTACAAAGAATCTGTATATAAAATTTGATTTTGAATAAAATGCATATTTTGATGTTAAGAGAATATATTCATATAAAAATCATTTTTGGTACACCTATTTGACTTATTAAAAATGTGTGAATTGAAATATTTCTAGGAATCAAAAACTTATATACATTTCAATCGCTGTAATCAATTTTTTCTATTTTATAATGTATCTATTCAATTTACAGGCCTATCCAAAGTCAGTATGGCTCATTATCTGCAACGAATTTTGTGAACGATTTTCTTACTATGGACTTCGAAGTATGTATCATTTAATATTATTTATAAAAGTATGTACAAACAAACAAGACGTAATAGTAAATAATAGCGATTTTTTTCATTGGTTTCTTCGATATTTAAGACAAGTATTTGTACCTAATTAATATCGAAATTGATATGATTATATAAGTATAAATTTCACTATTTTATCAATAGTTAATAATGATAAAACATGGTAAAATATTATTTATTTTATGCTTATCAAACCCTCAAATTTGCTGATTTCTATAATAAATATAATTAGTAACATATGTATATGTACAAAAATTAAATTTGTTTATTTTATTAATATTATCATATATTTTATCCTGTTACAGCTGTATTGGTATTATATCTTACATCAATATTACGATACGATGACGATGAATCTACTGTTATTTATCACATGACTGTTTTCTTGGCTTATTTTTCACCGTTATTTGGAGCGATTTTATCCGATTCTTATTTAGGAAAATTCAAGTACGCTTATTATTTAAAGTGTAAAAGTATGTATATATAAACAATTTTAAACAGACATAACAAAAATTGGTAGGTTGTAAGTGTTATAAATTTATGATAATGATCTGTCAGTTCCTATAATGTCCTAGCTCCTAACAAAATATTATTAATAATTATTATACAATATATTATAAAATCAATGGTATTAAATTAAATTCTTATATTATATTAGAAGGAAAAGTATTAATATTTTCATATTTTTATTTTATTTAGTTCATCGCCATCTGTTGTACCTGTGCATAAAACATAATATAAAATTCAACTCAATTTTGTTAAATAATGGTAACCGTATATTCTGTTTAGATTTCTTTGATGGAATTTTAATAGGTACCTAACTGAAATAAAATAAACGAACAAATTCGAGTTTAGTACTTTATAAATATAATAATTAATAAGACTTACACACAATTGTTTTAGATTTTGAGCGATGCGAGGAATGTTTTGGTTTTACAATAATGTTTATTATTTATTTATTTTTTATTTTTTTATCTGTGAACCACTTTTCTACCAGACATTTTGCTCCGATTTTCAAGTGTAACGCCTTTTCTGAAAGTCAATTTTATCTACTTAGTAAATACATAGGTCAATTTTTGATTTTCGAAACGGTATTTAAAATAAAAACGATTAACCGGGGAAAAAAATACGATTTTTTCATGATTTTGTTATTTTAAATAAGTACCTACCACGTTTTCTCCAATTAAAAAACAAGAGGCTATATTTTTGTTGATTTTTTTTTAATAAGCGTTTTGAAATCAAATTTAAACGAAAATCGCAAAATAAAATACGGCACTTCAATTTTTGTAGTACCGAACTGCGCTCACAGATATAAATGTGTTTACAAACATAAATGAAATAACCTTATCTTATGTATCCTACCTCCCCAACTTCCCATCTACAACAGTGGCTGCACCCGTCCCCAGTATGTGCTCTTTATTTATTTTTATGATTTATAAATAAATAAACATTTTAGACTAAAACAAAGAAGTTAGATCCCCTACCTATTATTAGCTTTACAACATTTTTTTTTTTTTTTATTATTAATTTCTTAGCAACAATAGATTAAAAAGCTATACTTTGTCAGAACCGTTATATTTTACGATGATTTATTGTTGCATATACATTACACTATATAAACTAAATTAACTTATGTGTATTTTACCTTTCCAGCTAACCGCCTATAAAAATGGCCTCCCCCCCCCCCGTAGACTGTGTTTTACTTACTAAGGAATTTTATTTTTGAATGTGCAATATTCGCACTCCCTACCCTCGTAATATAAATCTGAATCCACCTCTGATTCTACCTATAGTGATGATATCTTATGTAAAGGAAAAATTGTATGAAGACAAGCTAGCCTATTACAACATCCGAAACAATAAGAATAGACACTCATGGGAGGAGGCAACAAAAGTTACAAACTCACAAATATGGAAGGATCCAAAGGTTAGGTAAGAAAATTTACCCCCTGGTAGCTACTTACCATGGAAAACATGGAAGACACTTAATAGAATAAAAACCGAAACTGCATGGACTCCTCATAATATGAAGATTTTTAAAATGAAAGAGGACGAGAAATGCGAGTGTGGCGAGGAACAAGATACAGACAATCTGTTTACATGCTCACTATTACCGGCTAAGTGTAGAAAAGAATAATTTCTAATAACAAATTATATTACAGACCAGGCAGTACTCGAATCAGTTTTCTTGGGTCATTTGTCTGGGGCTCGGCCCTAAGTTTATTTTAAAGGTGCCCGGGTCTATAAAAAAAATTTTCCATTACCTTTAAATAATAAAAGCGCCTGAATGAATAAGTTTTCCTCAGGCCCGAAAAAGCTGAGGACGGCTTTGATCATAGAGTGATACAAATCACTACTTATTGAAAAGGAAAGGGAATATAAAACTGAAGACCGACATGAAAGAAGAAGAATAGTACAATTTTATACTAAATGTTGACTTTAAACAATACTATTTGTCGTCTCTATTACGAAAGGTACCGTGAAGTTATTCAGACTTCCTCCCACAGACAAAATGGTGTTGTCTACTATAGGGTAAATTTCTCCACCCTATAGAAACAATACCTTATGCCTACTGGAATCACCCATCTAAGTTTTCCATCGGTAACAGGTCGAGATTCGGTATCATTATATGCCCCCTGATGTAACTTTTGTAAAGTAATCAAAAGTAATTATTAATTAGTTTATGCCCCTATTGTTGTAGGGCACATACATACAAATCAATTTTAAAAGATAGTCGACAAATTGTAACCCCATATTCCCCTCTAAATAAGTCATTGCTTATCCATAGTTAAAAGTATATCATCTTTTTTGTTATTTATAATTATTATTACATTGTATAATATATATTCATGATAATATAATGCATTATTTTTTTTAGAACAATATTGTATCTTTCAATAGTTTATGCGATTGGGAATTCAGTCGTTACTGGAGCATCCATGGCATCTTCATTCAGCTTGAGTGATCAAAGGTACACATTTACTATTCATAAATACATTTTAAATATTTAAGCGAATCATTTTTTTATATTTTATAATAACAAAATATTCATAAAATAAAATCTTATTCTATAGAAACTTAGCACTACTGGGATTAATTCTCATTGCAATTGGCACAGGTGGTATAAAACCATGTGTTTCATCATTTGGAGGCGACCAATTTGACCTCCCTGCTCAAGAAGTTTATTTACAAAAGTTCTTTTCCATATTTTACTTTTCTATCAACGCAGGCTCCCTAATCTCGGTATTCTCAACTCCGGAACTAAGAGAAGGAGTTCAATGTTTTGGTCGGAATTCGTGTTTTCCATTGGCATTTGGTGTACCAGCTGTACTAATGATAGTATCAATACGTAAGTAATATTTATTAGTAAATTTTCAAATAAACATATTTTATATATATTTGTTTGTTAAATAAACAGTTTTATGTAAAATGAGTTTCGATTTCCTCCAGTTAATGTATTAATATAGTATTAAATAGGTAAGTTAGGTTAACAATTTAAAAAAATTTCTCTATGAATTTTATCCAATTCATATTATTTAAATTAAATAATTGTTATTTTGATCAATAGATTAATATGAAACAATGAATAGTAATTTAAAAATAGATTTACCTAAAATTAAATTAAATTTTTTTTTTGTAATTTGTAACAAATATAAGATGGATAACTGTTTGAAAAGTAAATATTTACTATAAACAAAGTACTTAAGAGCGAGGTATTAGGAAGTATTAGGTATGGGAAGTATTTTAAAAGTAGTAAACATTCAGTAAATTTTGATTCAATTCACCACAAATTTTTGCTATTAATTATTGGTGTTTCATGAGAAAAATCTTCCTGCATTTGGAGTTAAACGATAATACTTTAAAAGCAAACTCCATTAATGAAAAGCTGTCTTATGATAATGGGGGTGGTTGCTGCTACTATTGTAGGTGGGAAGTTGGGAAAGTAGGATATAGAAGGAAATTTAATGTACACCTGTAAGTAACGATAAACCATTGCTAACCAAAAAAAAACGATTATGAACGGAGTTCAGTTAATAGTGATGCTTTGTCAACAATATATATGTATATATAATATTATGGTTAAATAATTAAATAGGCATTATATATTTTCTTTCATAGTATTTGTTTAGTTTTGTACAGATTTTCCTGTTTTTCCAATTTTAAAGGTAAGACGATTACACATGGCCTAGCGTTAATGTTTTTTCGATGTTTTAATTTTTAAGCAAGATATAATCATTTTTAAATTGTAATATTTAACATAACCATACTTCATTTAAAAATAAAAATATCTAAAAATCATCTACGCCAAAGTATATACAATTGTTTTACCTTTAATTTTAGTAATAGGTCAATTTATTTTAATAGTAAAATAAACAGCACATGATGTTCTTCTGAACGCGAATTTACTTGCTCACTTTTGTAAGACGAAGCGAGTAGATGTCGATGTGGCGTCTTTTTAATATTCAAAAATCGAACAATAAAATAAATGTAAAATATATACCTATAATGTATTATATGTACCTATATATTATATTATCGTATTACCACTAGTGCCGTTATTACCTGATGATTTTATGATTTTTTTTTAATCGAAAACGATTATAGATACCTAAAAATACTTATAAATATGTATGTATTTTATATGTATAGGTATAATATTTTACAATTTATTTTATTGTTATAATACATTGATAAATTATGAAATTTATACATGGGTACATATATGTGTGAATTTAGTAATATCTGGTAAATCCTAAATCTCTGCTATAATCATTATTATTTTTGTTTCAAACTAGTTGTATTCGTAAGTGGCAAAAACTTGTATAAGATAAAGAAACCAGAATCAAATGTCATTGCAAGAACATGTTCTTGTATTTATGTAAGTTTAAATATATTTTTGAATGTTCTTATTTTAATTCTAAATCAACCCAAATCTTATACAATTATTTAATTTATAATATTATGGTACAGTAAATACTTTTTAAAACAGCAAGCAGTTTAAAAAAATAATATTAACTATATTACCTAACTAATATTTTAACTATTAGTTAAATGTATACATAGGTTATTAAAAATAGTCGTATTATAATAGACAGTCATAATTTTATTTTGCAGCGTGCATTAAAGAATAGAATAACAGGGGTTCAAAAACAATCTTCAGAAGCTCATTGGCTATACTATGCAGATGACAAGTTTTCAGAAAAAGAAATTTCAGAAATATGTTCTGCTTTTGACATCATATATTTGTCTATTCCATTTCCATTATACTGGGCTTTGTCAGATCAACAAGTAATTACGGGAATAATTAATAATAATTACCTTAGCTACTTTATTACAGCCTATTAATAAATTAAGGATTATATGGAGTGAGTTCGCTTTGGTATTTGAACACTGTGGGGCTTATAAGCGCTTATTAGCATTACTGCACCCCGCTGTTCGGTATTGCGTGATAATGCTCAGATTGCAGACGTCACTGATTTGAGAGCTTCGAACCGCGCTCACAAACGCTTTGACAAAATAGTGCAGAGTAATCATTTGCGTTATTATATATTCTTATCTAATCTGTTTATTTTATAAACCGGAGAAAAACCCTACTACTACTATTAATATTACTAATATAGCATTCCCAGAAGATAAATAATATTTAGGATTTTGACTATTATTTAATTTATTATTTGGTGTGTTATTGAATTTAAAAAAGTTATAATATCAAATATTAGTTGTGAGACAAATGTGTTGAAAGATGGTGAAGATGGGCAATTTAATTAAATTAGTTAATTCTAAATTGCTGGGGAAGACTCACAACGCATAAAAACGGGTACTTTAAAAGTGAATTTAGAATACCGAATATTTTGTTGCAATAAACTCACACTAAATTTGCAGCATACTAAAAATTATCACAATCATCTCCACTTTCCTCGGACGAGGGATCCGATGAAGAAAATAGAATATCACAGCATTGTTTGACAGCTAACATAACTAATTTTTACTTTTTATTCATTGTATTTTCATACTATTTTTTTTAATAATTCGTTTCTTCTAGTGTTGGGGAAAATTCGGATTTGCTGAAGTTCGATAGTTCGGTTTTCGGAATTCAAAATCAAAAATTTACTTAAAATCTGAGTTTTAGATTTTGAAACTTTGGTTTTACATACTATTAGGCATTTTTTTTTTATTAAATTCACAGTTATTAATTTATTTAGTATATATAATAAATAGATAAATATAATATGAATTATCCTGATAATAATATTTTAAAGTCACACTAAGTAAAACTATCAAATAAAGATAAAATACCACTGGAAAATATGATAGAAATATTTTTTTTCTCTATAAAATCATTTAAATACACATTTTAAATTATAAGTGTAACGAGGGATCCATAGAGAAATATCGGCGTTTCCGAATTGTGTATGAACATTATAATATGGGTCGAATTGCGTGTGCGGTTTTTAGAGAGGGTCGGATTGCGAGCGCAGTTTTTTTTTAAATTTTTAGATTCTGTCAAAAAATGTTCTCTTGGAAATACTCATATTTGTTGATTCTATGAGCGGGTTTTATTAATTGAAGGGAAAACTGAAAAACACACAACATATACAAAAAAAAAAAAATGGATAAATACAAGAAGGTATATTGAATACAAATTATATTAAAAATAAAAAAGTTATCGAAATAAATACTTCGAATCAGTATGAAAATTAAAATAATACTATAGAGTATAGTACTATAATCAGTTTTATTACTCACAGTGTTATACTTTTCATGAAGTTGTTTTAAAAAAAAAAAATATGTTTCAAATAATTTCGCGGCACCCTGGTTGGGAACCTCTGTATTAGGTACTGATTCTAGGAGAATACTATAGTCTAGGAGAAAACCCATAAAACAGTGTATCGAATTCACTAGCTATATTTAACAAATCGGCGAAAACCAGTTGTCTGTTCAAATGTTGCGGCACATAATTCGAACAATTAATGTGCACGCAACTTAGTTGTCGGATAATCCGGATCTACATTACATCACTAGTAGTTGTTCATCCAATTGGAATATTCACAATAATTCAAAAATATAAACCGGTAAAATAATATTTATCACGATCAACAGTCGTAAAAATTCTCATCTTGTTATCGATACATTTTTGATAACGCTCTCGCATGTAAATACCGCAAAATAAACGGTTTGTGAGCGCGAGCCTTAGATCATATATTATGGATAGAGCTACTACATGATAAACGCGACATCATTATTAACGAGTGCTAAGGGGACTGATGTCTATTGCGCATGCGTATCAATACTCGTCGCATATTTATCAAATAATCATTATAATACCAACAGGCAGTGATGGTAGGTACATCACACGTGATTACGTGAATTCGACCAATAATTGGTAATTATTGCGTGCAATAGCGTTTAATAGCGAGGAATATCGTGTTTATCTTGGCAACAGACACGGGGGCGATGCGGTACTGCAGTTCATATTGAACAATTAACTTTCTAGATAATGGTGACAACCAGTGGGGCACACAGAGAGAGTTAAGAGGTCATAACCCTCTCTGAAATGTCTTCATTACATTTTTTTAAATCAAGTTTTACATTCAACATGATTGTACTGTACTGATAATATATGCTATCCTCTCTAAGAAATTATTATAAACAAAACCGCTCCAGAAAAAAAAACCTGTGTGCGCTATTGGCGACGACGGCAATTTATTATGACATTCGTCGTCTACGTAACTATGTATGCCTCGTCGAGTGGGCGGCGACCGGTGTCGTTCGGTTATTTATAGCATATTCGCTGCATAATTATCCAGTATAATGATAATTTTATTATATGCCTACGTAAATTTAAAAACCAATGATTATTTCATCAGTACGATATTATTTGTAAGTCTCACGAGAAATTTTAAAATAACTATTAAATTTGTAGGTAGGTAATTTATTTTTAAATATTTTCATGAGATTTCGGAGGAAGGGTAACTCCCCTGCGTTTGCCGCTGGTATTCTTATTTTAATAAGCATATAATAAGTTATCGCTACCGCCTACCGGCAACGGCGGCGACATATTAGAATAAATTGTGACATTTGACAACGCGACAATGAGAACAATAATTTTATCGTTTATGCGATTTAATAATGTTAAGTCTTCAGTTTTAGACTTTGAGGAATGGATTGGTTTTTCTATAATACGGTTTTTTTGTAGTCCTATCAGCATGTGTTAGCCTTTTTTCTAATTAACAATTTACAAATTGTATACTGTTTATGTTGAATGTAAATCACAAAGTATTTTATTAATAAGCATTGGCAATTTCAATATCAGCAATTGAAAAAAAAGTACATATTTGGTAACACCATTCACGGTAATAAATAAATTACAGGGTTTATAATAATATCTGTTAATATCGACCGATTATTAAAAAAACTTGTTTCTGCCTCCCGGATAATGTTAACATGAATTGATTTAAATGCAAAACAAATATACATGATTTTGTAAAACATTTAAATTATCATTAAACTTATCAAACAACTTTTAGGGTTCTCGTTGGACATTACAAGCCACTTTAATGGATGGTAGAATTAATATTCTCAATTGGACAATGAAACCTGATCAAATGCAAGTGATAAATCCACTACTCATTTTACTGTTGATTCCACTATTTGAAACATTAATTTATCCGATATTAGCCAAAATCGGTATTCGAAAACCATTACAAAAAATGGCTTTGGGTGGTATTTTATGCGCTTCGGCTTTTGTTCTATCAGCTATTGTACAAAACATGATTATCGTGAGTATAATATAATATTATTTTTAATTAAGTTGAAATAATGTTTCAATATGTGTAGCAAGTAAAAATATTATTGATTTTATTTTGTTTGAATTTCTCTTAAATTTATATTTGCGTCGATACCGACTTAAAAATTGAATTTCTGTACCTTTTTAAATAGATTTAAATTACACGATCTATAAATGCCTACATTAAAAAATAAAAAATAAAATATTTCATTGGTTATATAATTTATAGTAGATATATTGTATTTTTATTCAAGGAATGCAATATTTTAGATTCTGAGTGTAGCGAAGAATGTATTGGTTTTATATAGATATATATATATTTTAATTTTATTTGTATTATTATTATTTTTTAACCTGTGAATAACTTTTCTACAAGAAATTTTGCTCTGATTTTAAAATATAGAACTTTTTCTGAAAGAAATCTGACTTAGGTATTACTTTAGGAAGGTTATTTTTGATTTTTCCAGGATTTTTCATAAACTATGGGAAAAACTAGGAGAAACGGAAAATGCTCGGAATGTTTTATTTTCAATTCATAAATATTTCGGATTTTCAAAACATGTATAATCAAACTCTGCTCAGAATCACTTTAGTTCACAGTTATCGCTTTAATATACATATTGTTTGAGAATTTTAAATTAGTCTTATAACTTTAGCTCATTTTAGCAGTAGACATTTTTGCGTTTGGATTTTTATTACTTAAATAAATGTACCTATATAATATATTTATTTATTATTTTAGGGTGAATCTACTCACATACCACCTGGAGAGGCCCAATTAAGATTGATTAATGGATTTGATTGTAACGTAACACTTAATTCGCCAAATTTAACTGTTCATAATTATTTAGGTCCACTTAACTCATTAAAGATAAGTAATTTAGGAGTTTCTAATGAAGTATCATTTCCAATTAAATTCATCGTTGATCCCTCGTGTTCGTCAAAATTACGAACAACAAACTATACTGGTATAGTTTCTATTGCTGAAGGCAAGGTAAGTGAATCTAAAAACGGTTATTTTATTTTATTATTTAGGCGTATATATATAATTTCAACATTACAATATTTAATACTAAAAGTACAATAAATTACAGGCAACTTCGTATTTTTTAACTTATAAAAAAGAACAACTTGATTTAAGAAGACTTGGTTTTGCGGATGACTCAAAACGTCTGAATGGTGATTCAGTACTAAAGTAAATATATTATTTTAAGATGTAGACTATAATTACATATTATACAAGTATGATTTTTTTCTCTTATGAATTTCTATCAAGTTATTAGGATTTTTAATTCCAAATAATGGTGTAGCTAGGGGGGGGATGTTTTGGTGTTCAGACATCTTCCTTTAACTATATTTATACCAACAATTATAATTTTTACTATATTAATATGCAGTTATACATCAGATTTCTACAAGGCGTGTAGCGTATTGATAATTATTAAGTATATTATTAAGTTATGTGTATTACATACACACATAAAGATAGTAACAATGTTACATATAGACATAAAATAAAAACAACCCCCTAAAAAAAAATTCTGGCTACACCACTGATTTCAAAACGTATTAATCAAAAATACTAACCCAAATATTGAAATATGTAATTTGTCCTATTTATATTAGTGAATATAACTTTTGTTATTATCAGGGTCGTGAGCAGCCTTGATTTTGGTGAGAATGTCATAAAATTTATTGACAAAGAAAGCGACAATACACCAATTGAATTTAGTTTATTACAGCCATGGCAAATAGTTGAATTACCTCTTAGAAAGTAAGATATTTATAAATAATATGTTTGTACACCGCAAAATTTGCCTAAATAATTCTAATAGTCAATTAAATTCATTAAAAAATGTTGCATAGGTATCCATTTAATTTCACACCGACAAAAACTCTGTAAAATTTATTTTTTCTCGATTCCCTAATTCTACCCACTTTACTATCAAAGTTGACTGTTGTTGATTAGTAATTAATTTTTTTTTTCATCAGAATTATCGAATTATTTTATTTTTTAGCTATCAAGTATTTTTAGACGATAAATTCATTACAGAGATACATCTTTTACCATCTAGTGTAAATACACTTGCCTTGCAACTTAACGAAGGAAAAGTAGTAAGTATAATATAATGTATTTTCTTATTGAGTTAATTATCTTTAATTTATTGGATTTTAACTAATTATATTCATCACCTCTATTAATATTTGTATTCAATTTATAGGATTCAAATTTTGTAGTCCTGGAGAAAGGTAATTTTATTCATATGGCATGGCAATTACCTCAAATCATTGTAGTAACTGTTGCAGAGATTTTATTCTCAATTACGTCATTAGAATTTTCATTTACCCAGGTAGAGTATACCTATTTTTGATCGTTGTACATTATAATTGTAAATATATATATATATCAGTGATATTTCCTTGAAGGCACCTACAAGTATGAAATCTTTATTGGCGGCAGTTAATTTATTAACGGTAGCATTTGGGAATTTGATAGTAGCAATCGTGTCTGAAGTACGAATTTCCCAAAATCAGGTATGTTAAATATAATACAATATAGTAATACAAAATATTCTATATGTGTTTTAAATTTAATATTTTCTTTAGGTTTATGAGTATTTGTTTTTCGCTGGACTCATGGTATTGGACATGATAATATTTATTATAATGAGTCTTAATTATAAATACAAAAACTTTTCAACTTGAAACCGTCTTTAAATTTATAACAATAATAATTTATTGCAATTAAATGAAATATTATAGTAAACATAATTTAAGTATGATGTTGATATTTTATTTTGAAATAATATGGCTTTAACGGGTTAGTCTAGTAAAAGTACTGATTCGTTGGTTTACTGATTTCTGTCTAATCAACCATACCAGAGGGGAGAATGCTCAGTCCTTTTACAAATCAATATATCATATTATTTTTGCACATTTTCCTCATAAATAGAATTTATTTATCGATGTCTAACATCCTTGATTTATAACATAGTGAAATTACCACTGAAATGTATTGGTTGTTTTGTTATTATTGTTCGAAATCACCCACAACTTACATCTTGATGTTAGTTATTTTATGATTTTTTTCTTTTAAAAATTGTTAAATTTAGAATTTGATTTGTTTGGTTTAAACATAGTTAAAATTGAATTATAAAATATCAATTCATCAATTTTAAGCTAGTTTAAAGATAGTTGCGTACACTTTATTTTGTGTGTTGATCAAAAATTTAAATACTAATATGATTATCATAATTTATATTTTGTACATAAAATGTTTTAACAGAGGAATGTACCCTATTATAATCAGTTGGGTCCCCGGGGTCATATTTATATATGAAAAAATAGAAATTATTTATTTAATTAGTTTAAATTATAACAATAAAACACAAAACCATTACAACCATTTAACCACTTCATTTTCTCTTAAATATTTATACAAATTGGATGAAATTTAATATATGTATATCTTGATAAATTGTAATAAACTTAAGGGCAGCAAAGGGGAGGGGAATGCTATTGGACCAGAGTATCATCTCAAGTTTAAAATTAATATCCCCAAAAATACTCAATATGTTTTTTTTATAGCATCTACTAAATATTTTATCCATATATTTCATAATTAATAAGCAGAGCAAATACAGATTACCTACAGAAAATAATGCATGTATATATAAAAAAACTGTCCTAGGATAAGGAGAACGGGTGCAGTCATTATTATAAGTAATTCAATGTGTATCTGTTAGCAACGATAAACCGCTGCTAACCTACCCCCTGTGGGTGGGGTATTAGAATACACCCATGGTAGTCCATGCCTGTCGTAAGAGGCGACCAAAATGGACATAGTAGTGGGAAGCAGCGCTGCTAAAATCAAGTGTGAATCCATTCATACTTGAACATCATCCATTAGAAATAATGAAGGATACTGCGATATGGAAGGCAACGGGAAACCACCATATTAATATCCCAAGTAACAGTAATCAACATGACAGCTTCTCAAGTAAAATATTCCGGAGGTAAAATAGTCCCCCATTCGGATCTCCGGGTGGGGACTACGAGAGGAGAAAGAAATGTTAAAGAATATAAAGAATACAAATTCATAGCAACTTGGAACGTAAGAACGTTATTACAGTGTGGAAAGTTGGAAAACCTGAAAATGGAAATGAACAAGATGAAAATGTATATCCTTGGAATATCAGAAATAAGATGGCCGAATCCAGGAGATTTCTGGAGCGGAGACTACAGAATAATACATACGGGAACAGCAGAGAAAAGACCAGGTATAGGAGGAGTAGGGATGGTAATGAATAAAGTCCTAGGTAAAAAAGTTAAAGGCTACGTACAATACAATGAAAGAATCATTCTAGTCAGATTTCAGACGAAACCAAAGGACACAATAGTAGTTCAGGTGTATATGTCAACAACAAATAGTAGCGAGGAAGAGCTAGAAGAAGTATATGAAAATTTAGACAAATTAATAGAAAATGTCAAAGGGGAGGAAAATCTGATAGTAATGGGTGACTGGAATGCCATTGTTGGGAAAGAAAAAGTAAAAAATTTAACAAGTGATTATGGTTTAGGAAACCGTAACGATGGAGGGGACCGGTTACTAGAATTTTGTGCAAAACATAAATTAATAATCAAAAACACTTGTTTTAACCATCATAACAGAAGGAGATACACCTGGAAAATGCCTGGAGACATTAATAGGTACCAAATTGATTATATCATGGTAAAAAAATAGATTTAGGAATCAAGTAAAAGAAAGTAGAAGTTATCCAGGTGCGGACATAAATAGCAATCACAACCTTATTATGATGAAGTGTAATCTTAAATTCAAAAAAAGCTTACGTACGTGGATTGAAATAAATTTCATTGATAGATGATTCAACGATGTGTTAATTAAAAGGATTTGGGCAAGCACGTTAGTAGCTAACAGAGATTTAATAAAATAAAATATTGACCTAAGTTAGATAATTTTGATAAATCAAATTTTTGGTTAATTTTATAGACGGAGATCGCAAGGAGACTTACGGGAGATTAGCTCCCTTAAAATAATATTTATCTATTTTTAATAATAATGATGTATATATATTATACAATTTTTTTTAATACAACATATTAAATCGGAGAACTGAGTACTGATAAAAAATAATTGACATGGAACATATGGTGGTATTTTTAGAACATTGGTTAAATTATATTCTGTATAGCTTTTTTGCTAATAATAAATAATATATTAATCATTAATATTCATAATTAAATAAATTATAAATGTATTATATTTGTTATATTAAATAATAAATTGTCTGGGGGTGTGGGGACATACTGCACACGGTTTTATATGCTACAAAATATTTAAGCTCCCCTAATATTTACCTGGATCTCCCCACCTATAGGTTAGACATTACATTTTAACTGTATATTTTGAAAATAATAAATTTAAATTATGACAACATTTTTATACTACAAAAAATATTATTACGGCCGCTGCCTCGCGTAATATAGTGACCAATAATCATCACTCACCAGTTACGGTTCATAGTTTTTCCTAAAAGTAGCATTCGATTTTGTTGTTGTTTGCAAATATCTTGTATTTTCGACTATCTCGAATTCAAATTGAAAAAAATCCATATTATCATAATTTTATTATTTTAATTACTTTCGAGGTTCAAGCGTAGTTACGTAAATATTGATGTATATAAAAACTTAATTAAAAATTTTAAAACATTCATTGGAACGTAATACGAAATTTGTTTTAAAGAACATTTAAAAACAAGGTGTTCTAAAATTTAATATTTACATTTAGGTTGCCATTTGAAAATCAAAAGGTAGTCGTTTCACCCCCAAAAATTAGGGTGACAAAAAGTAATGTAAATGTGAATTTTTAGAACAGCTTGTTTCTAAAATTCTCTTTAAAACTAATGTCGAAAAAATATAATACTTTTCGAGATGATAGATTGATCACTCTGTATATTTTATGCAATTTGTATGGTTTTAAACATGATAATTTTTATGTTAATCAGTTTTTAAAACAGTTATAAAAGTGTAACGGGCAATTAAAAAATCTGATCAGTTTATAAATAAAATACGTTCGTGTATTTGAATATTGATCATAATTATTACATATTTAATAAATAAATAAGAAAGACAAAATTTACAAATATGAATATTGAATACCTACTACTGAATATCATATAGCCGATATCGTACACCTAATACATTCATCGATGATTGGTATACTTACCTACTTAGTTGTTTTTTTTTATAGATAGATATTACCTATAAAACATAGACCAATAAATTAATTGACTGCGCGTAGAAGAGAGAAAACGTCAGCCAAAATTGAGCAAACGAGCTACGAGTTTGGAAAAATAGTGTTACTGTTATAAAAAAACTGAATTAGGTATGTGAAATTGTTAATGTAAATAATTGAGATTTATTATTTTATGATTTTCTCTCAATTATACTGGAACGATGAGACATAGATAGTGGGTGTGGAACGGCTCCGGACCGTTCTCCGACAATTGATAAGAAATAAAAAGAAATATTAGAAGTCATACCGAAATACCGGTAAAAATAAATTAAAAAGCGTCCTCATAGTATTTTATGTGCCAGTTAGTAGGTATATTTTGGATCAATAATGTGTACTTATTTTTTTACGATGCGTAAAATAATTACTATAATTATTTATAATGTCCAACAAAATTGCCACCAATCGTTATCTAAGAGGTGACTGTTTACAAATTAAACTGATATGATAAGTGATAAGATGCTATTTTAGAGGGCTGTAATATTTTCAATGTAATGTACAATGTACATAATATTTAATTATATCATTCCTTATCAATACTATAAAACATAAACATTCACCTTTTTGACAAGAATGGAGGCCATTTTATTTGGCGACAATAATAATAATACCGAAGTCGGCTATCTAGTTGTTTTATATATCTGTAGCGTAGACTATTTTATTTATAGGTCTATCGTAAGTACCAATGGTTTAATTTTATGGTATTACTGTTATTTTAATGAAAATAAAATATTTGTTATGAAGATGGTACCTACCCACATTTTATTTTTATTTAAAGTAAGAAGTATTAAGTTGTGGTGATATCCGTTTAAAATCCCGATCATTAAGCATAGTCCATTTGTCTAAACCTAAAGACAATGCAATTTCTTCTTCCACTATTTCGTATGACATGCTAGATTTTTTTAACCAAAGGTAAAACTGTTCAGACCAATCGTTTTGACGCGGCCAATCGCATCGCAGGATAACCGCATTACGCCGTACATGTAAATATTTTAACGAGTGACCATAATATGAAATTAATAATAACGTGCATGTAGATATTTTTTCTCTGATCATCTGCATAAAAATACAAAGATAAATGTAGTAATATAGAGTGAATGTAGGTAGACATACACGCTTTTGACGCTTGGAAGAAAAAATTTAACTCACCAATGTCTCGAGTTTTGGACAAGTTTGGATTAAATTTACCAAGCTTGTGTCTATGCGCTCTTTAAATGACGACGGTTGATAGAATTTTGGTAAATCGAGATACCCAAACGTCAATAATTGATCAGCGTACAATTCGATCACTTTATTTAAGATTTCACCACTCATCTGTACGATTTAATATTAAAATTAAAAATATTTTTTTTTAGTGTAGGTTTTCGTATTATTATTATTTCATAATATTAGGTATAAGCACTGTACTGTACTGTGTTGTTACGGTAGATTACTTAATTTGACGATCATTCGACATTTATTGCTTGCAGTAGTAGCCGTTTATATAAGTATTATGGTCATACGAAGGGATTGGTAAAAAAAAACTACGACAACAATGGTTATCTACGGTTAGGTTAATAGGAAATAAGTCGATTATCGTAATTTAACCGTAACACCGTACACGTATATTTTGTTAAAAACGGTTAAAAAAAAGCTCTAGGGAAAAACGTCCGGTGTATACAAATTTGGTATTAACTAATATTATCAGTAAAAATTTCGAACAGAAATAACTAATAACTAATAAATGTAAGCAACGTTCATTTAAAAATTAATTGTCAACGTGACTGCAGTTAACATGAGGAAAAATCGTTTTTGAACAAAACACTATTTTAATTATCGTTATTTATGACAAAAGATGGCTAACAAGAAGTAAAATAATTGAAGAATCTTCAAATATGATTATTGGTTAATTGTTTGTATCGGACTGTTTTTACTCGATATTTTCCGCTACAGGACGTTTTTACCTTGACTAATTTTGTTTAGCTAACCCGTATGTTTGGTGATTTATAAATTATACTGGAGACGGGCGCACCGGGTTGCCACAGGATCTGCCTTTCTCTGATTGATTCCACTCCAAGATGTACTTTTAACGTAAAGTTCGTTTTAACACAGTGTTTCCAGTCGAAATAATTCAGGGGCTCGATGTCTATAGGCGTGTAACGGTTCTGAAGAATATGTAGCTGACGGAGTCCAGTCTGACTCAACATTAATAATAAATCGCTTCCCAGATTCTGAGGGCTAATGACCAATATCTATAATTAAATAAAACTTGTAGAAACGAGTGTCCGAAATGACGTCATATGGGGCGATTTTAAATGTAATGACACTCGTTAAAGTTAATTATTATGTCATTACATTAGTGCGACAGTATTCTAACCTGCAAATTAACGAAAGCCCCGGGATGAAGCAATTGACAGAATATTTTGGTAGTGTTCACCAACACCAATATCTTCAACGTGGTGCAACAATAAAAACATACTTGATCCAATAACGTTTGCGCGTCTTCGTTCTCCAACATCAAATCGATCAGTTCCAATCTTTGGAGCAACGGCAAATTGCCCATCAATCTCTTTAGCGCTTCCAAAAGCTTACCTATGTTGGGTAATTATATAAAATAATTATGCATCAGAATTTATTAATTCTTTAAACATGTATATGTTCCCGGAAATATTGATAGTTTCAGAAACGATAACAATTTCTACTACGGTTAGGAAAAGACACACGCATGTAGTTAATTTAACTTTTATAGAAATGTTTAAAAAGCTAAATTTCAAATTATGTGCTTTAAACAGTCAAGGTGACACCAGTGTGTAACTGTATTAACTTAATAGTTCAACAATCCATTAAAGTTAAAATAGAAAAATAATCCAAGAGTTAAATTGGTTTTGTAGAATTATGATGTTGGTTTATTCATTTAGATGTTGTTAAAATAACGTTTATTTACAGTCAAATTGAAGAAAGTAGGTTTTACATGTCGCATTTATTTAAAACAACAATACACTAGGTACATTTATATTAACTCGATGTTGAAATTCTATACAATTGTTCGTGTGTTTAAATGTGGTTAGAATATCAATATATTGTTAGATGAAGATATAATGATATTATTTTAACGAATATTTCACTACGAATCTTAATTTAACTACTGTAACTTGTATTTTCACAATATTATAATATATCAAACTTGAACATTGCCTACAATTACCACCACTACTCTCTTTTAACTCAAAATTAAAAGTGGAATATCTCGTCAACTGGTTTATCAAAATCAAAAACATCAACACTAAAATTTATTTTAACTATTAGTCAATCTATATATATAATTTTTAATACAGGTTTCCATTTGAAAATCAAAAGTAGGTATTTGTTTCACCTCCAAAAATAATCATTATGTAACATTTGAGCACATAATTATTTAAAATATTAAAAAAAAAATTAAGAAAATTTAATAGGAAGAAATGTATTTTATGTGATAGATCGTCGAGTTACACCTTGTATTTGTAGTTGAAAAAATCTTGATGTGAATTAATTTAAAGGAAAAAAATGTGATAAAGGTCATTTATAAGTTTTTTTTAATATTATTAAGACAACCTTTTTATTGTTGTGAACTTTGGTTAAAAATATTTGCGTACATTCGTGTTCATCATGATTGCCCAACAATTTGAGTTAGCAGTAGAACTGTAAAAGCACTTATATAGTATGTATAGAAGTAAAGGAGTATAAATTACTAAAAATATAAGTAAAAATGTTATTTAAACTGCTTATTTATTAATAAAATAACAAAGTAAAAACAAAATTATTAAAATGGTTAATACTCGTAAATAAATATATAAATAAAAAATGTATGTAATGAATAAATGCATCGCCCGGAGTATTATAAGTGTATAAAGAGTATTGGTATTGGTGTATTGGTATGATAAGTGTATTTGTATCGAATTAAAAATTCATCATCAGGTATATCACAGTCAAAATTCACTTTTTACATTTTGATACACTTATCATTATACGGATTTTGAAGGTAATTGCTTTTTTTTTTCTATTGATCTAAAAGAAGCTAAAAAAATGTCAGCTACAAATTCGATTTATATTACTTAGAATAAAATGCACATTTTATTTTCCTTTTTTGTATATTAATGCTTTGTTGGGTAGTTTGAATTAACTTAATTTTGCTTTTAAGTTGAATTTTTTCAAATTAAATAAACGTAGTTGAATTGTTAATATTTATTTTTATATTTTATTATATGTTCCAAGGTTATGGTTGGCTCAATCGATTTTATCTCTTTATGTTTGATTTATAGATATATTTATCAATGTAATTTAGATTTTAGATAATGTGATTCACTTGAAACGACAATAAACACAAAAATATGCCCTATTTTTTTTAAAAAACCCATTTTTAATGATTTTTTTAAAGTTTTTTTGGAAGATTTATACAGCTTAATATTTATTATACTTAGTAAATTTTACCATTTCTTTTTGGGTTTTTCGCATTTGATGAGAAAACTTTTGAGAAAATCGAAAAATGACCTCCTTAAAGTACCTCCCCACACCGATTTTCTTTCAGAAAAGGTGCTATACATAGAAATCCGGGCAAGTCTTCTGGTAGTTAACAGATTAAAAAAAAAAAAATTAACATCTTTGTAAAATCATAGCTTCTTCGCTCCACTCAGAATCTAAAATATAATGTAATACAATTAAAGGACTATAACTTACAATTCGTGCGGAACGATCTGACGATGGAGGGAGGAGGCTGAAGCCCAAATATCAAAAGCTCCTCAAGTGGATACTGTCCACTTACAAATTCCGGGAATGAACTTACATTTACTTACAATTTGTCCAAAACGATTTGGCCGTGGTGGGGGGGGGGCATTTTCACAGACGTCAATCTTTTTCATTTAATCTGTAATATAACTATATTCAATGGGGATTGGGAATACCACTGAGCTCTATACTGTATAGTAAACCGTCATAAAACACGCCGGGTAGGATAAAGATATGATTTTAATATTATAGATTAACAACTTAATTATTATAATATTAGTAATTAATAGCAGTAATAGTTATATAGAATAATCGAGTGCTGCAATAATTGCGGATAACCAGCCAGGTTAAGGTTATCTTAGATTTTTGAGATTGTTTTAAGGCGACTGCAGGAGTAGTAAATGAATAATAATAATAATAATAATATAAATTATTACAACTAACCTCCCGTACCGTACAGAACGGACTCATCGATACGGGACGTCGCCATGTTACAAGGAAATGTGTACTGCAATGTGGTTATCCTGGACCCGACTTTTCGACCACGTTCCGCGTAGAATGATATCATGTTCATGAATTCGTACAGGTTGTAAAAATTCGTTATCGGTTTGAACACCAACACTTTAATGTAACTGCCGATCGACTGGAGGCAAAGTTGTACCCGGAGATGGTCCAGCATATACTGTACGTGCAACAAAATAATATAGGTACACGATTTTTCTACGAGACGAGTTTAATAGGCGCGGATCTCGGAGGTTTATTTCGGTTCAACAGCACCGTCGATTTCAAAATCGATTCTTTTAATTTTTTTTTTTTTTGTTTATGTTTTGTGAATGGAAAATACGAATAAAGAGTATCAATTATGGTATACTATAACATTACAGCAAATTTTGGAATTTTAATTGCGTACACCATATATTAAACAATATATAAAAATTCTTTGTAGACAAATGAACATTTTTCGAAAAAATACCTACTTCTAATGTTTGAGATATTAATGATTAATATTAATTTAAATGTTGTTGCCATAATTATTTCAAATAATTATTTTGCACTTATAATATTATTACCTATTTGTAGAAATATTTTTGGATTTCATGATTATGATATTATGGTAATGGTGATGTAAGTGATGCATTTCCGTACCCTCCATTCCCCGAGATTGAATATGGATTTGACATTTGAGTCTATATATTTGGTCACACACTCACCTGCCATCCCGAATAGTAATTGAACTTTCTTCTGGTGAGGGTTGTATCGTCAAAAATGAATGTGTGCCATGAATATGGTAACCTAAAAACTGAATACCACGAATGGCACGTGGTTGAGGCATAATACTTTTCGCGGTGGTTCAAACGAGAAAAAATATTTTCCAACAACAAATCCGGTAAATTATTCCAATCTCCTTTGTATTTGTTTATAGCTCTGCAGCCGCCGGTCTTTGGTTTCACTTCTAGAAAGAATCCAAGTTTTACACACACATATATATAACAATAAAATAATATAAATGATATTCCTGTAATATCTAAAAAGACAATATTATTTTGTCTACAAAGATACATAGAGGTATAATACAAACTTTTTGCTGGTTTTATTTTATCATTTTCCTTATTTTGCACGTCCATATTTATTGTAATGTAAATATGTTTTAAACACTGGCACGTACACTCTTAAATGGACCAGCAATCCATTTTGGCATTTGTTCAATATTTTTCCCAATAGTACAGGTTATCTATATTTAACATGAACCCTATAACATTTTCGCTAGTATTTTTGCTTTATCATAAAACAAATTTTTAAGATATAAACCATAAACGTATATAATAATTATAATCAAACTGGTCATAAAAAATAAAATCAAATAAATCAAAAGTATTTTCCTTTATTAATAATTAAAATTAATACATAATGTTGAGGTCAATCCCTAGTAAATTTTATTTTACCAAGTTGGAATAATAAATTTAAACATAGGAACTTGAAAAAAAAAATACGTACTTATATGTAATGTGATACTATTACAGTAAAGTTAAAAATGGTTGTTATACAATAATAATAATTATGATAGTTCTTGCAATTTATTAAACTATTTATAGCTAATTCTAAGGAACATTTAACATAAAATCTAAACAAAAATTGAGAAATTTAAAATTAAATGTAACTCGTGTAGTAATAAAACGTTTAACACACCATTTTTGTAAATTTATAGAATTTATAAAATATATCATAAATAACATAGTAAATAATCTTAAAATAAAAGTAGTCTCTTTCAAAAAGTCTGCTAAATGAGTTTACAGCCAATATATGTTTGTGATAAATTAACATCTAACAGGTGCAAGTCTTATAATATCCGTGTTTGGTGACGGAATAGTCAGTAAAAGACGAAGAATATAATATGTACTCAACAGCACAACACTGTGCGTAATAAGGACAACAAATGGAAAATCTGTAGTGTCGCCCACCGGTACATACATTACCACGTCTTTGTTTACTTTCACATTGTTTGCCTAAAATAATATAAAATAATTGGTTTAGCAAAAAATATTTTAATAAAATGTGTTTAATGTATAATTTTAATATGAAAGGTACACTAAGATAACATGGTTTTTGTTAATTTCATCAAGATATTAGATTTTGAGGTATGTAAGAATTACAATTAATTATAATTTATTTATTTTGTCAAGTATGATTTTATTATTGGTTAACATTTTTTTTAGATAAACAAGGATAAGTAAACTTACAAGGAGTTATAGCAATTAAGTTACAAGAATATCCTGAGTCAAGTTTAATCTTATCTATATCTAATATGTTTTCTTAACACTTAAAAGTAGATAATTATGGCATGCAGAAATTGGGCATTAAGACAAAATCTCACCACCAAATCTTGTCAGGACGAAATTATCCCACCCCACAAGAAAATAAATAGATAAATACACCATAGTAAAACCAATAGGTTCCTTAATACACTAGAAATATAAAACAAACAAATACATAGACACAACAAACTACAAGTTTATCTAGGTTGTATTATAATTATACAGAGTGTACTACAAAGATATACTCATAATGTCTTTTATATTACTCATAGGGATAAGGATTATAAATATTTATAAATAGTATTACATGTTTACGCTATGGTAAATACTAAAAAAAGCAGCTTTTTTTATTTATTCATGAGCATAGTGAGAATAAGGCATTCCAAACTTTGACTGAGAGTAATTTCTATGATAAAATGAGCTAGAACTTGCTTATCAGTTCAATTAGTTTGAGAATACTTGGTTGGGGCGTTAAAATAATGGGTTCAGTTCACTGTTGCCTCTTTTTATATGAAATTGTTTTAATAATATGTCAGCAGACCTCCTTTGAACAAAGAATAGCACAATACTTTATATTCTCTCATACATGCTGCACAGTACACATTCTTCTATTTGGTAAGTACTTAATGCATTCAAATAAGATGAAAATTGGACAAAGATGAAGTTAGAAGGTTTTATTCAGATGAAAAAAAATGCTTTCCAGTAGAAACATTATCAACTATTAAATTCAAAATAGTCTATTTGTTCTAAATTCCAAAAGACACCAACTACCAACATGGGATTGCTCATAATTTGAAATTTGATGTTTAAAATTTAAATAATGACTGTCCATATTATTGACCAGTTTATTTGTTTTTTAGAGGGATTTTGTTTATGAGTAATACTATCGGTCTCGATAATTTTTGATTATACACATTGAAAGTTTAAATAGATAGGTCTATTATTAATTTTATGGTTCTAGTATTTATTTATATAATAATTAAAATTTTTGATGTATATTAAACCATACAATTTAATACAAGGTTGCTTGTAAATATTATATAACTATTTAATCAAATTAATTTTTAAAATCTTTATTTTCAATTACAATTTCATAACTTATTAGTTTAGTTTTCAAAACTTCAAAAACTTTTTAATCCTAAAGCAATATGTTATTATTATTTGTTTCAGTTAAATAATATTGTAATAATATTGTTAATAATAATAATATTGTAATTGTTATAATATTAAGACAATATTGTCTCAAGGTTAATATTGCAAAACAGAAGCCTAACATTATTATTATTTTTATTGAGTGTTTTAAATTAATTTTGTTTGTCAGATATTTAAAAACAATAAATATAATTATATAATGCAAATAATAATACACAATATGAGTTTAGTAAATATCTTTCCTGGCAAGATAATTTTTGCAAATGTAACAAATAAACATTAAAAATATTCTCCTGGCTGGCTGATATTTTCTTCTTTTGTGGGAAATCAAATAATATAATATATTATGTTAAAAATGTGAATTTCCTGTATTAATAGAAAAAGAAAAATAATAATACTTAGGTATTTTAACTTACAGGTATCCATTCACCAGAATTGAGCGGAAACTTTTTCCAATTTGAATTAATAGGTCCTTTGCATAAATAAAGCATTTGGACATCTGAATAGGCATCACCAAACCGAACTTCTTTGTAACGACTGTCTTCTTCTGCTTTTTGGTATCTTAAATGAAATGGAAATTCTGTCTCAATCAATTTGTTTGCTGTATCTGGGAGTGTGTAGTTGACAACATAAAGAACAAATGGATCAGATTTATGAGCAGGTGCTTCCACATCAATAAATTTGTTATCCACATAAAAAGCAACCTAATACAATATAACTAATTAATAATCATTTAAACATAAATATTATATTAACATAAAAACCCACCTTACGGTTGTTAGCAATAGTAGCTAATTCATACTTGTCAACATAAATATCGGCTGGAAAATCATAACGTAAAGTTATGGCACAGTCTTTACGGTTCGATGTTTCATAGTCAGCAGTTACTGTTGTACGAAGAATTCTACAATATTTGGAGAAATTAATGAAATATTTAATTGAAAATGATGGTGATTTTACACTAACCTGTGGTAACCTTCGTTTTTTACTAGTAAATTTATGTTTCCAGAATGTACTACCAAGTAATGCATTGAATCTTGTGTACCCTTGAACCCATAGTACGATACAACAGTTGTGACAAACACCAGCGAATAAATAGTAAAGAGAATTATTTTTGTTTTCATGATTAAGCCCATGAATATATACTAAGTCAAAAACACAATAAATAGTTAAAACAAATTTAAATACTAATAATCGTAGAAAATAAAATTGAATCAACACTAATATTTCGGAAATGTATGTGAACTGAGTGACTGTTTTCTTGTACCTAGTTCTATATAATCAAAATAGAAATCTCAAATCGGCCTTGTGCTAGGCGGGTGGGTGTTTGTTATCACAGAACAATATTGTTATCTTCCATTGCTAAAAGAAAATTATTGACTTTTTGGTGGCATGTGATAACGCAAAATCGAGAACAGAGAAATTTTCTACTCGCTCCACTGCTTGAAGATAATATTCATGTTTTTAATTTTGAATACGAGGTCGATTACTTCTACTACTTCTACTTAAATGATTACATTCATTATAATACAATTATAGTTTTTTGTACTATTCATTATTGTAGTATGATAAAAATTGATTGATTCCTTGTCTATAATTTCTTAAATCGATGTAGATAATTTTTTCATTTAAAACTGTTAAGTGTGCGTAATAATATTGTGTACACAATGACTACAGACGAAAAGAATTTCTTTCAAAAAACAATCCAACATTTGGCTCGATCTTTAGCGTCACAAAAGGACATACCATGGGAAAAAGTAAATACTTCAAACTTAATACCTAATACAGAGAGAAAAAAATTTATGAAAAACCATCCTAATTTAATATATATTATAAATTAAATTAACTAAATGTTGTACCCAACAGATCCAAACATTGTATTCATTGTGTCCCCAAGAAAGTCATCAAGGTATATTCAAGATGGATCAAAGGGGACAAGATTCTATTATAGCATTAGGAATATACCTCTTGGAATCAAATTTCCAACATGTCAATAACATACTACCATATTTATTAAAGTTACTCAATGGTTTAGGGAAAATGCAATGGGTGGATGAGATAAAGTATTTTCCTAGAGAAAGTTAGTATTTTTTATAGTAACTGCTTGTATTGCATTTAACTAATTTGATATGTTATTATTTCTATAAGGAATACCTGTTGCTGAAAGAATGAGTTTTTGTTTAAATACATTATTAACAGATATAGCAACTCGTTATCCAGTGGCTAGAGAAAAAATCATCGAAGCCCAGATCAAATGTCTTAGTAAATTATCTAATATGATAAGATCGGCTAAAAGTGATAAACTAAATGATATAATTAAAAGTATGTTTCTATAGGACATAGTATGTGTCTAGAAATAAATGTATGTAATTTAAAAAGAAAGTTAATGATAATTTTGAAATTTTAACAGGCACGTAGCTATGAGGAGATTAGGGTGTGCCTGGCCCATTCTAAAATGTGTCAGGTCTTAGGCCGGCACACCCAAAATATTCAGTGGGGCCCATTATTATTTGTGTTTAATTTATACCATAAATAAAATATCTTACTCGACTTGCCTAGGTATTGTGATATAAATTGATCAATGATAAGTGATTACTACCTATACTCTGTCCTATAAGAGAGCATACCGCAGGATAACAAAAATTGGTCAACTCTACTCACAGCCACCATTGTTGGCAATAAAATTTGAATGCATGGAGGGTATACAATGGCCCGGTCGGTCGACAAATAATGCACAGATCCAACATGCTCACAAGTGGAACAGAGTATAGTACCTGTCACCAGCTTACCACCAGTATTATATTATTTTGTGTATATTATTTGGTAGATGACATAATCATCAAAAAATAAATCTCATTAAGATACAAAGATATGATTAGATTATATATTTGTAGTTATAATATACTTATTAGTACCTTTTTTTTTTAATATAAAAAATGTCAAGGAGACCTAAATATTGGCCCACCTAATGAAAATATTCTAGCTACGTGTCTGTACCCATATCAATATTTATTTATTCAATTTAACTTTTTTGAAATTTGATTAACTAATGAAATGCCTATAAAAGAACTAATTCTAGGGCTAAGTTAAAGAAATTTTAAATATTGTCCATAATTAAGTTACTTAATGAATTAATAATTAAGTTATATACTATGGGATATATTTTTGTAATGAACTTTTGAAAGAAAGTTTGGAAATATTTAATATGCACAGTTTAAATTATTTAAAACTTTCAAGATATTTTATTTGGGCATAAATATGAAAGTTAATTATTAATATATTTTAAATTAAATTATAGCAACATTGTGTAAAGCGACCATTCCATGTTTTATCGGTTTGGCTAGATCAATGGGACGAGCAACTTTGAGTGACCCTCCTCTTTTGTGTCGCTTATTTCCAAAACCTAGTGCTCCAATTCAACAAATTCCAATCCCTGTACCTGATTTAAACATTCCTAAAAAGAAGAGTTTTTCCAACTTTCGGTAATATTTTAATTTTATTTGTATCACATTAAAAACATTATTCCTAATGAATTAATTTGATTTCAGTTCCATTATTCCACGTTCATTGTCTCTTAATTTGAATTTAGCATCACTTGATATAATGACATTAAGTTCACTTGATCCAATGAATGATCTTAAGTAAATAAATATGCCATTTTGATATACATAACTGATTACAAATAACTTTTATAAATAATTATATTTATTTGTGTATAGCAATAGAATGATTTACAAATCTGAATGCAAGTTAGGTTCACAAGCACCAAATAATATGTCCAACTATTTTTTCTTCAAATATGGGTCAAGTTTTAATCAGTTTCCATACACAAGGTTTACTGATTCGTCTATTGATCACAAATCATCAACGCTTATGTTTCCTTTAGGTCATCTACAAGTAAGAATTTTCTACTTTAACCAATTTATTGACTTTATTGTAAGAAAATTGTTTATAGACTGTTCTATCTATTGCCAAAAAAATTCTCACTTCTGATGTTTTGGGCTTTATGGATAGTTTGGCTCTTGAATTTCATATATCTGGTGAGAGTAAAACATTTTGCTATCGAAGTTTTAGTGAAATATTAAATTTGGTTATTGCATCATTATTAAGAGAGTTACTTCAATATCAACAAGGTAATAAAATAATAAAGTAAAAACAAAATATTAAATTGTTAATGCCTGTAAATAAATATATAAATAAATAAATAAATGCATCGCCTAGAGCAGGAATCAGCAAACCGTGGCCAGCAAAGCAATTTTTATGGCCCACACAAAGATGTTTAATTGGTTAGGTTAGGTTTCACCAAGACGCATTGTGTTGTAAAGTTCTTGCGTAGAAAAAAATTATGAATGTTGTAATTTCTTCATTACATTTTATTCGGTTAATGATTTGGGTAATTGTCAATTTCAACAATATTTGGATGAAATTAAATCTGTATATGGGGATGTTATATATTTTATAGGAGTACTCAAGAGGTTGAGTAGAGGTGCAGCATTTAAAAGACTTTGATTTACAATTGGAAATAGAAATGTTTTTGAATGAAAAATAATTAAATCATTACTATCAGATGAATTATAGAATTTTGAGTGGGCATTTTTAACAGTAAAACAACGTTTTTGAATAAATTGAACATAAAATTTCAAGGTAAAAGAAAATTGCTGTCAGATATATATACTGATGTTAAATTGTTTCAATTAAAATTCAACTTATTATACAATCATTTGAATTAACAAAATTTTCATCATTTTTCATGTTGTAAATGAGATTGAATCTTTTGTAAAACCACTATAGTGAGATTCAGTTGAACCTAAATTTCTTAATATCACGGAATAATTGCAAAACAAATTTTCAATAAGATTTAATGATTTTTATAAATATGATAATAAAATAATTCTGGAATTCTTTTTTAGTGGCTATTAATCATGCCAAGAATAATTTACAAATAGAAATCATTGAACTTCAAAATGACAAGGTTCTAAACATTTTTCTTCGGAAAACAACTAGTTTATCTCAATTTTCCTGTATCTATATTCACTGCAATTAGAAAATTTGCACAAAATCTTATAGATAGAAGTACATATTATATGTATATGAGCAGACATTTTCCACTGTGAAGTACAAGAAAAATAAACACCCTTTGTGCCTTAATGATGCACGTGATGAACATTTGCACACTGTATTAAGAGTCTCAGCGACAAGTTTGCAAGCTGATGTAGAAAAATTAACTAATAAATTGCAGGTACAGAAATCACATTAATATACAATTTTGCATTATTTTTTTTTAAATTTTATTTTTTCGTAAAAACCATATTTTTTTATACAAAAATTTATATTCATATTTCCATGTAAAATAACAAAATTTAATAGTAATATAATTATCAGTATTATACCATGTGTACAATTTTTTTTTTTTAATGTGGCCCTCGATGAGAAGTTTTAAATAAATATGGCCTATATGGTTAAAAAGGTTGCCAACTCTTGGTCTAGAGTATTATTGCAGTCACTTTTTACATTTTGACTTTGTGATTTTACCTGACGATGAACTTTTAATTCGAAAAAGGTCATACAATACACATATCATAACCCAACCTAACCTTATTTATTTATTTATTTATATATCAACAATGTACTTATAAATTATACATTATGATTATAATATTGAACTATTAGATGACTGAAATTAATTTTGATGTACATTATTTTAGATTTGCCAATGCCGTTTACTAAAGATGTTCAAGAGTTTGTTAAAGATTTGTTCTTGAATGGTCAAACTGAGTTACAATCTGGTGTATTACAGGATACAAACGATCATGAAGATAAAGAATCCCATTTAACAACAATAAATAAGTTTAAAATTAATGTTTTAGCAAATGCAGCATGTGTGGATTTATTAGTTTGGGCAACTAGAGATGAAGCAGGTTAGATTTTATAATGAATTGGTATCAATAAATCATACATATTGATAATCAAATTATAATTTTGTTTAATGGTTTCCCAATTAACTTTTATTTTTATTATCAAAGGTTGAATTCAGAATTTTCTATTATTTAATTTTTAAAAAAAATTATCTTACCTTTTACCAAACCTAACCTACCTATTTGTAATATTTCATAATTTGTAAGTTTGTTTTATTAGATTTGAAGAATGTTCACATTTCTTTTTCTTAATAACTTCTATAAATATTAGTATTACATAATATATATTTTTTTAAAATTTTCTAGGTGCTGATAATTTATGTGGTCGTTTAATGGAAAAAATTAATTCAAGTAATAATGTTAAACAAGCTTTAGCGCATATGCCATTGATTCTTGTTTGTATGGAGGTATTTGTTAATATTTGATATAATTTTACTTAAATTAATTTAACAATAAAAAACTAAAAATACTACCCAAAAATAGATAAATTGTAAAAAATAAATACATTGATTGTAGGGCTTAGGTAAACTATCAGAGAAATTTCCAAGTATAGCCAGTACTTGTATTCAGTGTCTTCGTGATTTTCTTGTTCAGCCTTCGCCAATTTTGTCAAAATTAAATAAATTTCATTCAGAAAAACAAACAACTAAAGTATTAAAAATTACAGGTAAAACAAAATGAGTTCCACAAGAAAAGACCAAGGAAAAAAAAACAACAATTTTAAAATATTTTATATTGATTATTACATTAAAAAAAAAAAAAAAAAAAAGATTTTATATTATAACATAAACACTTTGACACTTTAGTGAAATTTGACAGACTAAATTTAGTTCATTCAAATAATAGCATGAAAGTATGAAAAGGTCCTCATAAGTAATTTCAATGAATGAAAGTAATGAAAGATATATTGCAACCACTCATTATTTTGAAAAGTTTTAATTTTTTTGAAAATACTTTTTCACATAATTTTTACCATTAAAAACCTATTTTTTCATTAGAAATATATTTTTTATGTTTAAATATTTTTAAAAATTATAATTAGTTAATATATTTAAAATTTTAAAATTGTTCTTTTTTTCTTGGTCTTTTGTACCGATTATCACAGAGTTATAATTTATACAAAAATAATTGCAATTTAATTTTACTTAGCTAAAAATATGTATTTAAATGTTTAGTTAATGGTGTTAATGAGAAACCAATATCAGATCATGTCGAATCACAGTTTGAAAGACTGCGAAATTCTTCAATTGAAAACCTTTGTATTGCATTAAGAGCGGCTTATACTTTAGATCCTTTTTGTGTACCTGCACTTTTAGCATCTTTATCTAATCGCTTATATACTGCTGAAAAATCTAAAAAGTAATGTATTTTTTTTTTTTTCTAAACAGTTTTTTTTTATTTAAACAGTGTTATACAATATTTTTAGTGATTCTTCTTTGATTCAAGCAAATACAATTGTGATGTTAGGCCATATTGCTGTTAGTTTAAGGGACACAGCAAAGACCTCAGATACTATTTTACAGTTTTTCCAGCAACGATTCTGTCGCGTTCCTAGTTCTATAGATGTGTTAATCGTAGATCAGCTTGGATGTATGATTATTGCTAAGTGTGATGTAAGAGTTAATATTGTTTTTTTAATTAATACATATTTTTAAATAAATTATTTAATTAAATTATTTTTAGTTAAATGTCTATGAAGAAATAATGCGAATGTTTTCAACAATTACAGTAGAAGCTGGTAATGCTCTGTATAGCCATGATCAGTCAAATCAGTACAGGTACTTTTAATAAGGTATTGTATTTATTTTTAAAATTGTTACTAATATGATTGGATTTTATTTAGACATGTTTCTGGCGCTGTTATCAATGCTTTAGCTAATATTGCTTCTAATATTAAAGGAGAAAATGAAATGAATGAACTTCTTGTGAGATTATTAGAATTGTTTGTCCAACTTGGACTTGAAGGAAAACGAGCATCAGAAAAAGCACCAGTTGCCAATAAGGTGAATTTTAATTGTATTTGTAAAACTTACCAACAATTGAATTTTTTTTATATATCCTAGGCTTCTAGTAGTGCTGGAAATTTAGGAATGTTAATCCCTGTAATTGCAGTATTAATACGCCGTTTACCAGTTATTATACAACCAAAACCTAGATTACATAAGTTATTTAGAGATTTTTGGTTATACTGTGTAGTTATGGGATTTACAAATGATTCAGGTAAATATCATTTTAAAATTTTATAAAATATGTTTTTAAGCGTAATCATTTTTTTAAATTTAATAAAATTGTTAGGTTTATGGCCCAGTGAATGGTATGATGGTGTAAAAGAAATTGCTATTAAATCTCCATGTCTTGTTACTCAAACATCGACAAGATCTCAAATGCGTGAATTGCAATATACTTCAGCTGTTAGAAATGAAAGTGTTTCTATAGTAAGTGAACTTTTTTTTTTTTTTAATAAATACAATTTAAAGTGTGTGTATACAATCAAATCAGACATAATATGAAAATATGCAATTTTGGTAGTTTAAATAGAGAGAAAGATAAAGTTAATATTTTTTTTAAAACTAAGTTCAGGGTCTTTTTTTATGGATAATTCAACCTCAAACTTTGTGCAATTGCTAGATAGTATTAGCTACTATTATATTATAAATAGAAGATATAATTTTCCTTTTTTTTGTAGAATCAGCTTCAAGAATTGAAATCTCAAATTCTGCAACATCTTAATCCAGCTCCACCTGAAGTAACAGCAGCTGTAAATAAATTATCGTTTGCACAGGCAACTTATCTGTTGTCGGTGTATTATTTGGAAACAATGCGTATACAAAATTCAAATGATCCAAGTCTACAGCCAATTTTCGATTATTTATCAGATTACGCTATTCAAAAAGATAAATCTGGATTGTGGCATTGTATCTCTAGTGTTGGAGACAAAGTATTCGCATTATTTCTAAATGCCATGTCTACACAAGCAAAAGACGAAACTAGAGAAAAAAAGTTGGAGTTTCATGCTCAATTATTGTTGGTTAACTTTAATCATATACACAAATTGATTCAATGTGTTGCTGATAAATGGCTTTCAGGACTTGTTAGCAAGTATATTTAAATTTTTCGTTAGTTATTATTAGCGTGGTAAACTGGTAAATCTTCATAGTATTAATATTATAGATTCCCACACTTATTATGGAATCAACGTGTACTTTGGACTATGTGTGACATACTGCAAGTTTTATCTTATTCTTTGGAGTTAAATCCTAATAATGAAACACCTTGCATCCAAATACCATCTACTCCATTTACACTCATGTTGATGGATACTCTTGACGCTAGAGAAGTAATAACAGATTTATTATATATTAATATAAGTGTCTGAAAAATTAATTGAAAGATTAATTTCAGAGCACTACTAATGACTTTGCAGCAAGGTCATTAGGTTTTATTCAAGAAGCAATGAAATGGGCTCCTAGTGCCACTCGATCACATCTCCAACATTATTTAACCCAGATCCCCAGTTCTTCATATTGGCATCATTCAGGACTTGCGTTAGCAACTGAAAGCATTTTACAAAGTAGTGGTCTTAATTTCCATGCAGCACCATTATCTGTATACATATTTTATATAATTTAAAACCCATAAATATTTTAAACACAACATATTTTAATTTAGAAAATGACATTGGATAAGAGACCCCGTTGTGTTAAAACTGATTCTTCATTGTACATCACAACTTTGGGTCTAAGAAGTCATTTTGCCGGTATAGTGTCTGGCATGATATCAGCTTATGAGAATAGCCCTGAACAATTAGTGGACAATGTAATTCTAAAAGTTTGGAGTGCTTGTGATAATGATGTAAACAATATACATCATAATGCATTATGGACTGCAACAGCATTACTTATATCAATTTCTGGTAATATTTAATTGATTTTTCTCAATTAATAATTTATACTTGTATAATTAAGTTTTAATAGAATTAATTTGAATTTTGATGATTAGGATGTACAAGAAAATTGCTACATGTTGTTGCATGGTCTCAAGTCAAGTTATTTACCACCAAAGCTATGAGAACTGCGGTGGAATGTTGGCAATGGCTAACTACATCCCGCCCGGATTTGGAATTACAATTCTTACAGGAAATGTTTAGTGCTTGGCAGGTATATATTTTATTTTTTAATAAACCAATAAGTGCCTTAGTTAAAATATTTAATATATATACAGTATAACTGGTTTGAGACACTCTCCTAGGTACCAGTTAGAAATAACAAATAACATGGGTAAACCAATTTAAGTTGTACCTATATTCGGTTATCATCAGAACGTTGTACTGTACTTGAATTATTTATATTGTTTTTCTACATCATGACTGAAGTTATTTTTAATACCTGTAATACTCAATTCGCTGAACTGTATATTCCGGTTAAATATGAAAGTTGTGCTCTATCTCCACATTCTTAATTTACGGGAATTCCTGCAACTGAAGTTAAGCATCTTTCTTTAAAAAATAGGCCTCTCAAGTATTTTTGTGATGGCTATGATCATGGTTTTAAGGAATTACCAAAGTTAAAGCTATTAATAAAAAAATTATTATTATAAGTGGAAAATCTAAAAGTATGAATCTCAATTATGGTAATACGTCTGTGCATTACTGAAACTTGGTCAAATCATACTATTAATGATCTAGAATAGGGAATTTTAACATTTTTAGAGCGGATAAAATTGGTACTCACTACTATGAAGTTATTTGCTAAATATTTTTTATCAGTATATATATCTAATATAATAAACGATTATAATTATGATTTTTTTAATAATCAGTTACATGACTTAAATTTAAATTTATTTATTATTTATGAACACGAAATTTTAGATTTTATTGGTTCATTTAAAGACAATGCAAGTACTGGGCCTAATGGTATTCCTCCATTTTTTTGAAAATGTGCTGTCAAACTTTCGCTAAACCCATACATTATTTATTTAATTTGTCTCTATCCAATGAAATTTTCCTCTGTTGAAAAAAATCTTTTATTTCTGCCGTACATAAATCAGGTGATAAGCAAAATGTAAAGCATTATAGGCCGATTTCTAAATTGTCAATTTTGCCAAAAATTTTTGAAACAACATCTTAAAAAAATTATACAATTTATTTTGGAATAATATAAGCCTTTCTCAACATGGATTTGTACCAAAATATTCAATTCAAATAAATGTATTGCTGTATCATAATTATCTTGTAAAAGCTCTTGATCAAGGCTTTCAAGTGGATGCTATTTATACAGATTTTCAAAATGCGTTTGATAATGTGAATCATAATTTACTATTTTGTAAATTAAAAAATCATGGTAAGAGTAGAAATTTTTTAAAATGGTTATTTTCTGACAAATATCTTGTCTTATAAGGTGTTCCTCAGGGCAGCCATTTAGATCATTTACTAATTTTAATATTTATTAATGATCTTCCACTAGTTCTTAATAGTTCTATAAAAATTTTATTATTTACGAATGATGCGAAGATTTTTTTTTCTGTACAGTTAATTCTTTAAGTGATGCTAATCTCTTCAGTTGAATCTTAATAAATTTCATTAAAATGTATAATTTTTTAAATTATAATATTGAACTTAGTCCTCTCACTAGAGTAAATTTAATCAAAGATCTTGGCATATATTTGGAAAGTGATCTTTATTTTAATATAAACCTTAAAAGGATAATGAATAAATCGTTTAAGATGTTAGGCTTTATTAATAGAAATTTTAAAGATTTTAGAAATCCGTTCTGTTTAAAAACCTTGTAAACATCATAATTTATACCCAATCTTGACAATCATTACTGTCCGATAACGAGTGATTTAGTGCAGTATTTCTTTAAATTTTATATTATCATCATTGACTAGTAGAGCATTTTAAATTGGTTCTACTGTACATAGATATTATATAAAAAATACAAATTTTTTTTTTTATAAAGTACACAATTGATAGTCGCATGGGATTATTTGCTAAAGATATAGAACAAGTTAGTCCACTTGCAGTATATGAAGGATGTACTTTAGAACCTAATCCTCCTTTTGTGAAACCCCATGACATTTGGGTTCAAGTAAGACTTATTTATTCATTAAAATAGTATTATAATATTTATTTTTATTGCACAATAATTTGTTTAGTATATATCAGAAGTAGTTGACAATGTAAAATCATGTAGTCAAGAAAAAGTGGAAATGTTAGCTATGATGTTTCATCGGTCATTACCCATGAGTGTTGGAACTTCTGATGCTTTTATCAGTCGTCACATAGATGCTATTGGAACAAGATTTAGGTAATCTTTAAGTTAATCAAGTTTATCACTTTGAAATATATTTTTCCCTCCTAACAAAATGTTTGTTTTAAATGTCTAAAAACAGACTATATATATATATATATACCTATGTATATATAGTAGGTAATGAAAAAAAATGTCAATAATATATATTATTTTATATTGAAATGTATTGATTTTGTTTTTCTACTCTGTAATAACTTACCTTTTATTACACACAAAAATAATATTTTTAATGAAATTATGGGGATTGTATTTTATTTTGTTCAAAACTTAGAGCTACCGATTGGATCTATATTATTGGATCATAAACAATAGGAATTTGAGATTAAAAAATACTAAACACATTTAAAATATTTTAGATTATTACAATGTGGACTGACATTACTGCAAGGGGACGTATTACCTAAATCATTGGGAAAAAATATACTCAGGGAAAGAGTATATTGTGCTTGTTTTGATACCTATACTACACCTGTTCATTGTCCAACTCAACGTGGTTCAGAACTACGAGACGACATATTAGCTCTTACAAAATTTTGGCAAACTATGCATTCAGATAAGAAATATTTGATGGCCAGTGTAATTGGAGGTTAGATGAATAAAATAAGAGTTTCTATAAAACTTAAAAATAATGTTATTTATTGAAGATATTTTTATATATTTTATTATTTGTTTTGTTTTAGATTTTGATCTTCAAGGGGGTTCTTTACAAAATTCTAGTAACACAAATTATGACCACCAATTAACAATTTCATCGTTAAATGAATTAACGGTATCGAGTATTGGAGCCGTTTCTGGAAATTCTAGTACAGCACAAGGTTGGATGAACACTGTTCCATTATCAACATCTGCTACAAATACATTAAACAAACGTACGGCCAATAATTTAAGAATAAAACGCCAACATGTTAATGACAATCAAGATCTGTACGTCAAAGATTATATTAAAAAGCGAATTCTCATATTAGATCTTTTGGTAAGTAGTTATTTAGTACTTTATATTTTATTGTTAACATAATTGACCAAAATTAACCAATGTAGAAACGATTAAATTTTCAATTATATAAACCTAAACAAAGATTTCATTATATATTGAAAATATGATTAGTAGAATTTTCTAAATAGATTTTACCGAATCAACATAAAACTATAATTATATCTCCAACTAAATGAAATATTCTTTAAATTATATTTTATATGTATATTTATGTTAAACTTTCATATTAATCAAATTAAAAGTAGATATCAGGAAACTATGATGATTAAAATTAGACAGTGCAGCACAATAAAATACCCACATTAATATTTTTCCAAGGCTGTTCAAATTGAATTTTTGAGTACATGGCAAAATCCTGCTTGTTTATCCGAACTCAATGTACCTGGAGAAGAAATGGTTGCTTCATGGAAGTCCAAAAATGTTCCTGACAAGTCCTTGCGGGAGAATACAAGACTTGCTTGGGAGATAAGTCCTGCTCTTTGCGTATTTCTACCGGTCAGATTAAAAAATTCAGACTGCATCATTAAAGAAGTATGTAGAATGGTTCGAGCTAATCCAATGGCCGTTTCACATATACCTGAAGCTTTACAATATTTAGTGACCACCGAGACACTTTTAAGTGATGCTCCTGAAGTATGTAAAAAATAATTGCAAAATTTAAAAAAAAAAACAATAATATTATGTATCATCTTTTTTTTTTTTTTACAATGTAATTTAAACAAATTGAATATTTCAGCTCGTCTACATGTTAACATGGGCAAGGGTTACTCCGGTTCAAGCCTTATCATATTTTTCCAGACAATACCCACCACATCCGATATCTGCACAGTATGCAGTTCGTGTTTTAGCAAGTTATCCCGCCGATGCAGTATTATTTTATATTCCCCAATTAGTACAAACCCTTCGACATGATACAGTATGATAATAATTTTTTCTATAGCAATGTGTAATACTCAATACTTATTAGTCATTATATTAAAAAAAAAAAAAACAGATGGGTTATGTGTTGGAGTTTATCAAATCAATTTCATTACGGTCCCAGGTAGTTGCTCACCAGTTAATTTGGAATATGAAGACAAATATGTACATAGATGAAGAAATGCAACACAAAGACAGTAATGGCTACTTAAAAAGATAATTTGTTTACAATAATTGTTTTTTAATATATATGTGTGTATATTTTTTTTAGCTGCTCTTTATGATACATTAGATTCGTTAACTAATGCAATAGTTGATTGTTTATCGGGTCCTGCAAAAAAATTTTATGAGCGAGAATTTGATTTTTTTTCTCAAATTACTGATATCTCAGGCAAAATAAGACCTTTTCCTAAAGGTAAAACAAATAAAATTTAATTGAATGAAATTAATTTTTGTATAATTTCCAGGACCTGAACGTAAACGTGCATGTTTAGAAGCACTTAGCAAAATTGAAGTACAAGCTGGATGTTATTTACCATCAAACCCAGAGGCAATGGTTATTGATATTGACTATAACAGTGGGACTCCAATGCAGAGGTTAATATTTTGTGAACAATAATTAGAATTAATTTTTATTTAATAATTATGTGACATGTGTTTTAGTGCTGCCAAAGCACCATATTTAGCACGGTTTCGAGTGAGAAAATGCGGTATAAATGAACTAGAACAAACAGCCATGGCCATTTCCAATCATCAGTCACTTAATAGTTCTGAAAAGTTTGTGGATACATCTGCTATGATGGGCTTGGACACATGGCAGGCAGCAATATTCAAAGTATAATTTTTAATTATAATTTATTTTTTAAAATTTATTTGCTAAAATATTTTAAGGTTGGAGACGATGTTCGTCAGGACATGTTGGCGCTTCAAGTCATCAGTATTTTTAAAAATGTCTTTCAACAAGTTGGTTTGGATTTATACTTGTTTCCATATCGAGTGGTTGCTACTGCTCCTGGAGTAAGTATTATAATAAACAGTATCAATCAAATTGTATCTAAATTGTATTGTTTCTGGTAGAAATTTTGTATACAATATAAAAAAATTAAAAAAAAAAACATAATTGTAAAACTCATTGCTTCATTTAAAATCTAAAATATTGTAATATATTTAATATATTATGAAAACAGAATTGTTTTAGATTTTGAACTCAGTAAGAAATGTATTGGTTCTACTATAATTTGCTTTATTATATTATTTTTTTTTTTTTTGTGTCTTGTGACTAACTTTTCTACTAAAAATCTAGTTAGTACATTAGAAAGTTATTTTTTTTATTTTCCTGTAGTTTTCATATTAGTAAAAAATAAATAACGTTAAAACTTATTGAAAATCAGATTAATAATTTTCAATTTTGTTTTTATGGTGTAATTTGTTTAAATATAATTGTAGAAATCTGAATTTTCACAGAATGCTTATATTAGCCTCGTGTATATAGCCTATATATGGACAACATTTTAAAACATTCTACCAATTTTTGAGCTATTTATAATCATTTGACATTGTTTAGATTTTATTTGGTCTATTTGGTCTATTAAACAGTTTCAGCCAAACATAAATGTTTGAGAATTTTACATTAGGTTCATTATAATCTATAATTAGTGATAAACAAAAATATTACAGGAGTTTTTAGATTCAAAGCATAAAAAGGGATCTATTGGTTTTACTATAATGTATTTTTTTTCTATTAAAACAATTTTTCGAAAAAAGAAATTTTGCTCCAATATATAGAATGCAGTATCTTTTCTGAAAGAAAATTTTATCCATTTGATGCATTAAACAGGTAATTTTATGGTTTACTAAGGTTTTTTTTTTATAATAATTGGGAAAAATTAGAAACAAAATTTTAAGTAAAAACGCAGAATGCCGTGGCGTTATCGATTGTTTTTAAATTTTTCAAGTAGTTTTTTTTTTAGAATTGGGAATACTGGAATGAGATGAAAAATAAAAACTGATAAATGTATGGTGTTAGAATTGCTTTATTTTAAATTGTTTATATTTCCTACTAGAAATATTGCTCCATTAGAAAAACAACAAGAGACCTTTTTGTTGCATTTTTAATTTTATTGGTGACCAAAAAAGTCGTGTTTTTTATAATTGAGCAAAACGACATAGAAAGAACAGATAATTTGTGAAAACAATTCTTTTATTATTTTTAATTGTAATTTTTTGTTGTAATTCATCTACAAATATTCAGTGTTATTTGAAATTTCGATAGAAAACTTTTATTTACTTTTTCTAGACACGGTCAAATTTAAAAAATATTTGAGCTATTTTTGAGTTATTTATAGACATAGTGACACAACCATCAGCAGTATCATTTATTTATTTATTTTTCTTAAATTATAGTGTGGCGTAATTGAATGTGTTCCCAATGCAAAGTCTAGAGACCAACTGGGCCGTCAAACTGATTATGGCATGTATGAATATTTCATAAAAACTTACGGTGATGAAAACACTAAGGAATTCCAGGTAAAATTATGTAATATATTTTAATTACCAGTTAAATTATAAATATTTGTGAGACTTTATAAGTAGTTTTCACGTATACCATGTCTTCACGATATGAGATACCACCGCAGAAACCACTGTATAACACTGATATGTGCTTGTTACGTATCAATATGTATCTTCATTCGTGGGTACAATTTAATATTTAATAATATAGTTATAATAAATAATAATAATAGTAAATACTATTTTAGAGAAAAAAATAATACATATTATATTGGTTATTTAATAAAAAGTTTTTGCAAAATAAGGTGGTGAGGTAGGGAGACTAATCGAATGAGCTTGAAAAAGATATTCTTTTTTTTTTATACATATTTTAGATTAGAGAAAATATTATATTATACTTAGTCAGACATTTTTATTTTTTGATGTGTGAAGTACTTAACAACTTTGTATTATTTTATTTGAGATGTTTAAGTTTATTATTTTTACCAAAAGAAATGGTTTAATTTTTATAATGTTACAACTATAAAATGTTGTAAAGTCAAACAGATTTAATAAAAAAACAAATTTATAAATGAAACTTCTTTTAAAAATGTATTCTTTTGTTCGAAATTCACTTTGTGTCATTTAAATTCATCATATCTAATGAAATATCTTACACAAATGCATAATGTCCAAAATTAAAAGTAATGAAATATAATTTTGGACAGTTTTATAGTATATAAAAAAAAAATATCTGTAAAAATTATTTCAAAAAAATGAAATGATTAAAAATCACACTTATAAAGTCTATATCTGTATTTATATGCAACGAAAAAATGAATACATTAATTATTTAATTTTTCCTTTGCAAGAACCCTCAAAAAGTGTCGGAAATTAGCCCAATTGATATTACCTATTTATTTTTAGAACGCCCGAAGAAATTTTGTACGATCCATGGCAGCATACAGTGTTATTGGTTTTCTGTTGCAAATTAAAGACAGACACAATGGAAATATAATGTTGGACACCGATGGACATATCATACATATTGGTTAGCTATATTTGTATACTTCAAGGATAAATTATATTATTTTAGTTTCACTATTATTTGGTACACAATTGAAGGACGGCAGGATGATATTTTGTTCAATATAATATTTTTAGATTACCGTTTTTACAAACATTTTAAACAAATACATATTAATTAGAGATGTGACGAATTCTTCAATTTTCTAACTAGACCAAACCGAACTCTGGGTGTTTGGTTCGGTTTGAAAATCTAACTGAAACTTACAAATAATTGAACTGAACCAAGTACCCAATAGTTCGGTTCAAAAATCACTTGATGTCGATTCTGCATGTCAGTTTTGCGAAAGCTGGATAAATAGTAACATTTAAAAAACAAAGACGAATGTTACCCAAATCAGTTGAATAAATGGTCTTCTTACATGACAATGTATAAATATATTTTATTAAAATATTATTAATTATTACTTTCGTTTTTACTATTTTTAATTTATTAGTTCATATGTTCATATTATATTAACATTTTTAATATGATAATTAATAATATACTTATAAATTATAATACAATTTTAAATTTTTCTGATCTAACCTAACCTAAATTTTTTACTTTTTAATTTGGAGTTGGAGTTCGATAAAATATTTTAAAAGTTTGGTTTGGTTCAGGTTCAAATAAAAATGTTTAGGTTTCGGTTCGGTTCAGGTTTGTTAATTTCAAGGAAAGTTCAGTTTCGATCAGTTTAAACTATAAAATTAATGTTTGTAACATCTCTAATATTAATCTACATTCCTTGTTTAGAAATCTAAAACCAAAACAAAATTTACATATATTATAAATGTATACAGTTTTGAGCCATTAATATTATGTAATATCACTAATGTACTGTTATATTTTCTTCTCCAGATTTTGGGTTTATGTTTGAATCATCACCTGGAGGTAATTTAGGTTTTGAACCTGACATCAAGCTTACTGATGAAATGGTAATGGTAATGGGTGGTAAAACTGATGCTCCACCATTTCGATGGTTTACTGAACTGTGTGTTCAAGCGTATTTGGCTGTCAGGTAATCATTGATACACTATCTTGCTTTTATTGTTTAGTCGTAAAATGTTTGTATTCACTTGTCAGGCCTTATAAAGAAGCAATAATTTCACTAGTGTCTTTAATGCTGGACACTGGACTTCCTTGTTTCCGCGGTCAAACAATCAAACTGTTACGGGCAAGATTCACGCCACAATCAACTGACCGTGAAGCTGCACAATATATGATGAATGTCATTCACAAGTCTTTCCTTAACTTCAGAACAATCGCATATGATTACTTGCAGCTTTACCAAAATCAAATCCCGTGCTGAAGAGTAATCATTTACTCCTAAATAAACTGTAACACAAAATACGGTACCATCCATGGTCAAATTTTTACTAGCCTACTTCTCTATATTTTATATGAAATCTATTGAGTTTTCATCTTCTATTTATATTTATTTTTATAATATTATTAGCCATTGGGTTATATGCAATTAATAATTTATGTACTTAAGTTACCATAAAAATATATTCTTATAATAGGTTGATTGGTTCAAATATAAATGGTTTTGAAGTAACTTTTTTAATGGATGGGGTTATAATTGGGGCGGTTTTAGGTTTTAAAACTAGTGTGGCTAGATGTAGGTAATTTTACTTTTCATAATTTAAATTATTTATTGTATTGACACTATTGGCTTTGACCATCTCTTTGAACTATAGGTAACTAATGAATGTATATATTTATGTAGACATAATTTATGCCTAGAACTACTACTGGAAATGCAGTAACTATATTTTAAATTGTTTTATTAATTTTTAATTTAAAGAAATTGTTATACATTTATTATTATAATATAATTACAGTCTTTGACTAAAATCAAAACATAATAATAAAGTACTCTACATATATGTAAATATTTTTGTTTTTTTTTTTAAACTACTAGTTAAATACTTAAATACTTAAATACTTAGGCTTGACCCTTGACAAAAGGTTAACTTGGAAACAGCATATAAGGTCCAAACGATTAACTTTAAACGCTCGCTCTCGCACCCTCAAACACCTCTTATCAAAAAATAAATTCACTAAACTTAGAACTAAACTACTCATATATAAGTCGCTACTTAAACCCATTTGGACTTACGGTTTACAGTTGTGGGGGTCGGCCAAAAAAACTAATGTTAATAAAATTCAGACTTTCCAGAACATCACACTTCGCAAAATAGCAAATGCCCCACCGTATGTATCCAATTTAACCCTCCACAATGATNTTTTCACGTCTTGTCAATCACACAAATCCACTAATCAGAAATCTAAATACATTAACTCTGCCCGAAGCTCCTCGACGTCGTCTGAAAAGGAGATGGTGCAGAGACCTTCTAATCGAATAGCTCTAATGATCTTGTTCCTCGCTTACTCACTTCACTCATAATCTCCTCTAAGTCATAGATTAACTTAACTTGTATTCATCCTAAGTGTTGCCATTGGGTGACTTCTTAACCCCGTTTCATCCTGCTTTTTTACTCTCTGCAAATTCACTTATTGTGCTTATTATAGTATAGATTGTGTAATTCATATTAAAAAAAAAAAAAAAAATGAAAAATTTCATGCCTGAAATTAGCTTTAACTATAATAGGTAGAAACTCGACAGTAGGTACTTTGTATACCATAGGCATCCGCTAAGAAAGGATTTTATAAAATTCTACTATTAAAAAAGTAAAATGAGGGATGGAGGACTGTATGAAAATCCGCCATAAGTTGCACCATTAATATACGTTTGGTTGCTCAAGGTCTTTTTGAGATATGATGATATTAAAACGGTAATATTGCATATGCTCGTATCTCGCTTAAGAATGAAAATATCGAGAAAAAAAAAAAAACCAAACTATAAACACGACCAACATTCAATTGTTGGGTTGTTCGTCCTTGTTGTGTACCTGTCAAAATATTGAGTTTACAGATGTTTTGTCCCCCAAATTATTAACATAGGTAGGAAATTTGGTCTCTGAGATTTATCGGCCATATGAAAATCAGGAAATAGGGCAGCAAACGCCCACAAGCTAATTAAATGATAACGGATACACCGAAATAAGTGACAATTCTTTAATTATATTTTCAACTAACAATAAATTATTATTCTTTGTAGAATACGACTAAGCCGTTTAGATTGAGATTTATATAAATTTATAGAAATAAAAATGTTTTAAGTAGAAAACATTTTTATAGAAATAAAAATGTTTTAAGTAGAAAACATTTTAACAATTTTTAAAAAAAACCATTGTTAGTCGTTTCTATTGTAATACCAACAATTAACAGCTGATAACCGCGACGATCGTACAATTAATTTGGTTATACTTGAGATCCATCTTGCAGTGCTATTTACATTTAAAAATGTTATAATTATTGTAAATATTAATGTTAAAATATCAAAAGAAAATGTATATTTTAGTATATTATAATAAATAATATAATTTATAATAAAATATATTGTACAATAAATAAAATAATTATTTTTATTCATATTTTTTAATAACCGTACGGTATTTAAAATTGTTGCGTATTGTGTGTAAGTTTGAGAAACCGCGGAACACCGAAATTTCGCCACCCGAAGCGCTGGTTTCGTGAAACGTACCGTAGCTGTATGTTTTAAACGAACAGTTTACGTGCGCGTTCGTTGGCGAATAACGTCGCGGCACGCTACGCGAACGCACCCGATTTGTTCCGGTTGAGCCTGACGTGCACAAAAATACGAAGTACAAACTTTCGTCCTTCAGTCCTTCTACGCTATGTGCTATCTCGACGTGCACAAAAATACAAAGTACAAACTTTCGTCCTTCAGTCCTTCTACGCTATGTGCTATCTCGACGTGCACAAAAATACAAAGTACAAAAATCTGTTCTTCGGTTATTTCTATCCTACGTTTATACGTCACCTAGCTAACCCTGAACGTTCAAATCGCCAGGTTTTCAGAACGAGCACGGCGTACGTACGAGTACGTACCTTTTTAGTTTTTATTGTTACCTACAGTACATTTTCTACGGTTGCAGTGTTTTGTCCGTATGTAAAACCTTTTACCTTTTATTACAATTATCACATTTGGTTTATTTGTTTACGTTCTGTCGGGTATTTTTAGATTAACGCGATTTTGTATGCCGTGTTCTGCGCGTTCACATTGTCCAATTTGTGCTCGCCGTCGCCAACTGTAACCGTGTGATGCTCACCTACACGATACTTATCAACGGGGTCAGAGCTCTGAGCACGTTACGCTGTCTCTCGATGAACTGATTTCGCGATGAAAACCGCCTGTGCGTCATTATGTTATTACGCCGTCCGAAACGGCTACTATCCAAATGATTACATCCTGAGCTACACTGCGAAAAACTTTACCTCACTCTGCGTAGGTAATAATACATTTTATTGAAACTGTAAACTGTAAATTTACGTTAGGTAGAACTGATACTGTAAAGGGGTCTGTACGCGGTCGTTCAGATTGAAGATTGTTAGTGTTTTGTAGACATGTAGACGATCGTTTTAATCGTTTTATAATATTATACAATATTTTGTGTATGTGTATGTAACAACCGACTAGGTAGGCATTTGTAATTGAGGTGTTTCTGTGCAAAAAAGTGCCATCTCCATTTTCAATAAAACGAGTTGTACGTCTATTCTCATTGGAAAAACGGCGAGAAATTATATTTGAAACCTATATTTTTTTCCGAAGTGTTCTACATCCACTTTCCGTCAATATGTGCTATTTCCTGTACTAAACCATAGGTTTTAGTTCTCATATTTTTCCGAAACGTGGTATATCCATAATTTTTTTTTAACATGTTATTTCTGTTTTACATCAAAACTTGTTTTTCTTAATATAGATGACGATACAGTCTATTGTTAATTACATATAAACGTCTATATTTTATTTTACATTTATTTTAGATTTATAGAGTAGCAAAAGATTTATTGGTTTTACCATGATTTTTTTTTTTTTTTTTGTATCTGAGTAACAGTTCCATCAAAACGGTCTTGTTTTAATCAAAAAATAAAAAGATACTTTTTTTGTTGCATTTTTTAATAAAGTTTGTGAATAAGTAAGTATTTTTTGGTTCCAAGTGGTTTTGATAATAATTGGGAAAAACATATGAAATGCAGGAAAGTGTATGACATTAATAGTTTTGTTATTTTTGATTTTGGTTTTTTTAAAACCATTAAAAATCCAGTTAAAAATAATTGTAGAGAACTAAAATGTTAACAGAATACTCATATTTACCTTTTCTAGATGTGGTAAAATTGTTTAACTAATTTTGTTGATTTTTGAGCTTTTTGTAGTATAATGTAGCAATTTTTTTATAATGATGTTATCATTAAATTTTGATGAAAATTATAAATATAGTTATAAGTTAAATACTTTCATGTATCCTTAAGCTTACCCAGCTTTTTACCTTCAACAGTGGCGCATCAACAGTATCGACTTTTTTTCTTTTATTTATTTGTTAAGAAATGAAACTTAAATATTACAGATAACTAAAAGGTTAACAACTTACTCAGAAGTCACCATGAAAGATGACAAGGGCGGTTGACGGCTGGGTGTTACCGATTGAACATTGCTTGCCTGAGAAACACCCATTAAAATACTAAAACATTTTTCCAAGTTATTTTTAATATGGATTCAACATTGTGGAGTTAATTTATCAAGGATTACTGTCTAAGAAGAAATATCTGCTGTACCTTTCACTTCCCAACTCTGAGAATCAAGAACTAAGCTTGCACATCATTCACTTGTGAAGAAGCTACAAGAAAAGGAATGCCTAAGCATCGTTATATTGTAAGTTGATATTTTAAGAATTGATATTTGTATGAGAAATATTTTTTGAAATTTTCATAAGGGGATTTTTATATTATGTAATTTAGAAGTTTATTTCATAATAATATAATAACTATTGTAACCCGGGAAAAGTTACTGATTTGTTTTGGTAAAATTGGCCAATTTTTTAACCCTTTAAGATCTGGAACTAATTTTTGTTATTCAATATTTAATGGGTTGCTTCTTAAAATAAAATAATTTTTTTTTACTAAGTTATTAGTATGTTATTTACAGAGTTGAATTAATATTACTGTTATTCATTTTTGACGATTCATATTTGTTTGTTAATTGCTCTAATATCACGGAGGGAAAAAAATATCAGATTTTTAAAGCAATACTTTTAATTGTAAATTACTCATTTATTGTCTGGGATAATCAAAAATATTATATCAACATTTTTAAAAAAACGTGTTTTATGAAAAACGTTTAGAGTTACATTTTATGATTTTTGTTAACTGCATAATCAATGAATATTCTGGTATGCACTTTTAATTAGATAATATTAATTTTAAATGATGATAAATAACACTTAAAAGAATGTCCTCACAGGACATCAAGCCTAAAAGTGTTATATAAATTGTAAATCTTTTCCAAATTATTATAAATACTGGTTAGAAAATCAAAACAAAACTTTCTTCCTCATTAACTAGATCCTAAATTCAGTAAAACAAGTATTTTGGCATTTTTAGATTGGAGCAATTTTTCTAGTATAAAAGTTGTTTACAGATAAAAAAAAAAAACATAGTAAACCAATAAAAATTATCAGTCCGTTCAGAATTTAAAAGGTAAGAAAAGACTAATAAGGCGATACTATTATAATAAAACACTTGATTTAATTCTTGATTAAATATAAATGAAAAATTTTATAAAATACAAATACAATATAATAATAATATATACAAATATAATAATAATAATTTTATAATAAACTATGAGGAACATGAGCCTTTGGCGTCAATAACATTAGTGTCTTTTCCTTTGAAAAACATTTGCAAACTTTAAAGAATATATACAGAAATCTAATAGGGACAAGTTAGATGTGAAACAACAAACTGATGGTGTTCATCAGGTGTCAGAATAAAAATAAAAAAATGAACACAAAATACATTTGGAATAATAAAAAAAAATAATACATAATAATATACTTCACGTTATGAATTTATGACTAGTGAATAAATAATACAATGTAAAAATGAATTAGGAAAACAAATAGACTTCTAAACTAGGTAATTTGAAAATACATATACTAGTATTGTGTTAGTAAAAAAATAATTTGATTTTGTAGCGGGCAAAGATTAAAAATAAAACTATTGTGTGAAGCCAAAAATGTACAAAATTTGTTTTTATAAAGGAACTAACACTTTTTGAACACAAATCAATTGAATTTTGAGTATAAAGTTTATCACATTTCGTTTTTTTTTTAAAACAAGTCAATATTGTTTGAGAAAATTAAACATAATTGTAAAAAAATAATCAAATTATTTACATTTAAATATTTACAAACGCAAATAATAATAGTGAAAAATTTCGAATTATAAACAATAAAGTAAGCACCATCATGTGTATTATATTATTAAGAGGAAGAGACAATGGCGTCTGAGTTCTGTTCATTGGCCTATAGTTCCGGCGAATAAATAATAATAATTGTATACACTGTTTTTGATTGGAACAGATGCCACCACTAACCGACTATTACCTTTTATCTATGGCAGACGGTTTAGTGGCCACTGGGGGGGGTTTTTTTGACCCAGCGACGTTTCCGAACCTCTTCTGGATACCACCGCCAGTTACCGTTTTAGAAGATGTTTGCCGCCGGGCATCTGAGAGTTTTTTCTTCAATCCCACCGTGGCTGTCTGCGAGGATAGCGGCTTACCTCCCCCGAACACCATCGTAGGTTTCTGAAACATGACTGTCGGTTTGTCAGTAGCGGCGGTCGGCAGTTTTTTGGCATCCAGAACGTCCGGGGACCGGTTAAGTGAACGGTTATCGTCACAGTTCTTGACTAGGTCCGGCCGGTCATACGCGGTGGTGGCCCGTGACTTGACGTCAATCGGTCGCATGTACCCGGAACTGGTCGTCGAACCGGCCGGCGACGACATACAGAAGTTTTCATAAGTCTGCTGCTGCTGCTGCTGCTGCTGTGGAGCCGGTGACGGAGAAGAAAGTTCCAGCGGAGGTGGTCCGTCAATGCCCGTCGGTTTATTACTCGTGTAAATGGACTCTTGATTGCGTTCCTGTATGGCAGACACGATCTCGCCGAGCAGCGACGTCTCAAGCGACTTGGGTACTTTGTAAGTCGTGTAGTCATCGTCAGTGACGGCGGGACTCTCGTCGATTACCGAGTAGATATTTTCCGTAAAGTGTGTCGCGTCATCGTCATCGTCCCGGTGTGGCTTCGGCCGATTCGCAGGGTTTTCATTGTTACGTTTGTCCGCAGCCACATCCGCCGTCGCCGAAGACAGCGTCCGGGGTATTTGGTAACTACTCTGCAACGAATGTTGCTGCGGTAATGGTGGCGGCGGTTGGGGCGGCGGCGAAGTCGGTCTCAAAGTGACGGCGGCTGCGGTGGTAGCGGCGGTAGCGAGTGCGACGCTGGTCGGTCGTTTGCTCCTCATCGACCCGAAATTGTGCACGGAAGGCCTGTGCTTGGTGTTGTTGACGGTACGCAGGCTTTGGGCCCTGAGCACCACCGCTCTGTGTTGGTCCGCCTCCAGCGGCAACGGTTCCGCGGGTACGTTTATTTCGTTTTGGAGGATTGGCTGCGAGATTTCCAAGTTCTTTAGCCCCTCCTTGTTGAATTTCGTGTTTGCGCGGACTGAGGTCACTGTGTTCTTCTTCTCGTCGGGCTGCTTTTGATTTTTCATGAACGACGTGATCCTCCGTAACGTCGGGTATCCCCCACCGCCGGTGTTTTTTATGTCAATCGTCGGGCTCGTTGTTACCATCGATACCGGTCTGGTCGACGGCACTGGGGGTGCCGGTTTTAATGGTACGGACACCAGTTCGCGGACAGCCGATGAAGTTGTGGCGTCCAGCACGGGTTGACTGATCTGTGGCCTTTCGGTGGCCAGCGGGGCGGTCGGTGCGGGTCTGATGGGCGCACGAGAAATCGCGCCGGATGGCTCCTCATTGGCTGGTTGCTGCAGTGGTTTGATGCTGAATCCCTTATAGTTACCTAAAAGTTCCGCACGCAGTGCCGATGACGGTTTCCGGTCGTCTCCGATCAGCAGAGTACTAGATGGCGACACCGCGGTACCGTTCGGTTTTGTACTTCCGACCTCCGTGTCGTTACTGTCAAAAATTAAATAAAATAAGGTTATATATTTTTAAAAAGACGTCAAGATGTAAAACCGTAGGTAAGTACATACCAGTGGGTCGTATCGAATAATAAAGTCCGTTCACATCGACCGAGGTTAATATGATTATTATGTGGAATTAATGAAAAACAGCAATATTCGCAAACTAACAGGTTTTAAAATACAAATATTATAAAAAAAAAGCAAGAGAAAACTATTTTTTTTTGTTAGAGGTGCACAAGCAAAATTAAAACTAATCTACGTGCGCATGCTCAATACTGCGCAATACAAGTATGAGTTTCTACAAATTAATAAGTTATAGTTATTTTTAAATACATAAATACGAGAATGCTTGTAATAGCCATACACCGGGGTCTAAATTTAACTTAAAAGGTAGATAATGTTTTTTTTTTAGAGATCAAAAAAAAAATTATATAATTTTTCAATCGACCAACAACCGAGACCATAAAAAGATTCTAACACATTTAGGGATGCTCGCACGCGCGACAATATCAAAGGTAGACAGTAAATTAACAAAAATTAATTCATCTGTATGAATAAAATTCATTTTTTCTGACGGGGGGCCTAAATATATATTCGAATTTGAAACAAAAATGCACATACTTCATTCCTTCATCTTCGATCAGATAACTTCCGAGTAACTATGAATATTTTAAGCATCTTAAAATCGATTTTTTATGAAAATTATCTGTAAAAAGTCATGTTTGTATAATTACTGACTATACTTATTCTGGTTAAACAGTTTTTAACAACTTGGCTGTTTAGCTGAATTTTAATTATAAAGGGATAGTCATCGGTTACAATACTTGGGACAAATTAGAGCAATAAATACTCAAAGGTGCCATTTTTTTCTGTATAATAAATTTGAAAAAACTATCTTAAAATTAAAATCGGGCAGTATAACAGATACATTTGAATCATTTCTTTATTAGTTCATATAATGTATCGAGATATTTAAAATTAATGTATCTTGTTTCATGTATAGAGATACTTTTGTTTAGCATCTTGCTTATTGATATGTAAATTGAATAATTAATATTTGGCAACTACTGTCGTAGTTAATGACCACAATTTGATGATAGTTTATAGTTATGTCTGCAAGTGTATACGATAAATTATGATAATATACTATTAGCATAAAGGGGGGGGGGGAGAGGGTCATTATTCCGGATCTCTCCAAACACCGTTCTGCAAATAGCTATTCACTTGGGAATTGGTCGTGGACATCAATTTGGCAATAATGATATCGCTCTTCCTGAGGCGAGACTTTGCGGGATTCGCGTACTTGGACTGATGTGGCGCAGTGGCGGTGTACGCGCTGTTGTCGTACTTTGTCTCTACCACAGTGTCGTAAATGGACTCCGTATCGTAAAAACTACTACTAGATGCGTAATACGGCTCTGAGTAAATTTCGTGGTCATCAGCACGCGCGACAACTGTTGACACCGTGTTTATTCTAGGCGGATGCAGTCTAGTTGCGGTGGTGGTATTACAGGTGCAGCAAGCGTTACTATTACTGTCACCATTGTCAGCGGTCACCAAGTGTTGCAAACAGATAAATGGCAAACGTTTAGTAGTAGAAGAAGCAGATACATACGGTAACATTTTGCGGTTCGTTGTTTTGTTCCAGTCGGTCAGCAAACGGTGGTTTTTCGAACAGTAGGCGAATAACAGGGCTGCCAACAATAGCGGTATAACGCCGAACATCAGCACATACATCCCGGTTATAAAACCTTTGAGCGCTAAAATTGAACAACAAAAACAAAAAAAATAAAAATTGTCAATGTAAAATTCCGGTAGTGGGCGGGGGATGTTTTTGAAAAATTAATTGGTCTGTATAATATTACTCCTATATACTGTTAAAGTATCCTATTCATTTAATTATTGTAAATGCAATTCTAATTTGAAAAAAAAATTGTCAGTTTTTTTAGAACATCACTCATCTTGAATAATCTCCTTGTTGATAGACGCCATCAACTCAACTAATACTAACTTTTCAAAAACAACCCTTTTCAGAGAAAATATACAAAAAATAAATTGATGGTCAATTTACTATTCAGACTAGATGCTGGCCCAGAATCATCGCTTCCACCAGGACCTGGATGATCGCAGTATGGTGGCCCATAACCGATTTTACAGTGACAATTTCCTTTGTTGTTGCATATTCCATTACCGTTGCAGTCATACAGACAAGCTTTGTTTTTGGTTCGAAAATCGCTTACCGCAATGCATTTTTGATCAACACACATCTAAATGTGTAAAATAAAAAAAAACAACAAAGTTATAGTAGGTATAATTTATTAGAAAGGTTTTTTGTCGAATTTCCCTGAAATTAAAAATCATTGTACTGTATTGTGTCTATGATAAACATATCACAAAACAATTATTATCTCAAAAAGTCTCAACTTTTTTCAAATTTTGTTTTTCAGAATATTTAAGGAGCAAGCAGCTCTAAAATTTTACACTACCATTTTTTTAAAATCAAATGCAACGTATATTGAAAGTTCCATGAATAAATGAATAGTTTAAATAAATTCTATTGTTGATATTTTTAATTTCCGTCAATTAATTGACAAGTTATTCCTACTTTTTAATTTTGGATAGGGTGAAAGTAGCAGAGTATTGCACTCCACAGCATTTGAATAATGCTTCAACACTCTCCTCCTAACAACAAAACGGCAAAGTTAAAAATGGAATATTGTGAAAAAAGATCCCTCACTGCTGTTGGTTCAAACACGAAATAAATAGTTAAAAAATGGAATTCAACGAGTTGACAGAAATTAAAACCATCAACACTAAAATTAATTTTAACTAAAACTAATTATTTATGGAATTTTCAATGTAGATTGCTATTTTAAAATCAAAAATCTGGATCTGGTTTTACCACTGACCTTGTCATCGCCGCATTTTGCGCCATTTGGTGTCAGCCCAGGATCGATATCGCTCAGACCCAAGTCGACAATAATCGTTCTACAGGGTATCATTAATCCTTCGTTATTAATAAACGTATGCGATACAATAGACACGGTTTCCATGCCAAATTCTAGACGTTCGTTCTTGTGTTTACAATGCAACATCCCGCAATTGACATTACTGAAAAAACAAAAGTTTTAAAATAAGAGTAAACAACCCTTGGTTTGGTATTTTGGCTATATTAATGAAGAAAAATTGACGTCTTACTCGTTGACGCATTTCACGTAACTGTTGTTTACGCGATTGTAACCGCAGTTCCCCTGTTGCGAGCCCCGGGTATTCATTTTGTAACACTCTTTCGCTGATGATTCGCCGGTAGGACCCCACAGCAAACGACATTGATCTGTATGAGTACGGCAAGACCCTTCGAAACAAAATGCCTACAAAAAAGGAACTAATTTCAGAGTGTTCAATAATTAAAATATAGACAATCAAAGGTTTTCAACGCACCCTGTTGTTTTCACAAACGGTCCCGTCGATTTTGAACACATTTTCGGGGCAATATTCCGAATCCCCCGAACAATATTCAGGCAGATCACATTCGTGCGCGGTCGATCTACATTCCACACCGGACGACTTAAAATTGCATGTCTACAAAATACATAGAGAACAATATTATTTTTGAATAGTTGTTTAATTTATTTATTCTTTTTTAAATTATTATATCGTTTTACGTTTAAATCACAACATTGACCCGTGGCACAAGATGCGTTCATGTATAACATACACGTTTCCGGATTGCAACAAGGATTATTACACACATCTTTTATGCCGCAATCACACTGTTCGCCATCCTCTACGAAACTATTACCACAGACCGGACTATCGAACAACCTAAACGATAATAATGAACGGAGGAAACAGTAAATCAGTTTGAAAGGCTAGAACACAGAATGGTGACTATTAAAAAAAAAAAAAAAAAATTATACTTTTCAGGTTTGTTTCTCAAACAGTAGTCCATTCCGTGTTCGAACGCTAAGGCCAAATATTCCATACTACAGGAACTCCAGTGCGTCGGACTCTGAGATCTGAAGGAACAAAAAAAAAATCGTTAATGTATAAACACGCAATACGTTAGCGGATGACCGCCTCAAAGTCCCCCGGATATCGTCTCACCCCGAAGAAGGCGCCATTACGCATCGCTCGTTAGAACATTCGCAATCGGCCGTATCATGTTCCATGCCTAAGTTGTGACCCATTTCGTGGGCTATGGTGGTGGCCACCAGACCGGTTACTGGACTGTGATCGCTGCTCACGCCGCCGCTGAATTCGTAAGTGCATATTGGACCTTTTAGCGCTTTGCCGACGATGCCGTTTTCAAATTGGATTTGACTGAAATGTTTAAAAATTCAATAACGCACGATCGATGAACGTCTAGATGCTATTGGTATTATTATTTCGATTTACGTGAGCAACTGAGCGTTGTCGTTCGGATGATCTTTAGCCAGCCGTTCCCGACGATAACGTAGAAAATTGGTCAACGTAACATCACCGTTCGGATCTATTACGATTTCGTTACGATTAGTCCACACGACCACACCAACGAGTGCAATGTAGATATTTAATGGCATATAGAGCTATAAGCAAAAAAAAAAAAAAACAACAATATTGTAATAATGTATATCTGTATGCAATGATAAACGATTTTGAGCAAATTCGGTTAAACATATTTTGAAATACCATGATTGAATTTTAAACGCTTATAAATGAGTTACTACATTATCACTCAAATGTTTTTTTTTTAAAATTTAACATGTTGAACCTCATGTTAAACTTTCAAGCATTTTCACTAGGTCAAAACAATTTGATCCACATAAAACGCCAAATAAAAACTTTAAAAAAAACTAGAAAAATTCGAATAATTATAAATAGCTTAAAAAACTGTTTTAATATTTTGAAAATTGTGCTATGTTTAGCACAATTTTTAGTTAACAGGTTAATATAAATAGTTTTTCAACATTTTAGGTCCTTATAATTGCTTTCTACAGAATAATAAAAAAAACCATAATTGCGTAGATTTTCCAGATTTTTCCTGGTATATTAAGATAAAACTATAAGGCAAAAATATAAATACCTCAATGCACCAACTACACAAAATTATCTACCATAACCACCCCTAAATTTGATGAAAAGACAATTATTTTCAGTGTTCACAGACAACAAAAAACACAATAAAATTAATATGTATTCTTCGCTACGCTCAGAATCTAAAATTATACGTTAAAACAAAAACATTCGCGGTAAATGCATGTTAACCTACCAAGTAACATATTCTAATTCTATGAAAGTCCATATTTTATTACAAAATAAACAAAATAAAACTTACGGAGTTTATTATATTTGCAATATCTTTAGTGTGCTGGTAGACTTTAGATATGTTATTGTCAAGTGACTTATATTCCCCTTGATCGACAACAATTACCAATTCGATAAATCTCGAGTTATCGTTTTGTTTAAACGGTCCCTTTATGGACCTTGTACTTCGTTTGGCCTACAGACATTTAAAAAGTTAAATTTATTTTATCAGTACTCACAAATGTTGACTATGATAAATGTTATATTTCACCAAAAAGTGTTTTTTAAATACAAGTATTTGTACTAACGTGCAAATGATTGTTTTCTCTAGGTAAATGATCGAGGGGAGTGCTATGAAATCCTGAAAATAATAAATAAATAATAAAAATCACCACGCGGAAGTCCGGGAAAACGTTCGACGTTTTGCACTTACCGCAAGTATGGTTTGTGTTGAGGTCTTCGTGGCTATATAACACATGGGATTTGTTGCCAGAATTTTGTTCAACGTTTTCAATATAATGAAATGAATTGCCGTCGAAAAACATTCCACTATATAGAAAAAAATCTCCTCGTTAGTTATTTAATACGAGCATATTTCGTTTGTTTTGTAATTAACTACCATACTAACCTTATGCCATCACACGTAGAGATCGCTGCCCAAGAATCGGGTAAACCGCGTAATTTGCCGTTATAATAGCAAAATTCCATCTCCTATAAATATTATCAAAAAACTAAAATAATAATTATCAAGCTATATAATAAAAAGCTGAATTACCCGGTATTTTCCGAGTTCAATCCTTTCAAAAGCAGAAATCAATCAAAAAAATTAAATTTAACGTAATTGCCTTTTTTACCATTATCCCTATTATAGTTAATTGTTGTTTCCCGGTAATTTAAAAAGGGTACTTCTTTGTCTGTGACAACCTAACTAAATAATAATAACTTTTTTTTTTTTTTTAAATTTTATCCATGGCACACGGAAAACCCATTTAGAAAATCAACAAAAAAAAAAAAATTTGTTCAAATATCAAAATTCACGTATGAGCCTTCTCTCAGTTGTTTAATTTTGAGATAAAAAGTAAAAAGTGATTTTTCATTTGTTTTGAATTTCAAGTCCGCAAAGTTTCATCACAATCGGAATAAATCTGTAGATTTGTATAGTGGACAGATATACTTTCAAATTGTATATAAAACAAATAAAATAGGCGGTAGGTGAAATACGATTTACTTACGTTAAATTTTGGCCTGTTCACAACATAATCGTCGTCGTTTTTCTGATGTTTTTCGAAATAATTGACCGGGATCAGGTCCCTGCATTCGACAAAAACAATATTATACGAATCAAATAAATAATCAATTATTTTATTAAAATAGTTGGTTATGAAATGCCCAACTTACTTGTTTAAACCCAAATCAATAACGTATTCTTTTCGTTTATCGGCGAATTTCAACGTAATTCCATGGACGTGTTCTAAGCCGTTCTATAGATAAAAAAAAAAAAAAAAAACTATAATAATAATAATACAAAGATGTAAATATAAATTTGGAAATTTAAATGCGACTTTCGGCTTTGATTTCTTTAGCTATTTATTTAAATATTATAAAATATCACAGTGTTATAATAATATTATTGCCTTTCTATTTCTATATGCTTAGTTTTAAATAAAAAAAAATTATTTTTTCTGTTTCTTTCTTCTCCTCTTCTTTTTTTCTTTCTCTATCGATTATTATGATAAAAAAGTAGTCGAGAAGACTTTAAATAAACTCAGTATTATTAAATTATAATAACAATGATGCAAATTATAATAAGGGAATAAAGGTATAAATATTAATGATAATTAATGACGTTATATTATATGATCTATTATCGATGATGATAATAAAACTACTAATAATTTCGTATATTTACGGAAGCAGTATACCAAAGAATGGTCGCAGTAAAACTTGGAGCAGAATATATGACCTAAGTCATGAAGGTCAACAATAGGGAAGAAAATAACAAGGATCAAAAGGAACTGAATTACAACAGGGAGGTATGGAAAGCTGGAACAAACTGATCATAGAATTAAAAGAACGGAATAATACGAAACACTTAAACACATTCGCGGTGGAAGATGACATTGGTAACAATGTCATTGGCGAAAAGAAACTACGATTTTTGTTTTCTAATATTTCCGTGCAGCGTTCGTTCCAGATACCAATGTTCTTTCGACGTGTGTTTATTATATTTTATTTACTATACCCCTGCTTGTAATTTTATCACGAAACACGATATTGCTGTTTTTTTAAATTCAATCCAACGAACAAGTAGAACGACATATTATTATTATGACTATAACAGTTTATTTGTACAATAATATAATATTTCAAATATTATTATATGCACTTACGAGCGTGCAATGACGAGTGTTATATGCATGTCGTTTTTAATAAGGAAATTAAAAACGCGACACTTTTCCTATACGGCTATACACAGCAGTAACAACACGATATTCTTTAGTGGAATTCAGAAAATATAAATAAAATTGGCGAATTTATCATATTTCTGTAATAGCTACGAATACTACGATTCTTGTGGTAAAACAAACTCAAAAGGTATTTAGTAAGTTCCGGCATAGACAAATATATATCCGAACATAAGTTCCAACAGTGGCGCCGAAACTATATTTGTATGGTGTAGCAAAATTTTAAATTCAAATCTACAACCCGACTCAAAAACGTTAACCCATATAAATATATACTTTCCAACCCCTATAATCTTACTGTACTTTGAATGTGTATGTCCATTCTACTCGACTATTCCAATTACCGGGAACACCCGCCCGGCCACCCGCCTAAAATATGATGTGTAACAACTGCTACACTCGAAGTATAGTTTTTGCACCACTTCCGATTGTTCCGACACGAAAAACAAATTTATCCATACGTGTAAGTTTTTAAACTGCACGAACAGAAATATGACACCCCTTTGTGAACTGTACTGCCTCTATCTATATGACCTTATACTATCTGAAATAAAGAATATGGACAATCCATTTTATTGAATTGAGTACTCGTTGATTATTAACTGAGTTAGCACTAAAAATAGACGTAATTTCTTATACTTATGTTTAGTAAGTCTAAAAAAAATGTGTATTCGTTTTAATTTTTATGCATGTCGGAACTTACGCAAACATAATACATAACGATTAAGAGCGAAGTTCGGTTATACATGTTTTGAAAAGCCGTAATATTTACAATTTAAGTCAGAATTTGGTTTTAACTCTTAAAAAAATGCGTTAAACTAAATTTTTTTTTTTTGAACACTAAATACGACTTATAATGAACTTCCTATCAAATTTTCAAACATTTCTGTGAAGTATAACAATTTATGTACAGAGTAACTACCAAATAAAAATTACGTAAAACTCACAAAATTAAAATGTCTATAAATACCTCAAAAATTATTCTGAAAAGTAAATATAAGTTTTCTTTCAACATTTTAAGTGTCTACGAATATCTTAAACTGAATTTCATTTAAAAAAACAAAATTTAAAATAATAAGGAATTATTTTCGTAAATTGTCCTGTTCTTTCTACGTATTTTCGGTTTTGCTCAATTATTAAAAACACCACAAAGAAAATCAAAAAACCAATAACTTGCTCATAAACTAGATTAAACACGCAACAAACAAGGTCTTTTGTAATTTATTCATTGAGCCAAATTGATGGTAGAAAATATGAGCCGTAAAAATTAAATATAATGAAATCATCGTGCTGTAATTTGAATAAAATCTTATATTCACCTTTTTTGGTTTTTACCAATTATTATGAAAACTACTTTAGATATCGAAAAACGACTTACTCTGTCAGTGGTGAAACACTAAAAGAAATAAAATCGATCTCTTTTAATTTTTGAATTGGAGCAACATTTCTGGGAAAAGAAACGGGTAACGCCAAGACACGCTGTAAATATTTGCCGTTTTACCTATTTTTCTTTCGAGTTTTTCTCAATTATTTTAAAAATATCTCGAAAAATCAAAAAATGACCTCCACAATGCACCAACGAGAGAAAATTTCCTTTCAGAAAAGGTGCTATAATCTATACTTCGAAACAAGTTTTCTGGTAGTAGAGTTATTCACTGATTAAAAAAATATATACACACACCTTGCTACGCTTCAAAACTAGAAAAAATAAACAGAAACTTACTCCTGTCAAAAATATTCTCTTTTTACATTTTTTTTTATCTATTTTGTTAACCTAAACGCCAACAATTATATGTTCAGTACGTACAAACGTATTGATATACGAAACTATAGTATTAACTATAATATTTAAACTATCGTCGTAATTTTGCTGTGTCGCTTGTTAATTAGAGACAGTAGACTGGGGCAGTGGGTGTTTGCGTCCTCTTAAATGATTGATAAAATAACCTAATAATATTAAAATTTACTCAACATCAATCATCTTATAAATAATCGCTGCTTAGTGAAAATATATAACCATCCTGTATACCTAGATTTGTTTTAATAAAAAATTAATAAAAAAAAGCATGCCAAAATAAAACCTAAAAATTGAATCGTAGAAATTAGAAGTTACGAGAAATGTGAATATTTTTATTTCACAAGACTCATTCGATTATTATAAAATAATAACGTTGTATAATTTTAATAAAACATTTCACAACGCCGGTAATATTGTATTGCGTGCACTAGCGCAGTCGATAATAATGTGGGAGTGGCTACTATTCACGTATTGCACGGTGAGATTATGATGCTGGTCAAAAAAAAATGCTTTGCAATGACGTGGAAGAATATAAAATATCATACATTTTGAATAAAAAAGCTCAATTAGTCTGTACAATAAAAATCTTTCTCCAGGTTTTCTTTATCACTTCAAATATTAATGAGAATTTCAAAAAATGACCTGTCTGAAGTACCGGCCAGAGAATATTTCCACGCAGAAAATGTGCTATACTTGATAATCGGAGTAAGCTTTTTAGTAGAAAAAATTGTTAAAATGAAAAAAATAAAAATAAACATTATTGTAAAAAAAGTCTAGACTAAGACAGTGTTATTAACAACTACTTTATTTAAAAAAAAAATTATCTCGATATATTTAAATTATTTTCTACTAGCTGAATACCTCAGTTTCGCCCACGTGCAGTTTTTTTGTATTAAACCTACAACTTTTATTTTTCAAGAATCAAAATTATAATGAAATTAACAAACAATATTCAGTAGATACCATAGATACCATAAAATCAACAAAATTAATGATTAAGTATATTTACTTTGTTACCAAGGTATCCCAATCAACAAAAATTATACCACAAAGTACTAAAATCTCAATTATCCTTTAGGGGTTGTATTTTAGAATATTTTTAATAGCTAACCTTCTTCGGACCACGCGGAACATTTTGCGAAAAACCCCGATAAAATTGGTCCAGTAGTTTTTGAGTCTATAAAGGACACACAGACAGACATTATTTTGTATGTATAGAGATATGTTTTTTTTTCAATTTTATTTCATTCATCTAAAAGTAATAATACTAGAATAAATTTTCCCAAACGGTCTCAGTTTGTCGGTACCTTGCCCATAGCGTTTAAAATCAAACAGATGATAATTTCGAACGACGAAACTATCTAAATGATAAAAAACGCAATCAAAATTCACGACGTTAACGTCCGGTCGGATCTCCAGACGTAAATACAATAACAATTTATTTTTGTGGTAAATTCACGAATATGTCATCGAATCACCGCCGTAAATACTAAAAACACTAGGAATATAGGGTGATTATATTTATGATATTATTTATTAATTTATTTTATCAATCATTTAAGAGGACGCCAACATCCATGTCTACTGTCTCAGTCTAATTAACAAGCGACACAGCAAAATTAAATTATGTACTAACCATATAAATGTTGGCGTTTAGGTTAACAATACAGAATACCAACCCAGATAAAAAAATGTAAAGAGATAATATTTTCGACAGCAGTAAGTTTTTGTTGGTTTTTTTTTTTTAGATTCGGAGCGTAGCGAGAGATGTATTGGTTTTACTATGATGTGCGTGTACCTGTACATGTATTTTTTTTTTGTCTGTGAACAACTTTACTACCAGAAAACTTGCTCCAAAGTTAGACCTAAAGACCTTTTCACCTGGGAAAAATCCGAAAGAAAATTTTAGATAAAACGACAAATATTTACGGCACGCCGCGGCGTTACCATTATCATTATTTTTATTATGTTTAAACGTTTTATATCAGAAATATAGCTCCAACCAGAGAATCAGACCCATTTGGAAATCAGGATTTTTCCAAATTGGCCGGTACTGACGGATACTATATTGTTCAATTAATATTTGATGACGCTTAAAAATCAATGTAATTATAATCTTAAAGTCGAGTGTACAAATGTACGTACATGCTGTTAATGCTAAATTATAGCAATTTAAATAATTTAAAGCAGCACTTTTTCTGTATCGGTGTCGAGACAATCACCGCCCAATAACTTGTATTTGTAACTAATGATTAACGGAAGGTGTATGAAAATGTAGAAATTAAATAATTTACTCAGTTTGCACAAAAATACCACTAATTAGTTTGCGTAATTTAACTGAGAGTGTAAACCTATCTTAACAACATAATTTCAACATTTAATGTCTATAGACTATAATATTGTCATCATGCTATGATATTTCCACTTCTTCGTACGCACGAGTGACGAGTGCACGATTCTCACAAGTTCTTATATATCATGTCAGTTTTAAATTCTAATTATAGAAATTAATTGTATATTCGTATGTACATCATACGAATATCAGATTATAGGATTAACACAATTCACAAATCATTACAATCGTTGTTTTTTCTACAAATGGTTTGTCTTTAATTAAAAGACAATTAAATTTTCTCATCATGAACAATTCACAGATGTAGAAAAAAATAAAATGGGTGGGAAAAGAACGCGAAAAAATAAATTACTTCTCAAGTTGGGTTAAAACCAAGATTTACTCATTATTTCATGGAGCTAGTAAGTAGTGCGTATTTGTCTTCTAAAAGAAGTTCATAGTAAATTTGAAGTTAAACGCATTTCTAAAGAGGGGAAAAAATAGTAAATTATGAAGCAATTGATGACACTATTATGAATGTTAAAAAGAAGTTTACTGTTAATATTTATTACATAATATTAGATACAATTTTACAAACTATGGAAAACCGATTTACAAATAGTAAAAAGGTACTTATAAATTTAACACGATTAATTTATAAATGGACAAATTAAAATCGCGTTGGCCAAATTAGCTGTAAAATTAAAACCATATGTTGAAGAAGACAATAAAATCAAATAAAAAGTATTTGAAGAAATTTTGTTTTCTAAAACCTTGGAGAAATTTAAAGAAATCTGTGGATGATGAATTTATTGAAAAACTGTACTTAAATAATGATAAAGAAAATGAAGATTAGGAAAAAGCCATATCAAAACCATATAAAACATGTAAAAAAACTGTAGCATTTGTTGTTACAATGCATTAATTAAGAATAATCTTTAGTTTAATGCTTATCCCATACATTACCAATGGCTTAACAATATTTACTAACTTTGCCGGTAACCCAAGAGGCATGACGTGAAAGGTTATTTTCTATTTTAAAATATTTAAAACAAATAGTTTGAAAAATGCAATGGCAGCAGAATACTTGAAGTTATTCATGTTGATGGCAATTGAAAAGCATATTCTTTTTTAATCTATGGAAAAACTGCTGGGAATTTAGGCATTGTTTTCAATTAAAATATAATTTGGTAAAAAATTTACATCTTTAAAAGGTCGGTACATTTTTACTCACCAAAAAAATGTTGTCCGAGAAAAAGAAAGCATACACCATAGTAAATCGAATAGTTTCTTTTTACTCTACTCAGAATGTAAAAAAGCAAACAATAACAAGCGACCGTACCATATAAGTGTTTACTGTTAATTATTCTTATTATAATTAAATATATAGCATATTATACTATTAATATAAAAATGCCATCATAAACTGTTCCCCTATCAACTGTTGATTTTCGAAACTCATATGTTTAATCTCACATTCGACAAAATAATATTTATTTCTGAATGATAAGATTATTATTATAGCGATTATATAACTTACACCAGAACATATCATCACTTTTGTAGTTATTAATTTTTTCTTCCGAAATTCGATCGGTCACGCCGCTGTTTTTTATCATTGGAAATCTGACTGCAGTATTTCGTTTAGTGGCCGCGGGACGTGTTACACTTTCACAAAATAACGTTTTTTTTTTTTTTTTTTTTTTTTTTTTGTTTTTTTTTTTAGATGTCCGAGAATGACGCACCGGACTCGGGGAACGATTTCCTCGAAGACGATGATGACCGTGATGTAATTAAACTTCAAAGTCGTCCTTGAGAAATACCTATAGCGGCGGTTATATAGACTCAATACCATAATATTATAAACGTCCCTACATATAAAAATAGCCATAATATATAAAGAATAAAATCTCTCCATCGGAATTATATTTTAAGGATTTTTAAAATTAGTAAAATATGTCGAATAGTAATATATACAGTAGACCGTCTGAGGAAAAATCCAATAAACAACCCTTATACTAGAGATTAAATTTTAAACTAAAAGAACTGTAAAACAAATTTAAAAAAACCCGAAAGTAACGAAGTTCTATTTTGTGTTACAGGAATATTATTTGCAAAACTATAAATAATCAAATAAGGCAATACTATACTATTAAACTACTTTCATTAAAAAAAAAAAAGATTAAATTTAAGCATAAGTGTCACCCCAATAACTTCGTCTAACGGGAACATTTTTTTTTAGCTGCGTCTATGAAAAAGGTACGTATCCAAAGAGATTGCATGGGTTTTTATTTTTTTTTAACGTACTGAAACCTTGGTCATGAAAACAGGTGTACGAACAAATACGACAAATAGATTTTATTTTAAATCACATAATCGGCATCACACACGAAAAATGTCGTAAGAATAGACATAATAATTTTAAAAGTAGTAACTATTTCTAGGAAAACTTTGACAGTATGGGTTTTTTTTTTTTGAAAAATAAAACTTATTATAATTATATTTCTTCTGCAGCAAACCAATTATGTAATTATGCACGCGTAGTTGAAATCTCTGACGCTGATTTGAATATCAGCTATTCGCCAAAATACGATTACCACCTATACATTCACATTTCACGATAACTATTTTTAAATTTTTCACGTTTAATTCACACAAAGAGACTTAACATTCCTGTGAGACAAATGTGCAACGCATTATTCTGTTCATCTTTTTTTTTTTTAAATCATCGTACCACAGCTTTTTGGCATATATGTATAATACAATTTCATACTTACGTCGTTTATGACAAATAAATACACTGTAAATTATAAAGATGTTACAAAATAAGCTCAACTGTTGGCGAATTCCCGTAAATTATGTATCGTGATGTTTAATGTTAAGCTACAAAAAAAAAAAAAAAAAACCGTACGACGAGCAATACTCGAAATATTAAATTAAAAACATTTTTGCTCATTGAATTAATAAACAGTCCTATCAAGTAAAAAAAAAAAACCTCGACTCACAGTTTTGCAATGTAAATGTATCTAATAATATTATAGGTTAGGTGTCTATAGCTGACGAATCTGTATAATCAATACAGTTTTAAATTGCATCACGAACGAAAATAAATACGCTACATTACATTTTATCTAACCTAACTAATTTTTTTTCTAACCTTTTGCTTGTTGAAATATATGATGTTTGTTTACGGCATTTTATTTTATTATTATCATTAATTTTTCATCATTACGAATTAATATTAGTTAGTTTATTGTTTTCCGATACATCACGCAGATTATAATGCAAATACCAAAACTCATATTTCTAAAACAGCGTCGTCGCGGGGTTGTACGCGATAATACACCCATATCAACTAGAATTTAAAATATGTTATTAAAACGAAAATGCATATTTTAACAATACTTGTTTCAAGGTACAATAATACTATTGTACTAATTAATTCGCTAACTACATACAATATTAATCACACTTCTATTCGATTGTTTATCGAGACTTTCGCTTTTTTAACAATAAAATATTGATTAATATCTATGCTATACTTTTACCTACATATAAAGAGGTATTGTCTATTAAAAATAAAAATAAATGCACACACACACACACACACACACACACACACACACACATACGTATGATAGTTAAATTCCATAAGTCGTGTCCACTAAACAAACAATTAATTTGAACTTGATCCTTTGGAATCGCATAAAAATAGGAAATATTAAGAATTCTTTGACGGAAACCTAGTCGATTCGTATGGGGTATAGAAAAATATTATTATTTTTATTATCGTCGCTCGTTATAGGTTATTTTTTTGTTTTGGACCGCGGCGCCGAGGAAACTGTGTGGATAATATTATATTACTTCATTGCAGTCGAGAAATTGTTTTTATACCATGAGAAACCCCGGCGTCGTCAACTATAACTGGCTGTAACTGTTGAATTTGTCGGTAGTCTATGTCTTTCTAACGGGTAATTTAACAAAATAAACACGAAAATATTTATAAAAATAACCCATAAAACAACTCAATCGGCACTTTTTTAAATATTAATTATTAAAAAAAAGAACCAGAATATAATAAAGAGTGATAAAGCTGATACTGCTGGTGAATGCACCACTGTTGTAGTTGGGTAGTTGCTACCCATAGGATACATGAAGTTATTTAATTTATATCTGTAATCAACGATAAACCATTGCTAACGAAAAACGATTCTGAGTTAAGTTTGTTTATACATGTTTTTAAAGGCCATAATATTTAAGATTTTCGTCAACATTTTATTTTAAACTATTTTAAAAAAAATAACTACATTAAACTCTACTTTTTGAGTAAAACTTATAATAAACCTCCAGTTAAATTTTCAGGCATTTCTGTTTGATTAAACAATATATCCATTATATTCATTATATCCACATAGTACCTACGTACAAAACTCGCAAACATAAAATTACTATAAATAGCTTAAAAAATTGAAAAGGCAAATATAAGCTTCTCTCAAAATGTCAAATTTAAATGTCAAGAATATTTCTAACTGAATTGCAACAAAATGGAAAATAATGAAACCATTATTTCCGTAAACTTTTTCGTTCTTTTTCCCCGGCTATGCTCAATTATTGAGAGAACTGTACGGTAAATCTAAAAACGATTTACTTACTCTGAAATTTGGATCCGAAATGCAACCAAAAATGTCTCTTGGAATTATTTTGATTGGAGTAAGTTTTCTTTTCGAAAAGTTGTTTACCGACAGAAAAAAATACACACACACATTCATCATAGTAAAACCAATAGATCCCTCGTTCAGCTCGGAATCTAAAAATATGGATAAAATACGATTTTTGTCCCTACATATTATATAATATTTATAAAATTATAAAATGCTGTCTATAAATATATTATGATGACAGGCGTATTTTGTTTTTTTAAAAGTTGAAACAAGAGTTCAAAGGCCTTTTTGTTCATTGTACATGAACACGTTTTCGCCGCACAATATTGCCCGTTAGGAAGACAGAGACAGAATTTCAAAATTTTTCGGGTAAATTATCATTGTTTCGTATACGTATTTTATTAGAACGTAAAAAAAAAAAAGCCCCCGTAATTAAATGTACAATCCTTGATGAGCATACAGAGAGTAAAACAAAGAGGCGCGCATGCACAAAAATATCCGCAATTGTATATAATAAAAAATGAGTCACGGTATCGAAATACGTATATAAAATAATAATACGAGTATAATAATGCAATTATTATCATTATCATTATTCACGTATGACGATGACGACGGTTATTACAGAAGAAAAAATAGGTAAAATATAAAAAATAAAAATACTTTACCTTACAGATTGGCCGAAAATACAAAAAAAAATTTGACGAGTGCGATGAGTATTATACTACAGCAGTAATGTATATTTTTAAATTCCACAAATTGTTTTCTTATCGGATACGGCATGCACTATTACGGCGAAATTGAGACGGGGAATACGAAAAATATTACCTATTTTTTCTTTCTCTTAAACAAGATGATTATGTTAACAAAGGAAGTTATTTCTTCCGTCTAATTTATCTGCGAGTACGTTATAATGTTAAGGGTCCAAGTTCCAACGCGGTTTTTGACTCATGCCTCGTAGAGTGATCCGATTTTTTTGGCAAAACGAGAAAGACTTCGTACACACTGAATTTCAAACACACGTCTTTAAAAAATATCAATTTCTAACTATTTATTAACGATTTTTTTATACCGTTATTTGAAACCAAATAAAAAATCGGAATTTAATGTATACCTGTACACAAAGATTAAGCTTAGCTATCGAAAAACGATTCTGAGCGGAGTTTGGTTACACATGATTTGATAGGCCTCAATATATACGATTTTAAAATAATACATTTCGTACATTTTCCTGTTTTTCTTACGTTTTTCTCATTTAGTAATGAAAACTCACACGGGAAAATCAAATTTTATTTAGTAATATTTGTTTAATATTGTACCTATATTTTCCTGTTTTTCCTAAATTTTTTCCCATTTATTACATGAACAGATGGGAAAATCAAAAAAATTATCTCCCTAAAGTACTACCCCAGTTAGATTTCCTTACGGAAAAAGTGATACACTTGAAAATTAAAGCAAAATTTCTGGTAGGAAAGTCGTTTACAGATAAAAGAAAATAAATAAATACATAGAAATATCATTGTAAAACCAATATATTCCTCGTTCCATTCAAAATCTAAAATTGGTAGAAAAATATTACGTTGATAATGAACCCGTAATACCGTGAAATTATTTTCGTCCCTAAAAACGGCTAAACCCCCTCCTCCTTAACGGTTATCGGGCAGTCAATAAGTGGAAACGTCTTATCTTTAAGGCGGTTATTGAAATTATGGAAATTATTTTCAAATTTTATAAATTTTGCCTAAACGGAAACAAGCGTTATAATATTTGTATACTCTACAGTCTACACAGTCGATAATATTATCTAACACAAACTTAATTCAAATTTATTAATCGAAGTCGATAATATTTTTTTAAAGCGCCCTTGTAGTAATAGTACAAAGACCTTGAACCACGAAGCGTATTTAGAATATTGTTAACAATTTATTGAGGAGAATATAAACAATTTTTGTACATATACATACATACACACACACACCGTCCTGGTTTATTTAATAATTTTAATTGAGCGAAATCGCCAAGTTTTAGGCTACAGCATTAAAAACGTGCTGTATATGTAATATCAGCCATTTGTTTTTATAGCAATTTTATCGAACAGTGTGTGCGACCTAATTTTTCAAATGAACAATAATATTCGATAGCGCTGAGGGGACAATATCCGTATCGATAACATGCATTTCAAATATTTTAGCAAAATCCAAACGGGTATTATACATGTATTATATATTATGTGCAACTTAAAAACTTTAAATATGTACAACAAAACGTCGTTATTGAAGAGATACAAATACTGCTATATTATTCTCGAATCGATCGAAAAGCGTGTCCGATAAAAATAATAAAAACCAAACGAAAGTCGCGACGTGTTTTCAATTGATTACGTCTAACTTTCGATTGATTTAAGGATATTGGCCCCTAAAATCGTATTTTTTTTCCAATAATCAATATAGTATAATTCTATACTTCTTCGGGGCGCGGTATTAAAATAGAAAGTTTAAAAAAGAATTATTACAAATTGTGGAGAAAAACATAAATTAAATGTATAAAGGAAAACGAAAGTGTTCGTATAGTAGCGCCGTTGTTCTAGAATCATTTAAAAACAACGGAACATAATATAGCAATCTTACGAAATTAATAACGAGAATAATATACAGCAAATATCGTAATTTTATAATTTTACAATTTACATAACATGCCAACAGTACACTGCAGTATCCATTATAATATTGTAATACTACAAATACGAAAAAAAAATTGTGTATGCTGTTGGAATAATAATCATCAGTTTCGGTTTATGCATGTGAATATGACGCGCGATTGACCTTCATTCTGATTATAAAAAACCGAGCGGCAACCTAGTTCAATGGTGCGTATTTTATTTTTTTTATTTCCAATGCTCTATACTGATATAAATTTATTCTACTGGATTTTTAATGATTCGCGAAGTAAACGGATTAATTATTTCGGTAAAAATTATAATAATATTAAAATAATCGACAAAGTTCGGTAATAGCTATGTAGTTAAAAAGTTAAAAGTTACTTGTATTATAATTTTTAACTTTACTAGGAAAATAGAATGTTAAAAATTATAACTTAGTTTTTATTGACGGATTTTTTTGTGTAAAAAGATATAGATAGGTTTATTTATATTTTATAACATACATTTCGACAACAATTATGTATTTTTACATCATCACATAACAAGAGATAATATTTGTATGCATATGATGTTTAATATACTCTAAAAAAAATTAAAAATTTTTATCTATGCGCTTCTAAGTACTATAAAAATAACCATATAAAAAATTAAATGCATTAAAAAAAAGACGGTTATACTTCGCACGATGGATGGACCACTGTTTTATGTGAGAAGTTGATAAGGTAGAAAGGAAATTTGATGAACATTTGTACGCAACGATTAACTATATTACTAACGAAAAACGATTCTGAGCGGAGTTCGGTTAGTAGTGTTGCTTTGTCAACAATATATATATTATATAATTACATACCTATAAAAATATGAAAAATTTATGTATGAATGTATGAAAAAATGTCTATCATCGAATATATAGGATCAATATAGAATAAAGTAAATAAAAACTACAAAAACCCCAGAAAAAAAACCCTAACTGAAGACTAATTTGAATGGCGTAAATCTTACCGAGAAAAAGAACAGTTAATATTTTCCAGTCTCATTGCACAATGGCACATATTAAGACAATTTACACAATTTTCCCAGTTGTATATTATAAGTAGGTACTTACCGGATTTATTTTAGTTGATTCAATTTCTCTTTTGTGTTTTGCGTGTATTAATTTAGGTTCAATAAACGCGTGGGAGTTGAACTGTTTATCAATTTTGTCGGTTAAGCCATCACCTGGAAAAATATAAAACAGACGGTTAAAAAGACGAAACAGTCTCATTTCGTATTATATTTGTAATCGGACATTCGCTCATAGACATAAGAAAAATAAACCAGAAAGTATGATAAAATCATGAATTATCATGATACTAACAGCACTTGCGATTTTACCGAAGACTATCTATAAACGTACTCCTTGAATTAGTTGAAAATAATTATTGTGAGCGATTAATGTTATCGTGAACAAATAGTACGATTCATATTAATTTTGACAAAAGTCTATACTAGGTTTTTTAAGGTTGAAAACTAGTGACCTAACCAGGAAATTATATGCAAGAATGGGATTTTCATTTAAAGTACTCTGACTTGATTATTTTTATGACCCACTAGGACTTTTCATTTTTTAATATTATAATAATTAAATTGCATTAGAAAAATAAAAATAGTCGTAAGCTGTTACAGAGTTTGTCATTAAAGTCGAATTTCCTCCCACCAATTTTGTATCATAGACATATTCTTCGAAAAACAATTATAAATAACCGAATACTATAATTCTTTAGTACTTAATATATACATAATATAGTATAGTACAATATTATACTGTAGTATATAACTACAACTATATAACTTCCAAAAAAAATGGTGAATTTTGAGTAGAAATTGTAGTTTGAGAGTTGAAATACCCAAAAGGCACATAATTGGTACTTAAGTTGTGCATTTATAAAATGTCATCCACCTGGTTATATTAGGGGGTCTCTAGGGGTGTTTAAAGCTAATAACACATACCTACCGCAACAACGCGGTTAAATTAATATTGAAACTCAACTCAATTTTTATCATTTAAATTCGGCTATGAAACAACTATAATATTACCTGAATTTGAGCTCATTCGCAAAAATAGAAAAATATTATAATATATTATACCTATGTAAAATACAATACAGTTTTTATTTTTGAGAAAAAATCGACTAAACTGTGACTTAACGAATATCTCAAACTTGTGAATATTGAAAAAAATGTCGAAGACAATTCAAGGAGTTTATAACCTTTTGTGTATGCCACTAATTTCTAGTACGTTAACACGGTTTTGTCATGATTATAACGAAAAAAAAAATCACGACAATATTTTTGCCATGAAAAAACCGCACATTTTCATTTTTCTCTCTCACATAATATGCTTCTATGTTGGTTTCGATGTATGGGTATAATATGCAAAACGGCCATTTTTGTTGTTTTGTTACGAAAATCAAATTTTAAAGTTTTCCCCTCGAAAGTAACAATATTATGTAGATACACCATGGTGATATTACTACCTACTATTATGTTTTTCATTACAAAATAATTACGCAAATACGTGTCAGTGTATACTATCGAATATACTATACTATACCTATCGAATATCTCTCGTTCACGAAAAAAACATTATTAAACAATGGTAGTACGAGTAATACCAATTTTATTAATTTCGTACACATTATATTGCTATAGCTGAATAGAATAACGATAAATTATACGATTAAATAATAAATAATGTATTTTTTATACTCAAACGTCCCTTATGATGTGAATATAATAATAATGTTTCTCCCCAAAATAAAATATTACATCGCAGTGTCTGAAAATGATCTATTCGAATCAAACTCATGAATTACGTAAATATATTGTAAAAGTTAATAACAATGATAATAATATCGTTAGGCTATTTTCTTACAATGAACTTCAACATTTTATATGCTAATATCATTATTATTATCATTATTTGTTTATCTCAATTTTTAATTGCTTAAAGATAGAGCGGCTGAAAATAATAATATTATCATACTTTCCGAAAAAATATTATGATACCGCGTAGACCGCGTTAATACGAGTTCACGAACAAGCCCAGTTAAAAATAATTACACCGATTATTATCATCGACGACGAGAGCCATAACTCATTATATTTACGTATATATAATTTAAAACAAATGTCGTAAAATATCATACTGAACGTTGAACACGTATGTCGACGATTTTAGAGGATATCCGGTCGGAATAGTTGACACTAAATATTGAAATAATTCGACACGTGAACGAAGTGTATAGCGAATAAATAGCGAAGTGAAAAACAACGAATTCGGTTAAAAACATCATATTTTTTTCAGATAAAATAATAATTTGAGACACTAAATTGCACATAACAATAATATTGAATACGTTTAACAGTGCTCAACAGTATGTATGTAAACAATGGGGTTGTATTATTCAGATTGTATTTTATTTTTCAATAAAGACAAAAATATTTAATATTTCTGAAAACAATTTAAACACAAATTTTTTATGCTAATAACTAATGTAAATCTGAATATTAAAGTTGTAAAATGTTCGATAATAATATCATCTATAGATTTCTACGTCATTTTATGTAATATTATGAAACTCTAGGTGCTTAAGGATTTTTTTGTCATTCGTGGACAATTTTAAAATTTGAATATGTGCTCTTTCTACATTTAATTATAATATAGGCACATAAATATATTCGTAACGTCCGAAAAAGATTTAAGTTTTAGTATAGTGTTATGTTGTGAAAATGTGAACTAATACTATAGTGCCCGTAGTAGAGTTGGGAGAAAATGGACTAAAATGAATTATTTATAAATAGAGTGATCTTCGTCGTCGTGTTTTTACGTCGCAGTATCGACGATAAAATCGTAAACCGAAAGAGTATATTACCATTATTTTTATTGTGTACTACACTACTAAAATTTAAGATTGTATAGGTAAAAAAAAACAAGATTTAAATAATTATGAATATAATATTTAATACCAAAAAACCCATACATAAACCGTAGGTAAGCCGCTATTGCGGGTGGAAAATTTAGTAGGTATATAAGATCGTGATAATTTAGTGCTTACACTAAAAGTAACGATAAACCGTAGCGATTAAAAACGGAGCTTGGTTAACTGATACATGTAAAGTTATTATATTAGATTAGTTGTTATTTTTCCCCTCGTAACTAAAGTAACCAAGAAATCAACAAAAATACAACAATGAATAATTTGTCGTTCCTTAGAAAACTATTTTCGAAAAACTGTCAAGAATCTAGGAACGATTTTTAAATAAAGTACTACCGGTTGAAAAGTTTGCGTTAGCTTGACGGTACGTTGTAGGCACGATGTGAATAATTTAGAAAAGTGATTCCTAATGGGAGCTGTACCATCCCTCTGGGGTCATTTTGACCACTTCGGGGGAAAGGGAGCAGTATATTTAAAGGGGACATTAAAAAAGGCGGAAAAGTTTCAAATTCGGAATGATGGGAAAAAATTAGGTACTTTATAGATATTTTTGTAAAAATGAATAGAGTAAACTTAAAGCTTCAAGGAAATACAATGTACTTTAATCAAGGCCAGAGAGATAATTTTCTTATTAATTGAAAGTTTGATCTTCATAAAGATCTATCACCAAAAATTGTGTCAGTCACAACTATGGTAAAAACATAAGTTGTTACTTTTTTCCTTCCCGACAACATATCTAGCTGAAAAAAGATTCATTGTTATTGTTTAACTTTTAACGAAACAAAGAAATTGATTGAGTATTTGCAAGAAAGGTGAACTGCGTTTAACTATAACCGACATCGTAACATTATTAGCTACTTATTAGAAGGTAATACGGTCTAATGAAATTTTTTTTTTTATTGTAAAGCAAATCTTCTTACCTAGTAAAATAAAATCGTTTTGTAAAGTGAGATACAATAAAACATTTACTATCTTTTTTGTTAAAATATTTTTTAAAAACGATTCCTCAATGTACCAACTAAATGGATAAATGCTACAAGACAGTGATTGACTGGAATACGATTAGAAAAGTTGTTTACATACACAAAGAAAAATCACACATCATATTTAGTATAACCGATACATACCTAGTTTAGCTCAGAATCTAAAAATAAAAAGTTTCCAAGATTTAGAGAATAACTGCTGAGAATTTTAGTAAAACCAACAGCTTCTCCCCAACACTCAGAATCAAAATTATATTTATATTTGATATAATATTGTTTATACTGCCTCCGACGAATAAATTATTACAGAACTGTACTTCCGAACACAAATTATATAATACTTATGTCGTCATCGGGAAAGGTAACATTTCGTACCTACCTACGTATTTTATAGTAACAAAGACCGATTCAAACGAAAAAAAAAATTTTTCTGTTCTTATACAAACACACACCACTATTATAATAACATACAAACTGAGTGAGAACAATACAACATAAAAAAAAAATTATAATCACTTTTTTTTTTTGTTATAGAGACCGGAAATAAAGATGTAGTATTATACCCGTTCTAAAGGAATATCACGTCGATTTTGTAAGTTTTTTAAAATTCGATTTTAACTAATCGCCAGAATAAAATGAATTTGCTATTTATACTAATATACATCAAATATGTTTTTTAATTTCGTCCAGGCACTTTTAAAAAAAATACGCGTTCTAATTAAAGTAATCAAACATAGTGTACGTGTAAAATATATAATTAATATGTTACGAAAAAAAATGCTGATGAATAGTATACATATTTAGATATAATGGTACTGATATAAATATTTTATCAGTAACGTAGATTACGCATTCATTCAGTATTATAGTTCAAAGCATACTATTTGTATTTCATATGCAAATACAGTGAACAGTTATGTGAAAAATTTTGCACTCATTTTCATTCAATGTTATTCCTAATTATATGATGCGATTTATTAAAAAAAATATACATACATATTTGGCTTCGCGCGTGTTTTTAATAATATAAAAATATTCTATATTATAGGTAGTTATCAATACCACCTATAACATTATAGTCGTCTCGTGTATAGAAAATAATGATTATTATTCGTTACTTGTTTCCGTTCTGAATAATCAATAGTAATATACCTACGTTTAGTTTACCTATCGTATACCGTGCGGTATATAGTAGCAGATTTGTAAAGCGGAAACGACAACGGATATTATGAAGACGTTACTATAAGAGTTGCACCATAATAATATCAATGATCCAAAATGTCAACGACACCACAAAGTGTTTGCAGTACACACGAATCTAAATTAAACAAATTAGATTATAAACATGTAAATTGCATACAACGTTATATTATATAGGTGTCCGTCGTATTTTGAAACCAAGTTGTCAACAGAACGTCGTAGTATCAATACCTAACAACATAACCATTTACAGCAATAAAACCCGGTATAAATTTTACCTTTATTTTACAGTACGAAAAAATAAAAGACTGACATACTTCATACGATGGGAGGACCACTGTTACAGATGAAAAGTTAGGAAGGTAGGATATAGCGAGGAATTTAATGTATACCTGTAAGCAAAGATAAATCATTACTAACGAAAAACAATTCTGAGTGGAGCTCGGTTAATAGTATTGCTTTTTCAACAATATATATGCAATATTATAGTAAAATAAATATATATTGAAATAATTTGTATGGACCAGTAACTAGATCTGTTCCACATCATTTTTTACTAAAACAATTTCGTTAAATTTCATATTAAAATTTTTATAAACAAAAATATACTAGGTACATTATTAAACTAAATTTTTTTATTTTTACCACAAAGTACGACTTATAATGAACTTCCTGTTCAATTGTCAAGCATTTCTGTTTAGTCTTACAATTTTACTATAGAGTACCTACCTAGCGAATACAAATTACGTATACAAAACTCGCAAAATTAATATGTCTATAAATAACTAAAAAATGATTAAACATTTTTGAAAAATTGATCAAGTCTCTAAAAGGCAAATATAAGTTTTCAAATTTCATGACTCTACAATTATTTTTAACTGAATTACAGCAAATAACAAAATTCAAAATAATAAAAGTATTATTTTCGTAAATTGTCCGTTTTTCTTTTTACGTTTTAACCCGGTTATTCCCAAATAGTATAAAAACTGCTTCGAAAATCAAAAAATGACCACTTTAAAATACCATGTAGACAATACTTCCTTTCAGAAATGGTGCCACACGTACATATCAGAGCAAGATTTCTTGTAAAAATGTTTGTCCCAGAATAGAAAAAATAAATAAATTAATTAATTAACACCTGTAAAACCAATACATTCATCGCTACACTCAGAACTTTTCTATCATACTACATATATTTAGAGATAATCAAGATACTTCAAAATGAGTACCTATAGACATTCGATGCCATAATATAAATTACACAGGTATAAATTAAATTCTCCTCTGTATCCATCCTACACTCTCAACTTCTCACCTACAACAGCGGCCCGCCGCGTCGTGCGAAGTATTCCGTATTATTTATTTATTTTTTTTTAATCACATTTTCAAAACTATATACAGCAGAACTTTAGAATCATGTTATAATGCTATCTATTTCATTTACCGTCGACGAACATTCCACTCTAAATAAAAACCGATATTAAGTTTACTTACATGGTCACCATTACGAGTCACGACACATTATTTAAATTAATAATTATAATAATTTATAAATTGATTAATTAATAATGATACTATATATTACGCAAACGATACATTAATATAATATGATCACGGCTACATGAAATACATCTTTATTTTGTCATAGCCTCGACTATAATATTATCTACGCAAACCGAGAATTCTAAATAATAATAATTATTGTATATGATAAGATGTATACAATAATTATGGTACAATATACTACACAATATGGTACCGTATAAATATTAAACTGTCTAACGAAACGCGTTTAATATTTAAATGGTAGGTAAACTGGTGTACACTGAATTAATATACTATACTATTATTATTGTGCGCCAAAAAGTTGAACCCGTAATATTATTAATAGAGATATTATACTTGTGTATAGAGAAACAACTGGAGTTTTTATTAATATTTTTACTTTCGAGATTATTTCTAAAGATAAAAACGGTTGGTATGGTACCTGTAAAATATTATTCTTACAGCAATTACGAACAAACGCTAAAGGAAAAAAAAACTAAGAACACAACAGTATATCTATTAAATTGTATATAATAGCGGTCAATTTAGTTTGAATACTGTTGCAATTAACCCGTTGGACCCGTGCAATAGTTGATAATACAAGTATTTAGTGTACAAAAACTTGCAAATTTTCTACAAGTGACATATATATGGCTATATTTTTTTTTGTGCGACGCGTTCACATTCTCGACGATAAACTGCTGCAGAAACACTGGCAGTAAAATAAATTTTTTTACAGATATTCCGTGGAAAGGACGTTTCGATACTACGAAATTCCAATTTGGATTATTATATTCGCTTTGGTCGATTATTACATCAATAACAGTTAGTAAATTAGTGTACAAAACGTAAAAATCGTAGACAAGCAATATGACGTATGATTTTGGGCAGGATAAAATAGTGATTAATAGTAATGACCTGGAACATTTTAAACGGCAACGACGGAATCAACGAGACTAAACAATCGACACTCATTTAATATTATATTTTGTTTTGATTATAAACTGCGAACAGTAAACTCTTTTTGTAATTAAACATTTGTGAAACAAAAAACATGGGTAGATCACTATGTTATATATGGAAAGTTTTTTTTGAAGAGTTATAGATTATAATAGAAAGTAGACAATTTATAGTTTATATAAACTATATATAAAAACGCAAAAATAAATCATTATTATGAAAAAAACTCGAAAAAATGTAAAGGCCACTAAACAGCTAATGAGCTGGTACTATCAAGCTTTGAGGGTACGAAAATATGGCGTAAAAACTGGAGATCAACAGATACAATGAACAGTTGTCTAGTGCCTGACTCAAATAAAGGTGTAGAAGGTATGGATTTACCACGAGATGTAAAGTTCGTACTTAATAGAATTCGAACTGGGTACGGCCGTTATGATTACATGATGTACAAATGGGACCTTAAGGACAGCTTTGCGTTCAACGACAACCAATCAATACACCATATTCTGGTAAATTGACCGAAAAGAAAGATCAATCGGAACATTGAAAGAATTCGTACGGCAAATAACAATGCATTGAAAAGGATTCAAGAATTGAACATTACCTTATGACTATAGATGTTATCTCTGTAAATCTTAACCATGTATCATGTATTATTTTTCTTTTAGATTCTAAGTATAGCGAAAAATGTATCGGTTTTACAAAGATATTTTTTTTTTTTTTATGTGAACACTTTTTCTATCAGAAAGGAAATTTTCTTAGGGTGGTACTCTAGGGAGGTCATTTTTCGATTTTCTCAGTTTTCTCAACAAATGTGAAAAACAAAAAAAAAAACCGGAGGAAAAACGGGAAAATATACGAAATATATTAGTAAATTATTACGATTTTGTTTCTGTGGACAACATTTCTACCAACGATTTTATTCCGATTTACAATGATAGCACTTTTTCTGAAAGGAAGTTAAAACTGGAAAGGTACATTAGGAAAGTAATTTTTTGATTTTCCCAAGAGTTTTGCAGCAAATGTGAATAACCGTGAAAAAAAATGGGCAAATAGGAAAAAAAAATAGGAAAATGAGAAAATCGGTATAATATTAAACAAATATTATTAGAGAAAATATATAATGCCTATTTAATTATTTTACCATAATATGACAGATATCTTGTTGACAAAGCATCACTTCGCTCAAAATCGTTTTTTCGTTAGCTTGTTAACTTGTTTATCGTTGCTTACAGATATACATTAAATTCCCTTCTGTATCCTACTTTCCCAACTTCCCACTTACAACAGTGGCTGCTATAATACATAGAAACATTTATGGTTAAAAAAAAAACTAAAAATAAAATATATGTACCTAATAATAGATAATCGTCGTGGTTCTTGATGAAAACGAATGATCACTCTGTAAGCATAAATCGGCTATACTATAAGTATTGTAATAATATTATGGTAAATAATTATACAACACACGTCGTATTATTAAATAAAAGTAAACGAACTAGCTGTGCATTGTATATAGGGACGTGTTAAATATTAAAAAAATAAAATAAAAACAACAACATAAATGTTTGTAAAAAAATACCAGGAAACATTGTTGTAAAAACTTCGCTGTCGATGTTGATGTTTAAATTAGCAACGAAATTTTTGTTCGCGGAGTTCTGGCAACGATTCACGTTTTTATCGAAAAAAAAAAAAAAGTCCAATTATTATTTCTATAATACATGTATGGAGTAGGACTAGCGTCAAAGAAAAAAGTCAACGGACGAGATTAATTTTGAGACCGTAGCAGCACGGGGTGGCCCACGCATAATGTTAACGACGACGACGACGACGGTGTATACATACTACAGTGTAGTACTGCACTGTAGAAAATATCGGACACCCGTTATTTATAGTTTAAACCCATATGGCAACATGTATAATATTCCTTTAGTGCAAGACTACACGGGGCTTTGACAAAATGCAATATTCGTGAACAGCACACCTTTCTGTTTGCAAGTCTTTACGGCACGTGTGTGTGCAGTAATAATAATCATTGAAATAATAATAAAATATTTCCACATGATATCGTTATGCTGTTATGCTAAATAGTGTTTAACGTGCAGATTTAGAGTTGTAGTGCGTAGGTACAATATAATTTAAGACAGCGAAGTTATAGAAATTGCGTATTTGTTTTTTTTTTTTGATTTACCATATTATATAAGAAATTGCACGAGACGACGAATTCGATTTAAACGACTGCGTCAACGTGAGTTAGAAAATATTTTTATAATTTTGAGGCATTTTTTTTTTAAGTTTCATTTGTGAACATAAATTTAGAGAACTCAGCAAATGCACAAAAATAAAAACCGTATTGCGCTTCCATCAAACAAAAGTAAAATCTGCGATTTCACACGAGTTATGCACAGTATAATGTGACGGTTCTATAGTGTTCCGTAGAGATAAAATAAGACCATTTCTCGACAAATGTCGACACTCGAAGATGTTTCTATAGTGTACTTGCGGCGTTAAAAACCCTACACAAATGAAATTCAAGACATATTTTGTCATTATCAACTCTTATAACTTTTATTGCTCTGGTTTCATAATTTTACATTATTTTCATTCAAATAATATATTATGTTACGTTTAGTGTTTATAGACAGTGATAGTAAAATGTAAATACACACATCGTTGAATGTAGGCTAAAACCGCGAGAGTATAATACATAAACAATTATTATTCAAAATGTGTCATTATAATTATATTATTATATGACAGGTCAAACAAACAAAAATAATAGTAATAACAACCGAGAAACAAAACAGGAAGTAGAATCATGTAATATTTCAGGGGCTTCTAATTATAACAAATAAATAGCCGACATATTTAAAACGGCGCCGAGAATCATATAAAATACCAATAATTAGAATTGGTTTTTAAATATTATTTAAACATAGGGCTATCTGAACGGTTAAACGGTTTTAATAATTGTAAATTATAACGTCGTATAATTATTATGTGTACCGAGATTAATAAAAATCTATACCACAATATATAATCTACTCTAGATTAGAGAACTGCAGTTTGGCTATGTTTAAGGTCATATTATAAATGGTCAATATTAATGAGATATACATTTTTTTTTTTTTTAATCGAACATATTTCGCACCACAGAAGGGCTACTGTTGGGAACTATTGTAAAGGAAGTCTATAGACTTAAAAGTAAAGTAAAGTATTTAAAAGTAATTTAGTTTATATTTTACTTAAAACAACGATAAATTTTTGCAATCAATAAAACTTAGAAAATGATTCTGATGGGAGCTCGACAAACTGAGGTCAGAATTGTTTTTCACGATTTTTCATTAACAATGGTTTATCGTTACGTACTGATAATACAAATTAGATTACTTTATTACTCCCTTCCAAATTCTCTGCTAAAACAATAACACACCCATCAGCAGAATCGACATTTCTTATTTTTTACAACAGTGTGTTTTAATAAAATAGATAAATAATATATCAACAACAATATGCATTACGCTATTTACCCACGTAACTCTATGTATTTTATGTATTTAAGCTAAGCCGTACATAATAACATTTGATAACCGCATTATAAAGATAGGTGGTAATAAATAATTGGTAAACACATGCTAACTTTAAAATCAATTCAAACAACAATAATTATTATCGTACATATAATACGATATTAATAAATAAAGGATACGCGTATATTTAAATATTATATCCTGCCGAAAACACTTTTTAATAACTCCGCGTGTAGTCAGTTAGATTAGGCAGGAAGTTTAAATATCTAACGCATACAATAAGAACAATAATTATTGAGAAATTAAAACATTAATTTGTTATTATTTGTTTGTTTACCTATATAAATAAATAAATTCTGTATTTATTTGTTGAAACTTCCTGCGCCGCACAAGTAGGTATAGTAGGTATAAACTAATAAACGTTGACTAACGTTTAATTTTACGAATAATCTTAGTTATAAAACAATTTTTTTTTATTTACTTCTTTTTTACATTAAAAAACTACAAACAAATCATTACGTTCAATTGTTAAAATATTGAATACATATATATTTGTTTTTAAACGAACTTTTGGCAGCTATTGATAGACCGCCACAGTTGTTTTGTGTATATTATACAGGGAATTTCATGTTAGTTTTAAAAGTATAGTCCATACTCCTACTTTCAAACTTTAAACACAATTTGGAAGACCCCGTAGACCACAAAAACGATGGTTCAAGCAATATTTATTTTTATTATTATTACGAACATTAAATTCGTCGTTAAAACGTCAGCGGTCTATTGAATTTCTTCTCGCCGCCATTGTTTTAATTTTAAGAAATATCCCAGATATATGGGACTTATTTGAAATACTATTAGTTTTTTGTCTATCACTTACCTATATATATTATTATTGTTATTAATAGCAGAGAGAGATTGTTGAGTATTAAAAATAAAAATTTTAATTGACAAAAAAAAAAAATGTACTAGGTAAGCAAAGTACCTACTGATACTATGTGGAGCATCTGGTATAAAACGAATACAATTCTCGTTCTGCTCGAAATCTAAGATATTCTATAGTTGAAGTTAATTTTAAAGTACAGAAATAGGATTATGAAGCTTTCGTTTTTGTGACTAATAAAAAAAAAAAATCAACATCCTGTAAATTTCACTTAAAAAAGCAAAATGAATGAAAATGTCTTGAAGACCGTAGAGCTGTACTAATATTAAAAATAGCAATTATGAGTTTAACCACACGCCAACTATAAATTAGGTATAGAAAAGTATTCGTAAAATGTCATAAAGTGATATTCATTGTTAATCTATAGGGTATTGAGGGCGAATGTATGAAAAATTAGAAACAAGTAATTTATTGATAGGTTGCAGTCTTTGAATTAGTTGTACGTAAACAATATTACATAAATCAATGATCAATAATAAATATAAAATATTGTGAATTATATTATAAATTAGGATACTCGAATAAAATGGTGGTTAACGTAAACAAGGGCCTTTAATTAAGTAACTAAGTAAGTGATCGAGAAGACCATTAAGTATCCCTTTTGGAAACCCTTAGGTTCTTTAGACCTTTAAGGAATAAGATTAAGGGGGTAGGAGGGGTATGTTAAAAAGGAATTAAGACAGTGAAATCGGAAACCCAATGGAATTAAGTTGCGAAGAACATGATGACTATGGTTCTCTGTAAGGGATAGGTGGCCGGTTTTATACTTCGCAGTGTGATCTTAATGGTCGAAGTCAAACAGAAGAAAATAAAATAATTGGTACGAAGACACACAATTTACGAGTATCTTGATTTGGAGTACCTACATTATTGTTCGATAATATAATATTATTTTATTTAGTATACTGTATACAGATCGGTACAAATTAAAAATTATACATGGAAAAAGTCACAAACTCAGATAATTACTCAAGGGTCTAATATTTATATTTTCCAAGACCGCTAGCCAAAATAAAATTTACTACCTATATCGGCAGCCATAATAGGGACATGTGTCATTCAGAAATTAAAATTTATTTTTTAATAATTATCTCATACCACATTTTGTTTATAAATAACAAAATATGCTGTATATCGATATTATTCAATATTTCAAATACGGTCAGATATATGTTTATAAAAAAAAAAAAAAAAAAAAAAAAAAAAAAAAAATAGTAGACGAGGGTCGCAGGGAAAAAAATTTTAATGACGGATTCATCCTGCAGTTAACATTTTCACGTGGGACCGAAAATACAATTATATTTCGAAATAAACTTTGATTGAAAAAAATCAAATAGAACGATTATAAAATAATGTTATACACCCATATGTGTTAGACTAAACTATGAGAACACTTATACGACAGAAACAGTTGTTGGTATTTTTTTCCATCATTTCCGTGGATATAAAAAAAAAAAATGTAAAAAAACAACACTTACAATTTCGGTTCACACAACTTTAATTCAAATTATGAATAATAATATATTATTATATTGTTTTACACTGGAACGAAACACATGGACACATATTCCGGTATACCAATTCTAACCAAAATCGACTGACGAAAATTCCTACCAAGTACTTACTTTTTTCGTGATCAATATACAAAACCATGTTAATAATAATAAATTTAGTGTATTATTTAAAAAAAATAATAAACAGAGAACTAAGCAAGGTTCAACGAACACAAAAACTAAAAAAGAATATTTTGATTGGAGCGTGTTAAGTTGTACCTAAGTATCGCATTTTATTATTAATATTTTTATTTTACTTTTTGATATTTTGTTATGCGGGATGAATAATATTATTATAGAGGTTGTCCTTGACGTAGTCGTATTACATTATAAAAAAATACAATACAAAAATTAAAAGGGGTTGCTTGCTTCTTTATTATGTGGTCTTTGAAATCCGATCGTACCCGAATTTAAAGATATAAATATAATAGGTAGGCTCGTAGGTATGTATCATTTTTAATACTTATAATTTAATACTTACTAAAAAAGATTAAAATAATATGTTTAAAGGAAGTACATGATGAACAAATTAACAGACGCTTAACTTCGATAGCATATATATTAAATTAAGGAGGTATTCAGTGTTCTATGACCAAACTATTTCAAATAAATTGACTACATGTTATTATTATTTTTCTAAAGTCATAATTATCGAGTTTTTATATTGTATAAAAAAAAGTTACTCCACCACACTGAATAAGGAGAGTTAAGCAAAACGAATGGTAAACCAAATAAATTTCGTAAGCATGGCGTTATTTTTTTTTTTCAATAAAACTATAATATTTAAAACTTAGAAACTAGAAATAGTACTGAACAACGTGTGATAAAAATAAAAAATAGGTGATAATAATAATAAGTAAGGTACCTAATACAATAATAACCATAACAAAATATTGAACAGCGTAGGAGGTAATAATAATGGAAAAATTAAAATTAAACAAATGTATACCTAATAACATGATATTATGCATCTGCTAGACTGGACCCACATGTCGCGCAAATAAAATATTTTTTTTTATTATCACAAGCAGATGGCAGAAAAAAACAAACTATAACTAAATCGAATATTATTGCAAACAGCTTTTCAAGTATAAATGACCAACGAAAAATATCTAAGCAAACGTCCAAAAAAACATAATTATTTAATTTTTTTGCAAATATTCCTAAAAAAAAAAACATTAAAAACTCACCTGTTCAGTGTTATTATAGGGGTATTGTAACATAATAGTGTTTTATTTTTGCCAGGTGGTGTATTTTTATGTTTTTATTTTAGTCACTGTATCACTAGAGTGAAAAATATATATTAGATAATCATAAGTACCCGAGTAAATACATAACTTACAAAAATAAATTAAGTAATAATAAATCATTTGTTCAAATATAATGTATTTTAACAATTTGTTCGATTACATTATTAACTATTTTCACTCTTTTTAATGTCAGATATCATATAATTTAATTTTAATAATTTGTATAAGGGTACACAAGTCTTAATTACCTACAAGTCTCACACCTAATATAATATTTTATTGTGCTACAGTAGCCATATGGTAAACATAGGTACATAATTAATAAATATAATAACCAACAGTATTATATAAGATAACGTTAGAGTGCATACATTTTTAATTAATATACTATTCAAATAGAAATCAAATCTCAGATAGGAAAAAAAACCCCCTTCAAGCTCTTAATGGCCAGATGCCAAACAATACTGTCTGTATTTTGTTTGACATACACATTACTTTTCTGTAACACTGCCATTTAGAGAAGAAAAAAAAATGTAAAATTATATTACAAATATATATATATATTTTTTATGAACCAAACCTTTGCTTTATCTCTTGTTGAATTAAAAAATGAATATCTTTGATTAAGTATATAAATATTCACTGATATAATGTACTTGCATATTATTAACAATACCTATTAATACCGATTCTCATCCGTTAAGTTTAATCTTTTATTTTGGTAATCTTTTTTTTGTTCAACGGTCTAATCCACAGTAACTAAATTAGCAACCGGATATTTTAATGCATACCTGGACAGATATTCTTATAGCGATTACTGTTCTTTAAGGGGAATGTTTACAAAAGAGTACCTACCCTACAATCGGTTAGTAATTGATACACGAATAAATATTATTGAATAATACTTATAACTACTTGGTTAGTCTTTCTATCTGACAGGATCAAGGAAAGAGATCCACATAAAAGTAAGTTTGAGTAAAATAATGATACATAAATATAAATATAAAGCTATCAGATTACTTACAGCAAACCGGTTGAATATCAGTCAATATTGTGAATATGAGAACTGCAGCAACTCTGGTGACAGGCATCATTGTCCGATAATCCTTCATGGTACACACGAGTCCAATAAACATTCATCAAGCCCGGTGGAATGTTAAATTTTCAATGGGTACAACACTAAGGGTGATATGAGTAAACGAGGGTAAACGGTAACAGAAAAAAAAACACGTTTAAAAATAATTATTTTTACACTGACACTGGATCAAAGAATAGGTACTTAAAATAAAAAAATATATATCGTTTAACCATTACAATTAATATTGTCGAAATATTAAAATAACTGATAAAAACAATATTATGTATATTATGAAAAACGGAATACTCTAGTACCTATGCCAAACTCTGCATACGTACAAACGCATCGAACGGATAACAATAATTAACTAAACGTTGCGTCGTTTAGTCGTTGTTAAAAAAAAAAAAAAAATATCTAACATTTTTACAGTTTCCACTTCCTCCGGAGACCGAGAGAACAACAGTCTCGGGTCTACGAATACTTTTTATCTCGGCCCCCCACTTATCATTTTATATAGTATCAACAGAGCGATCCAATTAAGGAGCCGCAGTGCTACCGCGGACGTCAGCCACGAAATTCTCTTTTATTTTTTCTCGCCGGATACCGTTTGATAAGTGACCGTAATAATATTATAAAAGTATTTACCTATCTATTTATTTTATCAGGAACCTCCCTTTCCAAAAACACGGAAGACTGTAATAATTTTAAAAAGAATTTATTGAGCTCCTAGTCTCCAAATATATTAATATAACATGGGTTCATAAAATTCTGTCAATATTTTCAAATGTCTTCCATATCAATTATCAGAAGTGAATGATAGTGACTTTAGAATTTAGACAGTCTGATACTCTGATAATGCTATTTATTATTTTATTAGCTCATCTGTATTTTTAACAGTGAATGATCTACATACTCTGTAGATTTGCATGCGGTTTTTTAGTTGAGTTTTCCACAGTTTGACATTATTTTAAAACTATAATATTGTTCATTCCTAAAAAACTGTAATTAATATTACGCTGTGTGTTAGCTTATATAAGCGCTAAATACCTATCGTCGAAAGCGCCTAAGTACTTAATAAAATTGTGTAAATGAGTATTGCAATAATAATATTATACACTTCGTACAGTTTGTGATAATAAATAATACCTAATGTGTTTAAACATGCGATTGTAATATTATATGGGTACGAGGCCGCGGAACCTTATGATAATAATAATAAAAATATGATACATTCGCAAAACATCACGGCAGACACTGGTTCTATAAAATAATTAACATTTTAGATTCTGAGCTGAGCGAAGAATATATTGGTTTTACAATGATATTTATTTTTTTTATCTTTAAACAAATTTTCTACAAATTCTAACAAATTCTTGCTCCGATTTACAAGTGTAGCAATTTCTCTGAAAGGAAATCTAACTGGGATGGTACTTTAAGGTGGTCATTGTTTGATTTTTCCAATAATAGGAAAAAGCGGGAAAATAAGGTACACTATTAAATAAATATCATTAAAGAAAATATATAATGGACGTGTAATTATTTTACTATACTGACTAATATTAAGATTATTTATTGTGGTATTTTTTTTTTTATAAGAGTTAAAATCAAATTTTAACGATAATCATAAATATTACGGCCTTTCTAAACATGTACAACAAAATTAAATTCCGAATTGTTTTTCGCTAACAATGGTTTATCGTTGTTTACAGGTATATATTTTTATATACCTTTACCTAAATTATTAATTATAAAACTATATAATAATATATTATAATTAATTATAAATTAATTTTAAGTATTCCACCTTCCATATTACCCCACCTATAACAGTGGTATTTATAAATATCTACTCTAGCTCCAATACCGTCGAAAATCTGCAAATACATTTTTTTGCTTTACCGCTAAATTGATCGTCAGAAAGACAGAAACAACACAAATTGTACTGTGATGTCCTCTTAATAATGTACCAATACTTACCTTGTGTTACATGTTTCTGTACCTGCGCCGATAAAGTATTAGGGAAAAAAATACAAATCTGCTGAAGAATCGTGCAGTTTATACGATTGTCGAATAAATTTATTATTTGCTTGCGTCTATATTAGGGCATTAGACGAAACGAGTTTTTCTCGTATGCGAGTACATGGGTGTAGCGGAATACAATTTATAATCTAGGTACTACCTATTAGGCAGGTATAAAATTGTGAAATTGCTGGCGCGTAACACTGTAAAAAATTTACTGTCGAATGATATACGAGAACTATCGTTTATTATTATTATATCACTGTATACCTACCGAATGGACAATGTCCTAATTAAATTGGTACCTAGGTAGGTAATGAAAATCTATATTTTTACTCCAGTGAGGTTAGATATATAGCCACTCCGGTGTATATCGTTGACGGTCCAGAGCGGAGGCAATTGAGTCATTTACCCCCTCCCCCAGGGCACTCATAGGATAATTATCAGATGGGGAAAAAATGAAACTAGATTCCAAAAACTATTTATAACATATACTCGTAGAGGTCGTACTGGGATGGTATTTCTAGAAAATTAATGAAGAAGATAGGATATGTAATTATGGTAAACATTACATTAAAAAAAAAACTGAAATCAAGACATTATAATATTATACTATTTATGATTTACATTATACATTTAAGTAGACAATTATAAGTAAAATATAATTATAATAATAAATAACTAATATTTAATAAAAAATAATAATTTATGCTTACCTTTATATACAGACAAAAAAGTTTCTGGATTTTAATGCTTTGGGGTAAATATATATTTCTTCAATTTACTCATTTCAACAAAAGTATGATAGAAAATAATAAACTAGATAATAAATAAATTAACACTAAAGAGTAAACACAATATGTCAATGGCCAATACACACTTATACTGGCGTTGAACCTATATGTTAGGTGTGGCGACTGTCACGCTTAATTTAAGGGGCGGATTACCCCTATCATTGGTAGTTTAGTATAAAACATTGTACATTTTACAATTATACAAAGAGTATTAAAAATAACGCGAACTAGTCTATTCCTAGGCTTCCATAATGTGTACTAAGTGATTGCATTAGTAAAAGCAGCTAAATATTTAACTATAACTATAACCGTTAGTTTTACGATAAATAACTAATAGTACCTATTACATTTTTTAATCTACAACGACGGCTACAGTTAAGCTGCACGTAGGCTATATATATATAGTGAAAACATGTACACGATATTATGGTTATTATTCAACTATTTTTGATTATAATATTCGAAATTATATATTTGTGTAGTAAAAGAATAATATAATGTTGTATAAATTTAGAAGATAAAAAATATTATGTTAATCAAACGAAAGACAATGATCATATTATTATATTTATTATGAAAAAGATAGACAAACTTCGCAAAATGGATGGGCTACAGTTGTAGGTGAGAAGTTGGGAGGGTAAGATAAAAATGGGAATTTAATGTATATCTATACGCAACGATTAATCAACAAAAACTATTCTGAGCAGAGTTCGATTTGGTTTGAAAGGTCGTAAAAATATTTACGATTTTCGTATTGATTTTCCCATGTTTTCCTGGTTTTTCACATTTGCTGGAAAAACTCTTGAGAAAATCGAAAAATTGCCTCTTTAAAGTACTTCCTCAGTGAAATTTCCTTCCAGAAAAATTGCTATCATTAAAAGTTGGAGTTGCTGGTAGAAAAATTGTCCACAGAAAAAAAAATAAAAAATAAACATCTTTGTAAAGTCATAAACTTCTTCGTTCCACTCAGAATCTAAAATGACATATTGATTCTAATACAATATTTGTTCATAGACGCCAGGTTTTTCAAATGTCATGGGGGAGCTCATTATTTTAGACACTCATGTATAGTTTTACCTGACACTTGCCATATATTCCTTATTAAAATTTTCATTTCATATAAATATTAAAGAAAATAATACGTCATTATCAATTTTTAATTTGTTTGAAAATTTATTATTCGAGATTATTAAAAAGTAATGTTTTTTACAATCAAATAAGCCGTAACTTTGTTCCATTTATAAATTAATATTTAAATACATCATTTCCCCTATGGATAAATTCGTGTAGAAATATGACACATTAAGAGATAAAACGATTTTTTGACACAAACCAACAAGGATTTTATGTTCAACAACGCGGTCACGCTATCATCTCTGTTGTACAATTGACTGACAATTGAAAAATTTTAATATTTTAAAATAATTAAAAAAAATATCGCTTTCGAGGACATTATATCAATATACGTTTCTTGCACGCAGCTGAAAATTCAACTAATTAACACCAGATACTAAAATCTCGTTCACTTTCGTATTGATATACAAATATTAATGGATATTTCGGGCTTTATTATAATTTATTCTGTTTCATAATACATGAACTGTTTTCGTCTTACACATGTACGAGATAATGTGTTAAACAAGGACAATTTCGTGTTATCAGTTTCAATAATATAGTGACGTGACCTATTATAAAACTTAAGGATAATAAAATTACCAGCATTTATTCGAATGTCAGTTTTATTCGATTATTATTTATTTCAATTTTTAAACTCGAATTTCTTGCTTGAAAATGAAAAATGAAATTGTTGGAAATTACACGAAAAAGTGGCCTGACCGATTTTACGTATATTTCACTCTAAATTCAAATATGTTTTTTTAGAAAAGATATAAAATTGATTGAAAAAAGTGTCAGACTCTCTATATTTTTTTGAAAACTATTGTGCCTTTTGTAGGTAGTAAAAAAATGGGGAAAATATATTATAATAATAATAATATACCTTGGAAGCTTTTAAATAATAACTGTAATATTACGGATTAATTTTTTTAAACTAATAACCATAATTGAATTGAGTAACACATTAATGAAATTAAAGATAGTACTTCATTTTTGGAATATGGATTATCTAATTTTATATTAAAAACTGCTAAGGGAATATCTTACCCATAATTATATATTTTGAAATAGCACATAGAACATTTTTCTCTTGTTTTAAAAAATAGGTTATTGTACCTAATTTCAATTCTGATGACTATTTAGGTTGCAGTAATTGTCGTCTAATTGCGCTATCATTATCTATTTCGAAAATATTCGAAAAATGCATAAAAAGTAAAATTCAGTTCCTAAACAAAAAATACTTTTTCTCAAAAAATCAGTTTGGATTCTTATTAGATAGATCGACTAATGATGCATTATTTCTAGTAAATAAATTCTTGCATGAAAACTTCCAATAATACAACTTATATCGAATAAATATATAGGAATAAATCGTGATTAACTTCTAAAAAGTTATTTCAAACTAGCTTTAGGAGGGGACATTTATGATCTAATACAATCGTATTTATCAAATAGAACACAATTAGTAAAAATAAATAATACATACAGTAATCAATTGCGAATTTCACATGGTGTTCCTTAAGATACGGTTTTAGGACCTATT